CTGAGTTTTGTAGTACTAAGTTTTGTGTATAAGTTACATAAAATTTGGTTGAGGCAAACTTAAGTTAGAGAATGGAAACGAAAAATTCAGCAATTTTTCCGTTTGTAAAGGGGCATAACTCTAGAACGAGTAAAGTGACGCCACCAAAATTCAAACTTGATCTGCATTTTGTGGTAATAAGCATTGTGTATAAGTTACATAACATTTGGTTGAGGCAAACTTAAGTTAGAGAATGGAAAGGAAAAATTCAGCAATTTTTCCATTTGTAAAGGGCATAACTCTAGAATGGTCAAAGTGATGCCACCAAAATTCAAACTTGATCTGTGTTTTGTGGTAATAAGCATTGTGTATAAGTTTCATAACATTTGGTTGAGGCAAACTAAAGTTAGAGAACGGAAACCAACTATGGGACGTACGTATGGACATATGTACGGACGTACAGACAGACAAGGGTAAAACTTAATGCCCCCTCCGGTACGGCGGGGGCATTAAAAGTTGATTGTCCACCATTTTAGAACTTGTCCAAGCTATTGCTGATATTAACCTATAGTATAAGTTTTATAAAAATCTGTCAAGAATTGTACCCGTGAGAGCGCTAACTAGACCAGACGGACGAATGGACACCTGGTATTTCCATGTCCCCCACAACGTGTTACGCGGGGGACAATAAAAATAAACTGTTGACACAGAGATATGTCTGGCCTGTTTGCATAAAATTAAGAAATAGACAATCTGATGGACAGCAATATTTGTTATTAAATTCAGTTGCTGGACCATGATCTTGTGGGCAGGGCCTGAAATTGGTTGACAAACTGAGATGTAAAGACAATGATGTAACTTTATATAAAATATCATTGTCTATTGTAAGTAGTTCCTATCAATCTTAAGCAGAAAACTTAACATTGAAAATTGCTAATTAATTCAAAGTCACTGGACTATGTCCTTGGAGGCAGGGCCTCAAAATGGTTGTCAAACTGATATGAACTGATAGTAATGCAACTTCATACAAACTATCATTGATATATCACAAGTAGATCCTATTAAACTAACTTAAGCAGAAAACTTAACATTGAAAATGGCTAATTAATTCAGTCACTGGACCATGGCCTAGGGGGCAGGGCCTCAAAATAGTCATCAAACTGATATGTACTGATAGCAATGCAACTGTATACAAAATATCAATGATCTATCACAAGTAGTTCCTATCAAACTAACTTAAGCAGAAAACTTAACAATTATTAATTGTCATTGCAGCTGTCGCTGAAAAAGCAATCCCTATGTCTCGCTTTTCGCAACGAAAAGGCGAGACAAAAACCAAGGTCAGTATGATGCTTCTGCATACAAAATTTTGTCAATCTAAGTTCTACAGTGTAAAAGTTATGCACCAAACACAATTTGGACAATGTTTTACTATCATAGAGGTCAAAGGTCAAATTCAAGGTCAGAGTGACCCGACTTTGATATATGACACACTCTCATACCATGATGTATCAGCCTACCAAGTAAGGTCAACCTAAATTCCATGGTACACAATGTATTCACAGTACACAAATCAGAAAAAAGGTTTTACTATCATACGGGTCAAAGGTCAGTGACCTGGTATATGACACACTTCAACCCCATGATGCAACGGCATACCAAGTTTGGTTAACTTCAGTTATACGGTACAAAAGATATGAGCCTAACATGAATTGAACAAGGTTTTACTATCATAGTGGTAAAAAGTCAAAGTTAAGGTCAGTGTGACCTGACTTTTGTATATTACACAATCCAAGTCCATGATGCAACTGCATATAAAGTTTGGTTTACCAAAGTTTTACTGTACAAAAGTTATGCCAAGGACATGAAGCGTGACAGACAGACAGACAAATGGACATGATGATTCCTATATACCCCCCAAAACTTTGTTTGCAATGGGTATAACAATCATACTGAATATAAAACCTTTTGGGAAAACAGTCTCAGAAAAATTAGCATTCACAAGGTGTCATCTTATAATAGGTCAATAAGTCAATGACTAATGAAACTAAACCTGTGAGTTAACTATTAAAAGGATACCAACGTCCCACAATACTATTGTGGTTTTCCTTAAACTTGAATGACTTAGTCTTTAAAAATTTACAATAAAATGCTCCGCTGGGGCGCAGCTTGATACGACCACAGAGGTCGAACCCTGAACAGTTGGAGCAAGTATGGACACAACATTCAAGCTTGATACAGCACTGAATTTGGATTGTAATTAAATATTTGACACAGCATAGGTTTCTGAAACAGAATGAAAGTGGTCTAAGAACTTTTAATTTACCTATTCATACATGTGATGGACTGTGAAACTCAGATCAGGAGATTGGGAAATTTTGGTCAGGAGATTAGGACTCAATCATAAATTTTGTCGTAAATGTAACCGTGTGCTGTAAAAATGGTCTTTTAAAGTGTGTTTTCTTCAACTTTCCATCCAATTTATTATGTTTATAGTACCCTTGTACTCATAAAGTTTCTCCATCTTTATATTCTACATGTTCAATCTAACACTGTTTTTTTTTTTCAGTATGTTCTTTAAATTTTTTACTTCATATTCTATAAAACAATCATTGCAACCAGAACATTTGTTTAACTATCTGCAAATAGTTTTCATTTGCATACTCAGAAAATCATTCTAACTGTATAACAAGGGTCATAGTTATTATATAAATTTCAATTTAAGCCTTGAAAGGAAGTATAGAATCCTCAAATAATTTTCAAATTATTATTTTTTTATTTGTCCTAAGACATTTAAAATCATTTAATTACCATCCTTTTATGATTATTTGTTCAATTTATATTTTATTTATATTCTTTTAAAATTTCATTATTAAAAGGAAAGTAACTTAAAACAGGATAAAACAAGGGAAGTAACCCAATAAATACACAGTTTTTGTTACACAACGGCAGTTAGCCTGAGGTAAAAAAAACGTTGATTACCAGTATGTTTGACACCCAAGCTGACAAGTGAAGCCATATAATTATGCATGTTAATTGATTTACAGGTAAAATATAACTTCAGGTAATGTCAGTTACAAAAGATGCCTGAGATGATATGTTGGGCAGAAATTTTTCATACATGAAAAATTTCATACACGGTATTTTTTCCTCTTCAACGGGAGGTCGGGAGGAGACCCATGAAAACGGGATTATTGTACTCCAGTCGGGAGGTTCACATGTATGCTATTCAAACCATATCATTATTATTTGCTTTTATATATAAATCAGAAATAACCAATTTTAAATGGAAAATTTTAAAGAAAAAAAAGGAAAAAAAAATCCCCCCCCCCCAAATTTTTTGAACCCCTTATGATTCATCACCCCCAAACTAAATCCCAGCTTTCCCTTTGTGGTATGGTACATTGCAGTATAATTTCAGAGAGATCCATACACTTGAACACAAGTTATTGTCTGGAAACTAGAAAAATGCTTGTTTTTTGGCCCCTTTTTGGCCCCAAATTCCTAAACGCTTAAGGCAATTACCCCCAAACTCAAACCCAGCTTTCCCTTTGTGATATGGAACCTTGCAGTACAATTTCATAAAGATCCATACACTTACACACAAGTTATTGTCCTGAAACTAGAAAAATGCTTGTTTTTTTGCCCTTTTATGGCCCCTAATTACTAAAATTTTGAGGGAATTACCCCCAAAATCAATCCCAGCCTTCCCAATGTGGTATGGTACCTTGCAGTACAATTTCAGAGAGATCCATACACTTGAACACAAGTTATTGTCTGGAAACTAGAAAAATGCTCATTTTTTTCCCCTTTTTGGCCCCTTATTCCTAAACTTTTTGAGCAATTACCCCCAAACTCAATTCCAGCTTTCCCTTTGTGATATGGAACCTTGTAGTACAATTTCATAAAGATCCATACACTTACAAACAAGTTATTGTCATGAAACTAGAAAAATGCTTGTTTTTGGCCCCTTTTTGGCCCCTAATTCCTAAAATTTGGAGGAAATTACCCCCAAAATCAATCCCAGTATTCCCTTTGTGATATGGAACCTTGTGATACAATGTCAGAGAGATCCATACACTTACACACAAGTTATTGTCATGAAACTAGAAAAATGCTTGTTTTTTGCCCCTTTTTGACCCCTAATTCCTAAAATTTGGAGGCAATTACCCCCAAAATCAATCCCAGCATTCCCTTTGTGATATGGAACCTTGTGGTACAATGTCAGAGAGATCCATTCACTTACACACAAGTTATGTCTGGAAGTTACAAAAATGCTTATTTTTGGCCCCTTTCTGGCCCCTAATTCCTTAACTGTTAGTACCATAACCCCCACCTTCCTTTTGTGGTATTGAACCTTATGGTAAAATTTCATTGAGATCCATTCGCTTAAACTAAAGTTAGAGTGCGAAAACTAATGTGTCTTCGGACGCCGACGACGTCATACCAATATACGACCACAAAATTTTTTTTGCGGTCGTATAAAAAAGGACACAGAGTAGGGATAATATGTTATAAAACATGTCAGTACCAAAGCACTGATCCCTATTTACAAGGTATGAAACTTCCAGGTCTACTACTTTCTGAAAAATAAAGCTTTATACAAATAGTTAACAACGCTGCTGGAATAGCATCCCTGTGTTTCATATTCTGTGAGAAAGCCGTAGTCAAGACAAATGAAGAGCTTGGCCATGAACGCATGATATGGCCATCGCTATTTTTCCATTACTTCTCAATGTCATATCAGAAATTTATAACTGCCCATCCGTCAGCCCTCACCATAGTATAAGCCAGCTAAAAATCAGACAACAGACTGATAGTGTTGAGATGTCCCAATGGAATATGATAAAGCGAACATTATTAATTCTTTAAGTTTTATAATGATTTGAATGCATGGAATAAAACTCTGAAACTACATGTGATAAATATTAATCAGGATGAATTCTTTATTTTTGAACATGCAGCTGGGAATATGAAACAGTTCAATCAATTATTTACTGCTTTTACATTTAAATACTTACAAAAGTACACAGGTCTGTGTATCTGCACTTTACATGGTCTTGTCTGTAATGTTAGGTCTGTAAATACCACTAAATTCATTTTCTGAAATAGATACCATTACATGAAATAAAAAGGTTGACAAATGAAAATGTATTTGAGCTGATTGTAAGGTGTGGATTAGGTAAAAACAGAATGTTGTCATGGGACACAGATTCTACAACCTTTATAATGTAGACAGGAGTATCTTCAGAATGGGTTGTGATTATTAAAGTTTCTTATGTTTAGACAAACAACTCTATATAACAAGATCTCTTAACAATAGTTTATTGGCGGTAATTTAGAAACTCCTCAGAGACGCTTTTAATCTGACAAGAAATGTAGGCATAAGAGTCCTCACAATGCGGTTTACCATAAATGGTACATTGTCAAGGGGAATAACTACCATGATCAAAAGTTAAGATTGATTTTGTAATTTTCTGAAACAAAACTGATAGACATTTGATATAATTTTTTTTTTAATATGACAAGGAATATAAGCAAGAGAGCACCAAGAAGAATGAATGCAGACATGACAGATGTACAGACGCCAAGTTTTTCTCTGTCCCCCTGCTCCACATTACAGTGGGGAAGAAGATTATTTGTAGATCTTACTTTGCTGAACAATTTTGTCATTTACACTTTCTCTCTTTCTATAATAATATTAAAGATAATGCATAACCTAAAACTGTAAAATTTCCTAAAAATTAACTATTTCTGGACAGTAACCCAACAAAAAGTTGTCCTATTGGTCTGAAGATTACTTGACAGGTAGATCTAAACCTGTTAAACACTTTCACCTATGTCAGTTTTGCTCTTACTGCTTTAGTGTTTGAGATGAAAGCCAAAAACTCCTTTTGACCCCTATGTTCTATTTTTAGAAACTCCCGCCATATATTTTAATGGATCAAATCCCCAAATACAATCTATAAATTAGATACCCTAAGGAACATTCAATTAAAGTTTTTAAGTATTTGGCAAAGTAGTTTCAGAGAAGAAGATTTTTGAAAAAGTAATTGGACTTGCAAGAAAATAACCAAAAATAGTAAAATCTAATAAAAATAAACTATTTCCACAGTAACACAACAATGGGTTGTCGAACTCGTCTGAAAATTTGATAGCAGATAGATCATGATCCATTTATCACTTTAACTTTTGCTCTAACTGCTGTAGTTTTTGAGATATAAGTAAAAAACTGCTTTTGTCCCCTATGTTCTATTTTTAGCCATGGCGGCCATGTTTGTTGATGGATCAAAACTTCTGATACAATTTATAAACCAGTTACCCTAAGGAACATTCAGTAAAAATTTAGAAGTATAAGCCCAGTAGTTTCAGAGGAGAAGATTTTTAAATGTTAGCAAACATGATGAAAAAATTGTGTAAAATTGTCTTTAAAGGGCAATAACTCCTTAAGGGGTCAATTGACAATTTTGGTCATATAAAAACTTTTTTGTAGGTCTTACTTTGCTGAACATTTTTGCTGTTTACAGTTTATCGTTATCTTCAATAATATTCAAGATAATAACCAAAAACTGCAAAATTTCCTTAAAATTACCAATTTAGTGGCAGCAACCCAACAATGGGTTGTTCGATTCGTCTGAAAATTTCAGGTCTGATAGATCTTGACCTATTGAACATTTTTATTCCTGTCAGATTTGCTCTAAATGCTTAAGTTTTTGAGATATAAGCCAATAAAATGCTTCGCTGGGGCGCAGCTTGATACGACCGCAGAGGTCGAACCCTGAACAGTTGGGGCAAGTATGGACACAACATTCAAGCTTGATACAGCTCTGAATTTGGATTGTTATTAAATATTTGACACAGCATAGGTTTCTGACACAGAAAGAATGTGGCCTAAGAACTTGAATTTTTTTAATTTACCTATTATGGTCCAATGTCCAAAATCAAAATACATGGTTAGATTCAGCATATCAAAGAACCCCATATATTCAATTTTTGTTCAAATCAAACAAAGTTTAATTTTGGACCCCAACTTGGACAAACTTGAAAAATGGGCCCATAATCAAAAATCTAAACACATGTTTCGATTCAGCATATCAAAGAACCCCAAGAATTCAATTTTTGCTAAAATCAAACTAAGTTTAATTTTGGACCCTTTGGACCTTAATGTAGACCAATTTAAAAAACGGGACTTAAAATTAAAAATCTAAATACACGGTTAGATATGGAATATCAAAGAACCCCAATAATTCAATTTTTGATGAAATCAAACAAAGTTTAATTTTGGACCCTTTTGACCTCAATATGAACCAATTTGATAGCGGGGCCCACAAATAAAAATTCTAAATTCAGGGTTAGATTCAGCATATCAAAGAACCCCATATATTCAATTTTTGTTGAAATCAAAAAAAGTTTAATTTTGGACCCCAACTTGGACCAACTTGAAAACTGGGCCCATAATCAAAAATCTAAACACATGTTTAGATTCAGCATATCAAAGAACCCCAAGAATTCAATTTTTCTTAAAATCAAACTAAGTTTAATTTTGGACCCTTTGGACCTCAATGAAGACCAATTTAAAAAACGGGACCCAAATTAAAAATCTAAAAACACGGTTAGATTTGGCATATCAAAGAACCCCAATAATTCAATTTTCGATGAAATCAAACAAAGTTTAATTTTGGACCCTTTTGACCTCAATATGAACCAATTTGATAGCGGGGCCTACAAATAAAAAATCTAAATACATGGTTAGATTCAGCATATCAAAGAACCTCATATATTCAATTTTTGTTGAAATCAAACAAAGTTTAATTTTGGACCCCAATTTGGACCAACTTGAAAACTGGGCCCATAATCAAAAATCTAAATACATGTTTAGATTCAGCATATCAAAGAACCCCATATATTCAATTTTTGTTGAAATCAAACAAAGTTTAAATACTGGACCCTATCTTGGACCAACTTGAAAACTGGGCCCATAATCAAAAAACATGTTTAGATTCAGCAAATCAAAGAACCCCAAGAATTCAATTTTTGTTAAATCAAACTAAGTTTAATTTTGGACCCTTTGGACCTTAATGTAGACCAATTTAAAAAACAGGACCCAAAATTAAAAACCTAAATACACGGTTAGATTTGGAATATCAAAGTACCCCAATAATTCAATTTTAGATGAAATCAAACAAAGTTTAATTTTGGACCCTTTTGACCTCAATATGAACCAATTAGATAACGGGGTCCACAAATAAAAAATCTAAATACATGGTTAGATTCAGCATATCAAAGAACCCCATATATTCAATTTTTGTTGAAATCAAACAAAGTTTAATTTTGGACCCCAATTTGGACCAACTTGAAAACTGGGCCAAAAATCAAAAATCTAAATACATGTTTAGATTCAGCATATCAAAGAACCTCATATATTCAATTTTTACTAAAATCAAACAAAGTTTAATTTTGGACCCTTTGGACATTAATGTAGACCAATTTGAAAACTGGACCCAAAATTAAAAATCTAAATACACTGTTAGATTCGGCATAACAAATAAATAAATGTGATCAAAGATTTTACAAATCTAATGCGCCATACTGTGCAATTAAAGATTACTTCTTGAAATTTTTCAATATTTGAAATTTGAAAAAAAAATAATATTTGAAGAATAATTCTTTTTGATTTCTGAAATCTGAAATGAGAAAAAATTGGACCCCCACAATTTCTTTTTATCCCCCCCCCCCCTTTTTCCCCCAAAAAAATTCTTTCCCTCAAGATATGGTCATAATCTCAATTCAAATTTCCAATGGAGTTGGCAACCATAATTACCCATTTAAATTTACCATAGTGCTAACTTAATCTATTTTATAATAGAATTAATAAAAATATAGTGTCAAATCTTTCATATGGATTTTTTTGTAAAAAAAAAAGATGAAAACATTTGCAGATATTTTTACTGGTCTTCCTTTATAAATATGCATTTCTTTAAACATAATTTAAAAGCAGTGTAAGGGAAGTAACCAAAACGTTGTATTTGGATTACCTCCCTTACACTGTTTTAGATTATCTTTATTGTTCATTAACCATTACTTTATATATAATTTAAAAGCAGTGTAAGGGAGATAATTTCAATGATGTATTTGATTTATCTCCCTTACACTGCTTTAAATTATGTTTTGTACTAAAGTATTTGTCCATTAACCAGGACAACCTTGTTTTTCCCCCTTTTTTGCCCCTAATTCCTAAACGGTTTGAGCCATAACCCCCCAAAGCAAATCCTAACCATCCCTTTGTGGTATGGAAACTTGTAGTATAATTTCAGAGAGATCCATACACCGTTCCACAGTTATTGTCTGGAAACTAGAAAATGCTCATTTTTGGCCCCTTTTTGGCCCCTAATTCCTTAACTGTTGGTACCATAACCCCCAAAATCAATCCCAACCTTCCTTTTGTGGTATTTAACCTTTTAGTCAAATTTCAAAAAGATCCATTCACTTAAACTAAAGTTAGAGTGCGAAAACCAATATGTATTCGGACGACGACGCCGGACGACGACGACGCCGGACGACGACGACGACGACGCCAACGTCATACCAATATACGACCACAAAATTTTTTTGCGGTCGTATAAAAACTGCATTTGACCCTTATGTTCTATTTTTAGCCATGGCGGCTATGTTTGTTGATGGATCAAAACTTCGGATACAATTTACAACCTAGATACACTAAGGAACATTCAGTTGAAGTTTGAAGGTATTTGGCCCAGTAGTTTCACGGGAGAAGATTCTTGAAATAGTTTACGACAACGACGGATGCCAAATGATGGCATAAGCTCACATGGGGCCAGGGCCTCAGTGAGCTAAAATTACACAGAAAGATGAACTGATTGTTCATAACCCGTAAGTTTAGTACTTTTATTACTTATAGAATAACTAATCCAAGAATTCAATCATAGAAAAATATTCAACGAGTGACTGAACAACACATTAATTCACGACTAATTATCAATGTTGTTCGGTCACTCATTGAATATTTTCAATATTTTAATTCTGTGATTAAATATTCTTTATGTTACATTGACCATGGACTTTTTAATTGAAATAAAGTAGAAAATGTAAGTAACTTTTTTTTTGCCTACGCATTCTCAATTGTTTTTAATTGCATCGTCATCAACAATTCTTGCAACACATATTGTTGAAAGACATCAGAGGAGTGAAACTTTCAGATTTATTTTACATGTGAAATTATTGGTTTTTATTTCACTGGGATTTCAGGAATTTATTGCAACCAATGTAATAATTACTGTTCTTATCTTGAAATTTATTTCAAGTACATTTACAGCATAACCTTTCTTGCCTATATCAACCTCTTTAGTTTGAACTAGACATCATTGAGATGAGAGCCATCTCTGTGGGCCCCGCTGACCTTGAACTTTGACCTAGGAAGTTGTACAAACATTATGACACACCCTCTGGTGTTGGTTAATAAACATGTCAAGTATAAAGTATGAAAATGTAACGGTTCTCTAGATATAGAGAGGACACAATTTGTTACGGACGGACGGCCAGACTTATCACTATAGGGCGACACGCCATTAAGCGGGGGCCCTATTAAAACAATCGTAACTTACCCTGAAGGCCTGAATAGCATCCACGCTGTCTGACTCATAACTTCTGTAGTTGTAACTGTACATATCGCCTACAAAAGAGATTATGATTCTGATTTCTATGTGCATGATGCAATATAACTTTTATTAGGTATGCTCTAGACCAAAAAGAACTGTTAACCTGTCTCATGATAACTTTGCCGGAGGGAGTTGCGACCTCAGTTTTAATACAAAAATGTAATTTATGAGCAGGAAATTTACAGAGAAAAAAAATTATAATTAATTCAAATCATGTCAATACCAAAAGGGTCTTATTTATGAACTGGAAATTTACCGAGAAAAAAATTATAATTAATTTAAATCATGTCAATACCAAAGGGGTCTTGGATAGATAATTAAAGGGGCATTAGCTACGAGATTTACAAAAAAATAAAATACGATTTTGTTTTGTTCAATCATTAATGAAAGTGATATAGTGATTTACTAATTTAATTCTAGCAGCCAATTTAGTTCAATTTTGTCAAAATAAGATAAATAACATCGCTGTTGAATTATTCACTTGCAAGTGAATAATTCAACCTCTTCAAATCCGTATTCATGTGACCTTTTATTTAACCCCTAAGCTGGAGATGGGTTACGCATGTATTCAGCTATCAAAAGGAAAAGAATGTTAACATTGAAAGTGAAACAAGGATGAATCATTTGGTTGACTGATTCGATCCACGAAAAAAATCATTCTAACACAGGTAAAAACGATGATAAACATACTTTTTAACCTACAATATGAAATCAAACAGACATAGGACAATCCAATTGCACAAGGTCACTATCTTTTTATACTTATATTTATGTTTATATAGGGTTTTATGACCGTCTGCAGTCTTCATAGGTCATCTCGATGGTTAATTAGATGACGTCTAGACAAAAATACACACAAAATTTTGATACATATTATTGAGTCTATGCATTGTTAATTGCTAATTTTAGACTTTTTGTAATTTTTATATGCGTTTTAGTATGTTATAAATAAAATATGAGAATTTGAGTCAAATCGGGTAACAAGAATTTAACAGCTAATGTCCCTTTAATATAATATATGATTTGGTATTTTTATTCTCATATTTTACCAAAAATTTAGTTACAAGACAACTTTTACTGACATATCTGCATCATAGTATCATGCTAATTTTATTTAATAAAACAAAAACCAGACATGTGATTTTTCTGGCGGGAGTCAAAATCTCCAGATTTTTAAGCCCTCTTCCATCCCTCCCGTTAATAATTCAAATCTTAAGTTTTTTTCAAAATTTCAACCCCAAAATATTTGTCAGACTCTATTTTTTATTAGCATCAATGTCAACATTAACTAGATATCATTGAGATGGGAGCCATCTCTGTGGGCCCCGCTGTGAATAATGTGTGGTAAAAAATTTGTATCTTTATCATTGGACATGGGGTTGTCAAATGAAACCAGTTTTTTACTTTGACCTTTGACCTAGGAAGTTGTACATAAATTATTACACGCCCTCTGGTGTTGGTTTATATACATATCAAGTATAAACTTTGAAATCATAACGGTTCTCAAGATATAGAGCGGACACGATCTTAACCATAGGACATGGGGTTGTCAACTAAAACCAAAGTTTTTGACCTTGACCTTTGACCTAGGAAGTTGTACATACATTATGACACACCCTCTGGTGTTGGTTAATATACATATCAAGTATAAACTTTGAAATCATAACGGTTCTCAAGATATAGAGCGGACACGATCTTTACCATAGGACATGGGGTTGTCAACTAAAACCAAAGTTTTTGACCTTGACCTTTGACCTAGGAAGTTGAACATACATTATGACACACCCTCTGGTGTTGGTTAATATACATGTCAAGTATAAACTTTGAAATCATAACGGTTCTCTAGATATAGAGCGGACACGATTTGTTACAGACAGACAGACTGATCACTATATAATTACGTTTTTGTGTCACTGATGAAGGTAATTTTTACCTGTAAATCAAAGAACTGTATAATTATATGGCTTCACTTGACAGCTTGGGTGTCAAACATACTATTAATGAACGATTTTTACCTCAGGCTAACTGCCGTTATGTAATAAAAGCTTTGTGTATTTGAAAATACTTAAAAGAAATTTCGGGTTACTTCCCTTGTTTTATCATGTTTTAAGTTACCCTCCTTAAAATAATGTAAAATGATAAAAGAATATGAATAAAGTACAAAGTGAACAAGGAATCATATTTAATGATTTTAAATGTCTTAAGACAAATAAGAAAATGTTATTTTGAAAATTATTTGCGAGATCTATACTGCTTTTCAATGCTTAAATTTAAATTTATAAGAAATGTAATGGTAGTCAAGGCTGTTAAACTGGTTTGCGCTAACCCAGTTTTAATTAGCATGGGGCGTTTGTCTTCCTGTGAACAACGTTTCAGTGTACTAGCACTATAAAGTCCTGCAACTACGGTAGGCTAGCACAAAGCAGTCAAAATTATACATACAATCTTTGGTTTTTTATTTATTTTATTTTACTTTATTTATTTATCTGTTTTTGTACAAACAAAATCTTTTACTAATTATTTTTGCAAAATTCAAATACACATATTTAAGCCTATTTCGGTTTATACAAAATATTTGGCAACTAAAATCACATACACAATTTGACATATCAAATTTACTTGGCAGCTGGTGTACCAGGACAACGTTGCTGCCACTGACTGCCATTTGCTTGCCCTAGCTTTTCCTCCTGTTCCTACTTTTATAGGTGGCTTCATTTTTTTTTTTTTTTATTTTCTTTAATTTTTTTTTTAAATTTTCATTTTTATATTCTTTTATTTTATTTAAGTTCTACTTTATTTTCATTCTTTATTTTTTATTCATCAATTTATTTATTTATAAGTTATTTTATCTTTCAAATTTTTGCTCATTTTTACTTTTTATTCATATTACAGTGAAGGGTCTAACTTAAATAAGTTATTAGAGAAAAATAACATACATTTGTTATTGAGGGCTAAAAAATCAAAAATCTGTGATAACATATGTATTTTACATGTTTCAAAAGGGCATTATACATCCTTTATTTTGTTAAATTGTGTACTAGTTCTATTGATATTATAATTGTCTTTATGTATATTAAACATTAGAAAGATATAACAGCCCATAGTTTGCCAATCATGCATAACACACCCATATTATTACAGAAAAAGATATGCCTGTAATAACTAAAGGGTGTTATTACAGCTCCTCTACATCTCATCAAAGCCTTTTCTCCTACATATATAACAATGTATTTTAATTTATTGTAATAAATAATGATAAGGGCATGTAATGAGGTTCTGCGCAAGCTTCCTAGTCATTCCCAAGTGTCTCATGTAATAAGTTAAATGCCTGTAATAACTAAGCCTTATTATTACAGCTAAGTTATCACTTAAAAGCCTTGTCTCATTGCTTTACCATGGTTAATCAAAAATGTATTAATTGAATTGGAAAATTAGTTTTCAAGGTTATGTATTAAGTTACTGCGCAAGTTTCAAGAATTCCCAAGTGCCCACTGAAAATAAAAAATTTTATGGTACATTTAACTGATAACAAACATATGTTACTACAGATTAAGAGAAAGTATCCGTAATAACACATGTATGTTATTTTTCTCTAATAACTTATTCAAGTTACACCCTTGACTGTATTAGGTATTTTATATTTGTCACTCTAAATTATATCAATAACCTTATGGTAAAAATAAAAAAACCCCATCATCATCAGGTACTTAAAAACCATTCTCATCATGTATTGACCCTATTTAGTGACTGAGTGAGTGTTAATGCTAAATCTGGCAAAATCTAAATTAGCTACAAAAATACAATAACACTGTAAAACACATTAATAATTATTGGATGATAGAACTGAGAATCACACTAATGATGACAAAGATGAGTAAAGGAAAAAAATCACAAATAGTATAGCTTAGTGTTGACAAATATTCCATATGATAACAATACAGAGAGAATACATTAATAGTAATACTGTTATCTTAAAATAAAAGGGAAGAATGTAGCGTTATCATCAAAATGAACACTGAAAACGGCGATAAATATGTTGATAAAACATCTCTAGTTATGAGGCCCAAATCTCCAGTTGTGACTTGACAACTCGTCACATGTATGTTTGTCATAAACCAAAATTCAGTGTACAACTAAAGAGGCTACTGAAAACCACTCACATCATGTATAAAACAAGAATAATACCAGGTCTGAACCTGCATTGTTGCATGCAACTGATTTCAAACAAGACAATCAGGAAGTAGCTGCACAGTAGATCTAAAAATTGCTTATACATTACAACTCAACATTATCAAGCTACAGACCAAATATATAATTATTCACTTCCATAGAATCCAAGAAAAGTTTGACGAAAAATGTTTTTCGTGTACAATGAGTGTTGTAAAATTTCAAACTATTTTCAAACAGGAAGTAGCTGCATGGTAGATCTTAAACTTTCTTACATGCTATATTTCAACATTATCAATCTGCAGACCAAATACAAAGATATTCTCTTTCATATAAGCCAAGAAAACTTAAGACAAAACTTTTCTACCAAAGGTCTTTCGGACAAACGAACGGATGGAACGACAGAGTTGAACTGTTACTAGACCTGCTCTCGCCATTATTTTGGACATTTGCATAAGCCAATTCAAAGAAATACTATGCCTAACAATCATGTTTTATGAACTTGTACTTTCTGGTAAATGTAAAAATTTCTATTTAATAATATTTCAAAAGCAACCAACAACAACTACTGAATTACAGGCTCCTGACTTGGAATAGGTACATACAAAATTGATGGTAATAGGATTTAAAATCTATTTACTGTACAATAGTTTTAATTTTGCAAAATCAGTATCAAAATAGTTATTTATATAAGGATTTTGTCAAGTAAAACCTGCCTCATATTAAATAAATCATGTTCTCCTAGTCTAAAGTATGAATCAGTACACATCCAACAAAATTAGTATAAAGATGCCAAAAAACAGTCTGAGTAACCATCCAAATGACCTCCGAAAAATGTCTTCACCAAATAAGACAATAGGACACTTAATCGTAAAATTCAAAATTATTTCAAGCCAAATTAAAGCAGTAAAACTATTATCAGTTATATTCAAAAACATTACATGTAATAAATTAAAAATATAAAGATTTTCTGCCATTAGATAAACGGAACGAAACCCATAGATGAATCCCAAATCACTCTTATTTATGATTATAAACTTAAAGCTACTGTTTTTATTTCGTTTCAAAAACTCAAAAGTAGCTTGGTCGATTCCTAAGAAAGTTTTATGTCCATAAGTAAAGGTAACATTCCATAAATTGTTCTTGGAACGTAAAATAAAATGCTTCGCTGGGGCCCAGCTTGATACGACCGCAGAGGTCGAACCCTGAACAGTTGGGGCAAGTATGGACACAACATTCAAGCTTGATACAGCTCTGAATTTGGATTGTTATTAAATATTTGACACAGCATAGGTTTCTGACACAGAAAGAATGTGGTCTAAGAACTTGAATTTTTTTAATTTACCTATTATGGTCCAATGTCCAAAATCAAAATACATGGTTAGATTCAGCATATCAAAGAACCCCATATATTCAATTTTTGTTAAAATCAAACAAAGTTTAATTTTGGACCCCAACTTGGACAAACTTGAAAACTGGGCCCATAATCAAAAATCTAAAAACATGTTTAGATTCAGCATATGAAAGAACCCCAAGAATTCAATTTTTGCTAAAATCAAACAAAGTTTAATTTTGGACCTTTTGGACCTTAATGTAGACCAATTTAAAAAACGGGACTTAAAATTAGAAATCTAAATACACGGTTAGATTTGGAATATCAAAGAACCCCAATAAATCAATTTTTGATGAAATCAAACAAAGTTTAATTTTGGACCCTTTTGACCTCAATATGAACCAATTTAATAACGGGGTCCACAAATAAAAAATCTACATACATGGTTAGATTCAGCATATCAAAGAACCCCATATATTCAATTTTTGTTGAAATCAAACACAGTTTAATTTTGGACCCCAATTTGGACCAACTTGAAAACTGGGCCAAAAATCAAAAATCTAAATACATGTTTTGATTCAGCATATAAAAGAACCTCATATATTCAATTTTTGCTAAAATCAAACTAAGTTTAATTTTGGACCCTTTGGACCTTAATGTAGACCAATTTAAAAAACGGGACTTAAAATTAAAAATCTAAATACACGGTTAGATTTGGAATATCAAAGAACCCCAATAATTCAATTTTTGATGAAATCAAACAAAGTTTAATTTTGGACCCTTTTGACCTCAATATGAACCAATTTGATAGTGGGGCCCACAAATAAAAAATCTAAATTGATGGTTAAATTCAACATATCAAAGAACCCCATATATTCAATTTTTGTTGAAATCAAAAAAAGTTTAATTTTGGACCCCAACTTGGACCAACTTGAAAGCTGGGCCCATAATCAAAAATATAAACACATGTTTAGATTCAGCATATCAAAGAACCCCAAGAATTCAATTTTTGCTAAAATCAAACTAAGTTTAATTTTGGACCCTTTGGACCTCAATGAAGACCAATTTAAAAAACAGGACCCAAATTAAAAATCTAAAAACACGGTTAGATTTGGCATATCAAAGAACCCCAATAATTCACTTTTGATGAAATCAAACAAAGTTTAATTTTGGACCCTTTTGACCTCAATATGAACAAATTTGATAGCGGGGCCCACAAATAATAAATCTAAATACATGGTTAGATTCAGCATATCAAAGAACCTCATATATTTAATTTTTGTTGAAATCAAACAAAGTTTAATTTTGGACCCCAATTTGGACCAACTTGAAAACTGGGCCCATAATCAAAAATCTAAATACATGTTTAGATTCAGCATATCAAAGAACCCCATATATTCAATTTTTGTTGAAATCAAACAAAGTTTAAATACTGGACCCTATCTTGGACCAACTTGAAAACTGGGCCCATAATCAAAAATCTAAACACATGTTTAGAATCAGCATATCAAAGAACCCCAAGAATTCAATTTTTGTTAAAATCAAACTAAGTTTAATTTTGGACCCTTTGGACCTTAATGTAGACCAATTTAAAAAACAGGACCCAAAATTAAAAATCTAAATACACGGTTAGATTTGGAATATCAAAGAACCCCAATAATTCAATTTTAGATGAAATCAAACAAAGTTTAATTTTGGACCCTTTTGACCTCAATATGAACCAATTTGATAACAGGGTCCACAAATAAAAAATCTAAATACATGGTTAGATTCAGCATATCAAAGAACCCCATATATTCAATTTTTGTTGAAATCAAACAAAGTTTAATTTTGGACCCCAATTTGGACCAACTTGAAAACTGGGCCAAAAATCAAAAATCTAAATACATGTTTAGATTCAGCATATCAAAGAACCTCATATATTCAATTTTTGCTAAAATCAAACAAAGTTTAATTTTGGACCCTTTGGACCTTAATGTAGACCAATTTGAAAACTGGACCCAAAATTAAAAATCTAAATACACTGTTAGATTCGGCATAACAAATAAATAAATGTGATCAAAGATTTTACAAATCTAATGCGCCATACTGTGCAATTAAAGATTACTTCTTGAAATTTTTCAATATTTGAAATTTGAAAAAAAAATAATATTTGAAGAATAATTCTATTTAATTTCTGAAATCTGAAATGAGAAAAAATTGACCCCCCACAATTTCTTTTTATCCCCCCCCCCCCCTTTTTCCCCCCAAAAAATTCTTTCCCTCAAGATATGGTCATAATTTCAATTCAAATTTCCAATGGAGTTGGCAACCATAATTACCCATTTAAATTTACCATAGTGCTAACTTAATCTATTTTATAATAGAATTAAAAATATAGTGTCAAATCTTTCATATGGATTTTTTTGTAAAAAAAAGATGCAACATTTGCAGATATTTTTACTGGTCTACCTTTATAAATATGCATTTCTTTAAACATAATTTAAAAGCAGTGTAAGGGAAGTAACCAAAACGTTGTATTTGGATTACCTCCCTTACACTGTTTTAAATTATCTTTATTGTTCATTAACCATTACTTTATACATAATTTAAAAGCAGTGTAAGGGAGATAATTTCATTGATGTATTTGATTTATCTCCCTTACACTGCTTTAAATTGTTTTGTACTAAAGTATTTGTCCATTAACCAGGACAACCTTGTTTTTCCCCCTTTTTTGCCCCTAATTCCTAAACGGTTTGAGCCATAACCCCTCAAAGCAAATCCTAACCATCCCTTTGTGGTATGGAAACTTGTAGTATAATTTCAGAGAGATCCATACACCATTCCACAGTTATTGTCTGGAAACTAGAAAATGCTTATTTTTGGCCCCTTTTTGGCCCCTAATTCCTTAACTGTTAGTACCATAACCCCCAAAATCAATCCCAACCTTCCTTTTGTGGTATTTAACCTTATGGTCAAATTTCAAAAAGATCCATTCACTTAAACTAAAGTTAGAGTGCGAAAACCAATGTGTCTTCGGACGACGACGCCGGACGACGACGACACCAACGTCATACCAATATACGACCACAAAATTTTTTTGCGGCCGTATAAAAAAACTGAAAGAAATTTCAAGAAGTAAATGCAATCAATACAACTTTGTTGATGCTATGAATCTAGTATGAAATGGACAGTTTGAAAAATGTATCACTTTCAAGTCATTTTAAAATGATAGAAATTGGGTGAAAAAATTTCAGGATCCTTGACAAAACTTATAAATAATTAGTATACAAACTCAATTTGCCAATAAGAAATGCATATATTTTTCTAACTTGTATGTTGTTGTACCAGCTGGCATAGCAGCTTATCATTTTCATTTTTATTGTTTGATACAAATAGTTGTACACAGATGTACTAAAATATGATGCACAGTGCCATTGGTATATCTAAATCAAAATAATGAATCTACAGTACATGCATTAAACATAATTAGCATGGTGTACACCACTACAAATCATTATATAAATATATACCACCTTGATATAAACTTTCATCATAATGTGTCTTCTCATCGCAGTATTTTTTATCATCCTGCCAGTAAGATGTGTATATGTTGGGTTCCTTAAATCTACCAAAAATCTGTAAAACACAAATATTACAGACTAATATTAAGATATGTACCTGAAGGGCATTTTAAATCTAATGCATATAGGGAGATGGCTTAACATCTAGCACCTGTCAGCATGTGGTCAAGTATTAGGTATTGCCAATTAAAATGTACAATGGTTGAAAATTTTGTTAACGTCTAAGGTTAGACAGGAGACAATGACCAATCTGTTATTGGGTAATATGTTTCATCAATGGATTTTACTAGGATGACCTTGAGAGGTCATCTGTAGTAATGCTATGGCAAATTCTGAGTGTGCTTTAAAACATGCATTTCTACTTATACATATATATACATGCGCTGACATTATTATGGGAGTAATATGAAGGGTGTACATTTACTAGTGAAGCAGGAACTGCATACCTTTCTAGAGCACCTTTCCCTCCAGATTTTCGGAGGGGTTTGTGTCAATAAATTTATGTGAAGTGTTTTGTGGACTGTTAATTTTTGGATTAGGCTGTGGTATTATCTGGGATTTTTTACTTATGTTTTTTGTTGGTCTTTGGTATCTTTTTATTTTTTTTAAATGAAAGTAGTTGAACCAATTCTTCAAACATCATATTGAATAAATTAACTTTTATTTACTCTCATATCTTAGATTTACAGGAATTTTTTCAAAGAAAACTTTTTATCATCCATTTTATAGTAATAACTATGACTATGACTTTCCTGAATATCTATCTGCTACTGTAAAAAAAACTTGGTCACAAATCTTTTGCCAACTTAAAAAAAATATAAATGGAAATTTTCCACTGGAGTTAAGTATACAATCAATCAATGAAGAGAGTACCCATCACTTAATAAAATATAACGTATCTACATGTATATCAAAAACCTTGAAAAGGGTCCTTAACAGATTTAATTTTCAAAGAAATTTCATATTAAACAGAAATAATATAAAATATAAAATTTTTGCATCACTTATCATTGAGATTGTTAAATAATGAATAAAATGTGAGATTAATTATTGCTTTTTAAGGAAATGCTTCTTACAAATAATGCTATCAAAATTTTAAATCCCAGTTTTTATTTTTCACCACGCCTATCCAGTCACAATTCTCCCAATAATAAAAATATTGTAAAAATTTGAAAGATGATCAATGGCAGATTAAGGATGTTCGCTACTCTGTTTCAAAATAACAAGCTTTTTAAAAGACTGCTATAAATTGATAGTATATAATTAAAGAAACTAAAACAGCAGAAAAAAATGAAGGGTCCGTGTGCTTGTTTTCGAGATATAAGCCATTGAAAATTTGGCGGGAAATAATTCTCTCTAGACTTTTCATACATTTAACATTGGCACCTTTTTTATTTCAAAAACTATGAAAAAATAACAAGGATTTTACAAGATTTTGAAAAATGGCTTTTCAAACTATATGAAATAATATTACGAAAAGAAAAGTAAAGGTTAGTGGGCAAAATTTTTATTGGCATTACATAGATAAAACCAGAGGATTCCGAATATCTGGCAAACACTCAAAAACAAGAGGAGCGAACATCCTTAATACTAACTTTAATAGAAAGTTAAAACAAACCTGATCTGGGGTAATTTGATGGTTTCCTGCCAGTAAATTAATACTTTTGTCCACTACACCAACAGAGCAGAGGGAACCAGGAGCAGCCTTTAAGTTAATATTCACTTCATTTCCAGGGTAAACTGTATCCTGGTCAAACTTCATCTCTACCTGATTCAGTAGATAAACAATGGACAATGTTATATACTTAACTATCCTAGATTGCACATAAAGTGCCTGTTCAATAAATATAAACACATCATGATATGCCAACAATATTATTTGTTTGAATTAAAAAACAAGAATGCGTGTCAATGGACACCATGTTCTGTGCTTCTACAATCTCATTTCTATGTTCAGTGAACTTCCAAATCTGGGACCAAAACCTAATTTTGGCATATATTTCAATAAGTTCACATCACAATGAAATTCTACCATTGTAGACAGGACATAAAAGCCATTTTTAGTAGTGGAAATTTGAGATTGAAAGTCTGAATAATTGTCCAAAAAATCAATGGAGCAGAACCAAACATTAACCAGATCTGTAATGTGTAGAAATCTGAAGTCTGTAGATACTGTTATTTTCACATAATTTTCTACCAAACATTAACCAGATCTGTAATGTGTAGAAATCTGAAGTCTGTAGATACTGTTATTTTCACATAATTTTCTACCAAACATTAACCAGATCTGTAATGTGTAGAAATCTGAAGTCTGTAGATACTGTTATTTTCACATAATTTTCTACCAAACATTAACCAGATCTGTAATGTGTAGAAATCTGAAGTCTGTAGATACTGTTATTTTCACATAATTTTCTAAGTCCAAAGCTTGTTATTTCCGCAAAACTCAGCAGAGTGGAATCAAACATAAACTCAATCTATTACTCATCATAGAGGTCTCCCATATTAATTATCACCTCAGTTTGTGTAGTGTTTAGAAAAAAGTCTGTATAACTGTTTGTTGCGGAATAACGGAATGAAAGATAAAAGTAAAACTATATGGCCCCAAACAGGGTCATGGCAAAATAGTAATATCTATTTTCTTTCTTTGAAAATGTATGAAAAAATGTTTGACCTTAGAATGAACTATTTGTTTGTCTGAACCTTACTTAATTTTGTGCAAGTAAACCAGCCATTCAACTTTGTCATTAGCCATTCAACTTTGTCATTAGCCGTTCAACTTTGTTATTAGCCATTCAACAAGTCAGGAGCTTGCAATTCAGTGATTGTTGTTTGTTGATGTATATCATATTTGTTTTTTGTATGTATTGTTAGAATTGTTTTACATTTTGTCATGTCACAGCCTTTTATAGCTCGAATGCTGTGAGGTATGGGTTTTGCTCATTGTAATTGTTGAAGGCCATGTGTCGACTGACCTATCATTGCTGATATCTATGTTATTTGGTCTCTGGTGGATTGTTGTCTCATTGCCAATCATACCACATCTCCTTACTTTATATTGTGTCAGAACACCACCATATTAAATAGATGTTCCGAAAACTTTATTTAGTGCCATAGTGAATTAGGCCATACGGTTACCTATAATTGTTTACATTCACTTTATTTTAACTTTAGTGAAAAGTTGTCTCATTGGCAATCATACCAAATCTCCTTATTTTCATATTAACCAACCTTGTTATCAAAACAATTCTCCACACTGAATTCTAATGTAGCAGCTACTGTTTCGTCATCTTCTCTGACATAGTATATCAACAACTCAGATTTAGGACCCATGTTAGCAGTTATAGGAATACTGATCTTCACTTTAGCAACATGGGTAGATTTTATAATATCTTTACTGTCTGAAAAATCAAATAACTACATTAACTAAAATATTGGGGAGGAGTATAATGAAATTTAATACAAATGCACTCACTACCTTTTCACCTATCAATGTAGGAAGGATTTATTTAAGTTTAATAGTTTACATTTTCAATTTAACTCCAGACATTATTGTGGATTTATTAATGCCATTTTAGATCAACAATTAATGCTATTTATTGCGAACCAAGTGAAATATTTCCACAGAGACATCTCCTCTTGGTGAAGGTATTTAAACTTTTGTCCCGTTGAATCATAGAAGATCATTTTTTTACTCAGGTAAATTAATCAATGAGTGATGGATTTCTCTTAGAAGAAATTTAAAGGTCCCAGTGAATAAACTACACAGAGAACAATAGCTATTGTATTTAATCATAGGACAATAGAAATGTTTTATTTAGTTGGCAATAACAGAAACACAATAAAATGCTTCGCCGAGCCCAGCTGGATACGACCGCAGAGGTCCAACCCTGAACAGTTGGGGCAAAAATGGACACAATATTCGTGCATGATACAGGTCTGAATTTGGATTGAAATTAAATGTTTGACACATAATAGGTTTCTGACACAGAATAGTTGTAGAACTTAGAGAATTGGTTATATGATTTGAATTTATATTCAATTTTTTGCTTTTGTGCAATACACTATGCTGTTGGGAATTGACACCTAATTTTATTCGTTCTGAGGCGTACAAGAAGCTTTAAAACGCCCGGTATTTACATTTGATTTTTTGTTTACGGAAACATATTTGTGACGTCACCTTGTTTCGTTGCCATGTCAAGACAATAACATCATTTCGTGGAATTTTCGTTTTATAAAATTTGACCATGAAAAATATATTGAAATGGACTGATTTGTTTATTTTGCTGTAGAATAGAGATAAATATATTGTATCTGAAGCTTGGCCTTCGTAAACTGGGGATTTTGATGTCGAAAAGTGAGAATATCTGGCAGTATAAATAAGTTGGTCGTAACGCGGAACAGCCGTTTATGTGTATTACTGCATTTGCGCTAAAGGTAGATATATTGTGATTATACTGGTTGACGATAATATGTCGTCATATTAGAATTAAGGACAGAACTGTTTTAGTTCCAAACTGGTATTCTTTAGTGATATCTATTAAGTAGGAATTTTCCACACACTCACCATATTTGTTTGTGATTTACACATTCTCTTCCAATATCCGGTCAATGTCAAAATTAACTTTACAATTGTTTTTCTTGTGATTTTGGCTTATTTAAACACTTATTGAAATGTTTTAGAATCATTTAGAAGCATTTGCAACTTCTACTTGATGATAAAACCGCAAACGATCACACACGCTTTGAAATTATCAAGAGTTCCCCTAGACGTTTTCAACAAGTGAAAAAAGTTTTTTTCCAGAATTCCCTGTGTTGAAAAGGAGGGTGGGGACAACATACCAGCTTGGACTACGATACAGATAAATATCAACATATGACCTTTAACGTAAGCCCTAAAACATTTCAGGACAAATAAGAACTGCTACAACTGAATTACAATTAAAGAACCTTAGTGAGCGCGCTCACATACCCCACGTCCTCACATTGTCACTGGAGAAATAAAATAACTGTAAGAAAAAAAAATTGAATCATAATTTCCTGTCGATATGCACATCTACATAGTATGTCCTTATTATCTACAAAGTTTCATGAAATTCTGTTGTGTGGTTTCAGAGGAGTTGCGATGACAAACTGTTGCAGAGGTATATTGAAGCAAATAAGTTCAAAGGGGCGCAACTCCTAGAAAAAAAATTGAATTGTAATTTCCTGTGGATATGCACATCTACGTAGTATGTCCTTATTATCTAAAAAGGTTTCATGAAATTCTGTTGTGTGGTTTGAGAGGAGTTGCGATGACAAAAGGTTGCAGTAGTATATTGAACAAATAAGTTCAAAGGGGCGTAACTCCTAGAAAAAAAAATTGAATCATAATTTCCTGTCGATATGCACATCTACCTAGTATGTCCTTATTATCTACAAAGTTTCATGAAATTCTATTGTGTGGTTTCAGAGGAGTTGCGATGACAAACTGTTGCAGAGGTATATTGAAGCAAATAAGTTCAAAGGGGCGTAACTCTGAGAAAAAAAATTGAATTGTAATTTCCTGTGGATATGCACATCTACGTAGTATGTCCTTATTATCTGAAAAGGTTTCGTGAAATTCTGTTGTGTGGTTTGAGAGGAGTTGCGATGACAAAAGGTTGCAGTAGTATATTGAACAAATAAGTTCAAAGGGGCGTAACTCCTGGAAAAAAATTGAATCGTAATTTCCTGTCGATATGCACATCTACGTAGTATGTCCTTATTATCTACAAAGTTTCATGAAATTTTGTTGTGTGGTTTCAGAGGAGTTGAGATGACAAACTGTTGCAGTAGTACATTAAAGTAAATAAGTTCAAAGGGGCGTAACTCCTAGAAAAAAAATTGAATCGTAATTTCCTGTCGATATGCACAACTACATAGTATGTCCTTATTATCTAAAAAGGTTTCGTGAAATTCTGTTGTGTGGTTTAAGAGGAGTTGCAATGACAAGAAACAGGACTGACGGACGGACAGACAGATGGACGGACAGACAGACGGACGGACGGATCAAAAACATTATACCCTCCACAACTCGTTGCGTGGGGTATAATAACAGTATATTAACAATATTACCATCTGTGTAGCACTGTCGCTCGTAGTAGTCCACTCCATCTTTCTTAGCAGTCAGGTAATTCTTGAAAAATAGTTCACAGGTTCCATGAATATGATAATTAAATCCAAGACACTTATTTTCTTTATTACATGCCCTAGCACAGTCATCCACATCTCCCGTATTGGATGCGGTCATCCTGTCACCAGGTAATACACTTGCACTGGTATTAAAATTTGGTCTAAACAGCTTGGTACATATTTCCTTTTTAGATGCTTAACAAAAGACATCAAAAATATTATTCAGCTATTTAATAAGGCTTTACAGACATTTAAAATTAGTAATGAAGACATTTCTGTAAAACTGTAATGAAAAAGGTTTGGTTATTATGAAGTATGAAGTTTAGAAACTAAAAGCTTATGTTTAGTTCCAGTTGGAATCATTTTGATAAAAATTACCTCCCTTAAGTAAAAATTGAAAAAAAACATTAAAATAGAAGGTGTTAGCAGTCTTAAAAGCATCTTGACATCCTAGTATCTATAGGTGACTAGATATAGTATTTGGTGTTATACTAGATGTAGCTTGGGGTGCTATGTGTGACTAGATATAGTTTGTGGTGCTATGTGTGACTACATAAAGTTTGAAGTGTCTATGTGTGACTAGATAGAGTTTGTGTTCTATGTGTGACTAGAAATAGCTTGGGTAGTTATGTGTGACTAGATATAGCTTGGGGTGCTATGTGTGACTACATTAAGTATAAAGTTTGTAGTGTCTATGTGTGATAAGATATAGTTGAGGGTGCTATGTGTGACTAGATATAGTTTGTAGTGTCTATGTGACTCTGTGACTAGATATAATTTAGGGTGTTATGTGTGACTAGATATAGTTTGTAGTGTCTATGTGTGACTAGATATAGTTTGTGTTCTATGTGTGACTAGAAATAGCTTGGGTAGTTATGTGTGACTAGATATAGCTTGGGGTGCTATGTGTGACTACATTAAGTATAAAGTTTGTAGTGTCTATGTGAGATAAGATATAGTTGAGGGTGCTATGTGTGACTAGATATAGTTTGTAGTGTCTATGTGACTCTGTGACTAGATATAATTTAGGGTGTATTGTGTGACTAGATATAGTTTGTAGTGTCTATGTGTGACTAGATATAGTCTGTGTTCTATGTGTGACTAGAAATAGCTTGGGTAGTTATTTGTGACTAGATATAGCTTGGGGTGCTATGTGTGACTGGATATAGCTTGGGGTGCTATGTGACTACATAAAGTATAAAGTTTGTAGTGTCTATGTGTGATAAGATATAGTTTAGGGTGCTATGTGTGACTAGATATAGTTTGTAGTGTCTATGTGACTGTGTGACTAGATATAATTTAGGGTGTTATGTGTGACTAGATATAGTTTGTAGTGTCTATGTGACTGTGTGACTAGATATAATTTAGGGTGTTATGTGTGACTAGATATAGTTTGTAGTGTCTATGTGTGACTAGATATAGTTTGTGGTGCTATGTGTGACCAGATATAGTTTAGGGCGCTGTGTTACTAGATATTGTTTGTGGTTCTATGCTTGACAAGATATAGTTTGTGTTCTATGTGTGACTAGAAATAGCTTGGGGTGCTATGTGTGAGTAGATATAGCTTGGGGTGCTATGTGTGACTAGATATAGCTTGGGGTGCTATGTGTGACTACATAAAGTATAAAGTTTGTAGTGTCTATGTGTGATAAGATATAGTTTAGGGTGCTATGTGTGACTAGATATAGTTTGTAGTGTCTATGTGACTGTGTGACTAGATATAATTTAGGGTGTTATGTGTGACTAGATATAGCTTGGGGTGCTATGTGTGACTACATAAAGTATAAAGTTTGTAGTGTCTATGTGTGATAAGATATAGTTTAGGGTGCTATGTGTGACTAGATATAGTTTGTAGTGTCTATGTGACTGTGTGACTAGATATAATTTAGGGTGTTATGTGTGACTAGATATAGTTTGTAGTGTCTATGTGTGACTAGATATAGTTTGTGTTCTATGTGTGACTAGAAATAGCTTGGGTAGTTATGTGTGACTAGATATAGTTTGTAGTGTCTATGTGACTGTGTGACTAGATATAATTTAGGGTGTTATGTGTGACTAGATATAGTTTGTTGTGTCTATGTGACTGTGTGACTAGATATAATTTAGGGTGTTATGTGTGACTAGATATAGTTTGTAGTGTCTATGTGACTGTGTGACTAGATATAATTTAGGGTGTTATGTGTGACTAGATATAGTTTGTAGTGTCTCTGTGTGACTAGATATAGTTTGTGTTCTATGTGTGACCAGATATAGTTTAGGGTGCTGTGTTACTAGATATTGTTTGTGGTTCTATGCTTGACAAGATATAGTTTGTGTTCTATGTGTGACTAGATATAGTATGGGGTGTTATGTGTGATGTTGCTGTGTGTAATTAGATATAGTTTGTGTTGCTATGTGTGAGTAGATATAGTGTGTTGTGCTTTGTGTGACCAGATATAGTTTATGGTGCTATGTAGTAATAAATACAGTTTTCAGGAGCTATGTATTGTTCAGTGTATATGTTCGTGAGTAAATGTATTGTACAGTGTATATGTGTGTGAGTTAATGTATTGTATAGTGTCTTTGTGTGTTAGTAAATGTATTGTACAGTGTGCATGTGTGTGAGTTTATGTACTGTAGTGTGTATGTATGTGAGTTTATGTATTGTACAGTGAATATATGTATGAGTACATGTAAAGTACAGGGTTTATGCTTGAAAAGTTGTAATGTACAGTGTTTATGTATGAGTGCATATAATGTACACTGTCTATGTGCTAGTACATGTAATGTAACAGTGTCTATGTGTTTGCATCTGTTGTTTGTACTCTATACCCAAGTATGTGTAAGGATCTGAAAAATATGATACTTCCTTCAAATGTAAAGAATTTATTGAGAGCCATTTTCTAAAGAATGCACATACCTTTTTTCTCAGGACATAGAGTGTTATAGGAGTCTAACACATTGGATACACTTTTTATTTCCGTAGATTCTTTACAGTCATTCCAATAAGGCCCAATACATGTCTTCAGTTCAGCAAATTTTCTTTAAATTATAAAGGGAAATAACTCTAGAACGGTTAAAGTGACGACACCAAAATTCAAACTTGATCTGTGTTTTGTAGTAATGAGCATTGTGTATAAGTTTCATAACATTTGGTTGAGGCAAACTCAAGTTAAAGAACGGAAACCAATTTTAGGACCAACGTACGTATGTACAGATGGACAAGGGTAAAACTTGTTTTTTCAGCCGCTCACTCAACATGGGAAGGCAGTTAGGATGCCCCTAATCCCACACAAGGGCAAATATTAATAAAAATCAAAACCCTGACCATGCAAACCTTCAATATATGTTCAATACATGTACAAGCAGCCAGCAAAGTGACAAATTCCTAGCACTCAAACTGTAGGAAGAGTTATCTGGAATAGCTATGCACCTCTTATGCAAGTATATACTCCAAATAAATGTGGATAGTGTCCACATGTGAACACAGATGATGCCCCCACTTGCATATCATATATTTATAAAGGGATATAACTGAAGAACGGTAAAAGTGACGCTACCCAAATTTGAAATTGATCTGAGTTTTGTGGTAATAAGCATTGTGTGTAAGTCTCATAACATTTGGTTGAGGCTAACTTAAGTAGAGAATAGAAACTAAAAATTCAGCAATTTTTCTATTTGTAAACACGCATAACTCTAGAACGGTTGTGTATAAGTTTTATAACGTTTGGTTGAGACAAACTAAAGTTAGAGAACGGAAACGAAAAATTCAGCAATTTTTATGTTTATAAAGGGACATAACTCAAGAATGGTAAAAGTGTTGCCACCAAATTTTGTACTTAATCTGTATTATGTAGTAATAAGCATTGTGTATAAGTTTCATAACATTTGGTTGAGGCAAACTAAAGTTAGAAAACGGAAACAAAAAATTTGTACTTGATCTTAGTTTTGTGGTAATGAATATTGTGTATAGGTTTCATAATGTTTGGTAGGGGGAAACTTAAGTTACAGAATGGAAACTAAAAATTTTGCAATCCTTCGATTTATAAAGGGGCATAACTCAATAATGGTTAAAGTGACACTACCCAAATTCAACTTGATCTGTGTTTTATCAGTGGAAGTCAAAATTAAACATTGCATTGTATAAAGCATAGATTGTAGCTGATTCAACTATAATCATGGACAAAGGAAGATAACTCCAATTTTAATAAAATGCTCCGCTGGGGCGCAGCTTGATACGACCGCAGAGGTCGAACCCTGAACAGTTGGGGCAAGTATGGACACAACATTCAAGCTTGATACAGCACTGAATTTGGATTGTAATTAAATATTTGACACAGCATAGGTTTCTGACACAGAATGAAAGTGGTCTAAGAACTTAAAATTTTTAATTTACCTATTCAAACCATATCATTATTATTTGCTTTTATATATAAATCAAAAATAACCAATTTAAAATGGTAAATTTTAAAGAAAAAAAAGGAAAAAAAAGTCCCCCCCCCCCCCCCCCCCCCCAAATTTGTTGAACCCCCTTATGATTCATCACCCCCAAACTCAATCCCAGCCTTCCCTTTGTGGTATGGTACCTTACAGTACAATTTCAGAGAGATCCATACACTTGAACACAAGTTATTGTCTGGAAACTAGAAAAATGCTTGTTTTTTTGGACCCTTTTTGGCCCCAAATTCCTAAACGTTTAGGGCAATTACCACCAAACTCAAACCCATACTTGTTTTTTTGCCCTTTTATGGCCCCCAATTCCTAAAATTTTGAGGAAATTACCCCCAAAATCAATCCCAGCATTCCCTTTGTGGTATGGAACCTTTCAGTACAATTTCAGAGAGATCCATACACTTGAACACACGTTACTGTCTGGAAACTAGAAAAATGCTTATTTTTGGCCCCTTTTTCCTAAACTTTTTGGGCAATTAACCCCAAACTCAATTCCAACTTTCTCTTTGTGATATGAAACCTTGTAGTACAATTTCATAAAGATCCATACACTTACACACAAGTTATTGTCATGAAACTAGAAAAATGCTTGTTTTTTGCCCCTTTTTGGCCCCTAATTCCTAAAATTTGGAGGCAATTACCCCCAAAATCAATCCCAGCATTCCCTTTGTGATATGGAACCTTGTGATACAATGTCAGAGAGATCCATACACAGACACACAAGTTATGTCTGGAAGTTACAAAAATGCTTATTTTTGGCCCCTCATTCCTTAACCCCCAAAATCAATCCCAACCTTCCTTTTGTGGTATTGAACCTTATGGTAAAATTTCATAGAGATCCATTCACTTAAACTAAAGTAAGAGTGCGAAAACCAATGTTTCTTCGGACGATGATGACAATACCGGCGCCGCTGACGTCATACCAATATACGACCACAAAAATTTTTTTGCGGCCGTATAAAAAATAGTTAGATTCAACATTTCGAAGAACCCCATAAATTCAACTTTTGTTGAATCAAATAAAGTTTAATTTTGGACCCTGATTTGGACCAACTTGAAAACTGGGCCCAAAAATCTAATATTTAAATACAGATTTAGATTCAGCACTTGAAAGAACCCTATATATATTTAATTTATGTTGAAATGAAACACAGTTTAATGTAATCCATATAATTTTCTGTTCAAAGGGAAATAACTCTACCTGAATAAATTATAAACACATAGTTCTCTAAAATTCGATATGATTTAACCACTATTTTCTTAAATTAGATATGATTTTACACAATGTATATCTATTTTCAAATTATAATCAAATATAATTAATAGTTCCAAGTATTTCTTCTTTCATTTGTCAAAAAAATGCTCCGCTGGGCGCCGCTTGATACGACCGCAGAGGTCGAACCCTGAACAGTTGGGGCAAGTTTGGACACAACATTCAAGCTTGATACAGGACTGAATTTGGATTGTGATTAAATATTTGACACAGCATAGGTTTCTGACACAGAATGAATGTAGTCTAAGAACTTAAAAAATTTTAATTTACCTATTCAAACCATATCATTATTATTTGCTTTTATATATAAATCAGAAATAACCAATTTAAAATGGAAAATTTTAAAGAAAAAAAAGGAAAAAAAAATCCCCCCCCCCCCCCCAAATTTTTTGAACCCCCTTATGATTCATCACCCCCAAACTCAATCCCAGCCTTCCCTTTGTGGTATGGTATCTTGCAGTACAATTTCCATCTTCGCTAGCCAAGGGTTACGATCCAGTCCCCTCCTCTCCACCCTTGGCTGATTGAGATAGAATTTCGGAAGCACAAGGTAATGATTTTCATTGGTTGCAGTCGAAACTCGCTGCATCCAATCAAAAAGCGCCTATAACATGATCACGTGTAAATGTAGAAAGTGTATGTAAACAATTGCCAAGTGCTTATTGTGCAACAAGTCTTTACATCCCTAAACATATGACTATATTTAGTGACAATTTGAATGTTTTTAATCAACTAATAGAAGTTCCTGTGTATGTTTCTTGCACAAATGTATGAATGTCAACGTATATTTTCTATTCCTGCTTTACCAAGTGTGTAGAATCTAGACGCTACCATGTTTTTACCTCCAAATTGAAGAGTTCAAGTGCTACCATTGGTCAAGAATAATGTATTCGGAATGGGAATGGCTTTAATCTACCAATAGATGGCGCAACATTGTTATCACAAATGTTGGCTTAATCTGCCAAGGGTGGAGAGGAGGGACTGCATCGTAACCCTTGGCTAGCGAAGATGTACCATTTCAGAGAGATCCATACACTTGAACACAAGTTATTGTCTGGAAACTAGAAAAATGTTTGTTTTTTGGCCCCTTTTTAGCCTCAAATTCCTAAACGTTTAGGACAATCCCCAAACTAAAACCCAGCTTTCCCTTTGTGATATGGAACCGGAATGGGCATGGCTTTAATCTACCGATAGATGGCGCAACATTGTTATCACAAATGTTGGCTTAATCTGCCAAGGGTGGAGAGGAGGGGACTGCATCGTAACCCTTGGCTAGCGAAGATGTACCATTTCAGAGAGATCCATACACTTGAACACAAGTTATTGTCTGGAAACTAGAAAAATGCTTGTTTTTTGGCCCCTTTTTGGCCTCAAATTCCTAAACGTTTAGGACAATTACCCCCAAACTCAAACCCAGCTTTCCCTTTGTGATATGGAACCTTGTTGTACAATTTCATAAAGATCCATACACTTACACACAAGTTATTGTCCTGAAACTTGAAAAATGCTTGTTTTTTCCCCCTTTTTGGCCCCTAATTCTTAAAATTTTGAGGAAATTACCCCCAAAATCAATCCCAGCCTTCCCTTTGTGGTATGATATCTTGCAGTACAATTTCATAGAGATCCATACACTTGAACACAAGTTATTGTCTGGAAACTAGAAAAATGCTTAATTTTGGCCCCTTTTTGGCCTCTTATTCCTAAACGTTTTGGGCAATTACCCCCAAACTCAATTCCAGCTTTCCCTTTGCGATATGGAACATAGAGTACAATTTCAGAAAGATCCATACACTTACACACAAGTTATTGTCATGAAACTAGAAAAATGCTTGTTTTTTGCCCCTTTTTTGGCCCCTTATTCCTAAAATTTTGAGGCAATTACCCCCAAAATCAATCCCAGCATTCCCTTTGTGATATGGAACCTTGTGGTACAATGTCAGAGAGATCCATACACTAACAAACAAGTTATGTCTGGAAGTTACAAAAATGCTTATTTTTGGCCCTTAATTCCTTAACTGTTGGTACCTTAACCCCCAAAATCAATCCCCACCTTCCTTTTGTGGTATTGAACCTTATGGTAAAATTTCATAGAGATCCATTCACTTAAACTAAAGTTAGAGTGCGAAAACCAATGTGTCTTCGGACGACGATGACGATGCCGACGTCATACCAATATACGACCGCAATTTTTGCGGTCGTATAAAAACTAATATAGATCTGCAACTTATCTAGCAATGTAATGTAATGAAATATATCCTTTAATTAAAATTGATTATTATCTAATGAAAGGAGTTCACTTCATCAAAAAAAAATTATATATATATAGCATTCAGAAAATTAGTTTATACAGAATAACAAACAAACCTGCCACAAAATTCATCAAACAATTTACCAAAGAAAAGAAAAAAAAAATCAAAAATGTCATTTATCATTCATACAATGTCTTTTAAAAATCTTTTAAAAAATCAGTTATTTCCCTTTGAACAGAATGGAGTAATTAATAAGAATGTCATCAAAAATTGAATTCTTGGGAAAGGCCTATAACTCAACAAAGAGAAATGCTTAAATGGTGAAAATTGAAGTTGACCTTCATTTAGTCACAGGAAACAACATATCTAAATTTGAAAATATTTCGTCAAAGCGTTTTCATGTTAATGAACGGACACTGTTTGGCAGCCGTCCGCCTGCCCGCCTGATCTTTAAAAAATCCAGTTAAAAACTGAAAAATTTCCTTAAAATTACCAATCTAGTGGCAGCAACCCAACAATGGGTTGTTAGATTCATCTGAAAATTTCAGGACTGATAGAACTTGACCTAATGAACATTTTTACTCCATGTCAGATAGTTCCAAATGCTTTAGTTTTTGAGATACAAGCCAAAAACTGCATTTTACCCCTATGTTCTATTTTTAGCCATGGTGGCCATGTTTTTAGACGAAACAAAAAATAAAACACACACTTTATTCTAGACACCCTAAGGATCATTCAGCTTAAGTTTGGTTGGAATTGGTTATGTAGTTTCAGAGAAGAAGATGTTTGAAATAGTTTACACAAGACGGACGACGACAGACAACAAGTGATGGCAAAAGTAAACAGTATAGGACTTAGTGCAGTGGTAAATTCCCCCCAAAAAGACTAAATATTCATAAGTCATGAACATTTCAATTAACTTACAATCAATATGTATGGCAAGCTTCTTTTTTTTGTGAAAACAGCTACTGGTCTAATATTTAAGGTAAAAAAAACAGAAAACAGAAAATTTCAAAAACAAATGTTCTTTCATTAAGAAACTTACTTGCAAATCTGTAGCATAGAATTCCCTTCTAACTTAATCATTGGTTCCATACATTTTGACAATTCAACCATGTCACATTTACTTTCTGTCAATAAAAAAAATATATTATTGATTTATATCAAGTTGGGCATATTCATCTCTGGTGTAGTGTTCTCTAAAGTAATGGTCAAATTAAGGATTAAAATGCTCAAGATGTGAATAAATGGAGATTTGAGGTTAATATCCCTTACACAGAAACCCAATGAAACAAAAGTGCTATAAGAGTTCATTTCTAAAAATAAAGAATTTGAGAAAAAACTAAGTATAAGTTAGGACAGGGGGAAAAGCTAGTTATTAAATATTGTATTGAGTATAATATAGTCTTTATCGTCAATTTAAACATTTTTCCTTTGATCTTACTGCCTCATATATTTAAGATCAATGACAGGACTTGATACTTGAAAATATTAGGCAATGACGTCATGTATCAGTGCTGCAACGTCACATGCTCAAGCCCATCCGCAGCATTTTATCAATGAAATGCATGTGACTTTATTCATACAATCGAACAACTATCCCAACATAATGGCATTTAATTTTGATACACATTTTATCAGTTGAATATCAGCTCCCCCTTGAGGGCACACTTGATATTCTTGCTGATAAAGTCAGTATCAAAAACAAAAATGTCTTTATTCTATATGTATCCGCAGCCTAGCTGTTATTGAAAATGACAGAATGCAAAACTCAAAAAAGATAATTTTTGTGAATGCTCTTAAGGGCATACAATACATTTACAGGGAAGGTAATGACATTGCTATATAATGTTATTTTTTGCGTCGTCAAACTGCAACTTGAAAACGAGTACATGGATCCCTCTTTAAAATGACAAATGACTTGATACTATATAAAGTTTTTATTTGTTCCAAATTTTAAGAAAAAGTCACTGACAAGTTTTAAAAAGTTATTTACATATGCAGCAAAAAATGCCATTTTTTTCTAAAATCATAAAATTTTAATAAACATGAAGTATTTTCAAAGAACGGTTTTACAAATTAAGTGTAAACTTTTGTAAAGAAGATATTTCAAATCATTTTACAATAAAATACTCCGCTGGGCTCAGCTTGATATGACCGCAGAGGTAATACCCTGAACAGCTGGGGCAAGTATTGACACAACATTCAAGCTTGATACAGCACTGAATTTGGATTGTGATTAAATATCTGACACAGTATAGGTTTCTGACACAGAATGAATGTGGTCCAAGAACTTAAATTTTTTTAATTTACCTATTCAAACCATATCATTATTATTTGCTTTTATATATAAATCAGAAATAACCAATTTAAAATGGAAAATTTTAAAGAAAAAAAAAGGGAAAAAAAATCTCCCCCCCCCCCCTCCAAATTTTTTGAACCCCCTTATGATTTGGCCCCAAATTCCTAAACGTTTAGGGCAATTACCCCCAAACTCAAACCCAGCTTTCCCTTTGTGATATGGAACCGTGCATTACAATTTCATAAAGATCCATACACTTACACACAAGTTATTGTCCTGAAACTAGAAAAATGCTTGTTTTTTTGCCCCTTTTTGGCCCCTCATTCCTAAAATTTTTAGGCAATTACCCCCAAAATCAATCCCAGCCTTCCCTTTGTGGTATGGTACCTTGCAGTACAATTTCAGAGAGATCCATACACTTGAACACAAGTTATTGTCTCGAAACTGTAAATGCTTGTTTTTTGGCCCCTTTTTGACCCCAAATTCCTAAACGTTTAGGGCAATTACCCCCAAACTCAAACCAAGCTTTCCCTTTGTGATATGGAACCTTGTAGTACAATTTCATAAAGATCCATACACTTACACACAAGTAATTGTCCTGAAACTAGAAAAATGCTTGTGTTTTTGCCCCTTTTTTGCCCCTTATTCCTAAAATTTTGATGCAATTACCCCCAAAATCAATCCCAGCCTTCCCTTTGTGGTATGGTAACTTGCAGTACAATTTCAGAGAGATCCATACACTTGAACACAAGTTATTGTCTGGAAACTAGAAATGCTTGTTTTTTGGCCCCTTTTTGACCCCAAATTCCTAAACGTTTAGGGCAAATACCACCAAACTCAAACCCAGCTTTCCCTTTGTGATATGGAACCTTGTAGTACAATTTCATAAAGATCCATACACTTACACACAAGTTATTGTCCTGAAACTAGAAAAATGCTAATGTTTTGCCCCTTTTTTGCCCCTTATTCTAAAATTTTGAGGCAATTACCCCCAAAATCAATCCCAGCCTTCCCTTTGTGGTATGGAACCTTGCAGTACAATTTCAGAGAGATCCATACACTTGAACACAAGTTATTGTCTGGAAACTAGAAAAATGCTTATTTTAGGCCCCTTATTCCTTAAGGTTTTGGGCATATACCCCCAAACTCAATTCCAGCTTTCCCTTTGTGATATGGAACCTTGTAGTACAATTTCATAAAAATCCATATTCTTACACACAAGTTTTTGTCATGAAACTAGAAAAATGCTTGTTTTTTGCCCCCTTTTTGCCCCTTATTCCTAAATGTTTTGGGCAATTACCCCCAAAATCAATCCCAGCATTCCCTTTGTGATATGGAACCTTGTGGTACAATGTCAGAGAGATCCATACACTAACACACAAGTTATGTCTGGAAGTTACAAAAATGCTACCATAACCCCCAAAATCAATCCCAACCTTCCTTTTTTGGTATTGAACCTTATGGTAAAAATTTCATAAAGATCCATTCACTTAAACTAAAGTTAGAGTGCGAAAACCAATGTGTCTTCAGACGACGATGACGCCAAACGTCATACCAATATACGACAAAAATCTGCATGTGTTTATCTTTTGAAACAAAAAATATAAGTATGTCTGTCCAAAGGATAGAAATGTGCAAGAAACCGAAATTTTTAGTAAATGTCTAAAATTTCGACCCCATTTATCTCTAAATTTAGCACATGAAGGTATATTTTCTATTACATATTTGAATTAACTAAGTGAAAAATAACTGGTATGCAAATTTTCGTAAAAAAATCTGTGGGATCAAAACTGTATTGTATGCTCTTAAAGCACTATAACTGTTGTTTATCAATCAGTCGAGTGGCATGAGCAGTTCATCTACAGGGACAAATAGGCTGTCAACACTGAGGTTATGGGTTTAAACACCATTTTTGCAAGGTGTGTTCGACTACAATATTTCTTAATTGACCAAGATTGCAAGTTTTTCTCGCCGAGGTCAGTGTTTCTCTCCTGGTACTCCAACTTTCTCCATATAAAAATACTGTCCATCATGACATAGCCAAGTGTGCTGAAAGTGGGGGTTGTTGAACTGCTGACAAAATATGAAATCATTCTCCTCAATAGAATTGTGGGGAATTATGTGACAAAAAAAAATGTTTTATCTAACATATTGAAAGTTTCAAAGTGTCAGCAATCAGGAAGCAGGTATCTGTCAGAGCTAAAATCCCAGACATGTTACAACTCATTGCTGTCAAGCTACACGCAAAATCAGAAGTACTTCTGTTCTGACAGTAGTTTCTTTGAAAAATGCGACAAAAATATTTGCTTGACAAGCGCAAGAAATAGACAGACAGACAGACAGACAGACAGACCAAGTGATTGCAACATAGCCCCCAATCCTAGAATGGAGGTATAATTACAATATTCTCACAATAAATATAAGTACTTCATGAATAATTTATATTTTCCAGTGTAGCTAGTATGACAAAACTGAGTAATAATATTAGCAACGCATGGATGATGCGAAAATATATACACAATCTAAAACAAAACCAACTTACTACACATAGAATTGTACATATCCTTTAGAGATGCTAAACTGGTGAGCTGTCCCTTACAGCTGGTACGATAAGGCTTGATACATACTTCCATGGTTTCATACACCCTAAACAAATAAACAAATACATTTTAATCATTTATAATAAAATGCTTTGCTGAGCGCAGCCTGATACGACCGCTGAGGTCGAACCCTGAACAGTTGGTGCAAGTTTGGACCAAGGCTTCCAAAACGGTCATATGTTCCGGACATTTGTATAATGTCCGGTAAAAGTTCAGCTGGGCAAAGCATGAAACGGTCATCTACTTTTTAGTTTTCAAGGCTTTCTTAAGAGACGGTCATTTTAACATAATTCACGATCTTTTTGACCCAACCTTTTGCCTTTAACAGCCACACATTTCCGGTCATAAAAGTGACATGATCAATAAGTACTATCAAAACAACCCCTACTTTTAATACTTTCTCATTTTAATCAAGGCTAATTAGTTGTCGAACAGCTGAAACTTTCCTCTTCAGGTGACAGGTAAACTATTTGGAACCGGACATTGATCGGTCTATTCAAAGTTATTTTCTTATATTTCAGCGGTTTGCATCTAATTAATTTAGTCAAAAAGATTTAAATTATCAGAAATATGTTTACAAATATGATTTGATGAAAAAATTAAAAAGGTGAAAATGAAAAATCGTCATAACCAAGTTGTTTGAACCAGAGACGTCTCTGTTTGAACTAGTACATGTGTGTGCACATGTGTGCAGGTGTGTGCAGGTGTGAAATTTAATTATGCATTCTAATTTCTTCAAAAAATGCTTAAATTGTCATTGATACCTTTATCTCACGTTTATTTCGAATATTTTCTTGAAGAAATAACGTAGAAAGAGCTACTTACACTCATTCATGCTTTGCAAACGTACACAGAATTTATGCATCCATCTCTGGTCCATGTTTTACCATTGTCAAGATAACATCCAGTATTAGATTTAAAAACGAAAGTAAAGTTTTTGACAACGTTATTTTACACAAATAAAGAGTCTAAGGCAGATATAAGTACGCTGATGTTGCACACTTCGAATGATGCACTGTCAATTTAACAGTTTACGTCAGAGCCAGGATTTTGAATCAAAGAAAGTTTAATATCATTTTTTTTTTAATGTCAATCATTGGGATGGCCAACTCGGCAACTGATTACCATAATTGCCTTTTGTTTATTTTGTCTTAAGGGATTAAAATCGGGATAATATATAAAATGTCCGGCTGGCTAAAAATAATTTTGGAAGCCCTGGTTTGGACACAATATTCAAGCTTGATACTGTCTGAATTTGGATTGTGATCAAATTTTTTACATAATATAGGTTTCTGACACAAAATAAATGTCGTGAAAAATCTTAAAAATTTGAAATGGGTTGAAATATTTGTATTAATTTTCAATTGAAGATTTCTTGCAATTGCACAATACTGTGCAATTGGATATTTCTTGCTATTGCGAAATACTATGCAATTGAAGATTTCTGGCTATTGGGCACTATTGTGCTATTGTGCAATACCATGCAATTGGATATTTCTTGCTATTCTGCAATACTATGCAATTGAAGATTTCTGGCTATTGGGCACTATTGTGCTATTGTGCAATACAATGTACTATGCAATTGGATATTTCTTGCTATTCTGCAATACTGTGCAATTGAAGATTTCTTGCTATTGCGCAATACTGTGCAATTGAAAATTTATTGCTATTGCGCTATACTGTGCAATTGAAGATTTCTTGCTATTGTGCAATATTATGCTATTGCGCAATACTATGCAATAGAAGATTTCTTGCTGTTGCACAATACTATGCAATTGAAGATTTCCTGCTATTGCGCAATAGTGTGCTGTTGCACAATACTTCATATAATAATTTACACATCCTGTTTCGTGTGCATCTCCTGCCATATCAGTATATTTTGCTTTTTAATATAAATCAGAAATAATAAATGCAAAAATGGACAATTTTAAGGAAAAAAAACCCCAAAAATTATGATAAAAAATCCCCCCCTAATATTTTTTACCCCTCTTTTAGTAATTACCCCCAAACTCAATCCCAGCTTTCACTTTGTGGTATGGAACCTTGCAGTACAATTTCAGAAAGATCCATACACTTAAACACTAGTTATTGTCTGGAAACTAGAAAAATTCTTGTTTTTTACCCCTTTTTGGTCCCCAATTCCTGAGCGTTTGGGGCAATTACCCCCAAACTCAATCCCAGCCTTCCATTTGTGGTATGGTACCTTGCATTACAATTTCAGAGAGATCCATACACATAAACACAAGTTATTGTCTGGAAACTAGAAAAATGCTTGTTTTTGTCCCCTTATTCCAGAACATTTAGGGCAATTACCCCCAAACTCAATCCCAGCCTTCCTTTTGTGATATGGAACACTGTGGTACAATTTCAGAAAGATCCATACACTTACACTCAAGTTATTGTCCGGAAACAACAAAAAAGCTTGTTTTTGGCCCCCAATTCCTAAACTGTTGGTAGCCATAACCCCCTAAATCAATTCCAACCTTCCCTTTGTGGTATTGAACCTTCTGGTAAAATTTCATAGAGATCCATTCACTTGAACTAAAGTTATTGTCCGGAAACCAAATTTGTCTTCGGACGACGATGCAGACGACATCATACCAATATACGAGGCAAAAAATTTTTTTTTGTGGTCGTATAAAAATATACCATCATCTACCGCTTGTCTCTTAGATTCTGCATTTGCTGCTCCTAGTGATTTCAACCTCAGATAACAAGGCTGACAAGTCGTTAGGTAGTTGCAAAAGTTGACGGATTGAATGGAAACCCTTACGGTAGTAGACCTTTACAAGGGACAGAACTCTTAAAAACAATTGTGTATTAGTGTCAGATGTATACTCTAAGTTTCTGATTAATAAAAGTTATTCAAATTTTGTATCATATGATATGCCTTAAAATCATTGATAAAACGAACTATTACATATGCATCACCAATATATAAGATTTATCTCCCATAGTCCTGGTCTAACATGCAATAACAATTTTGAAAGTTCAAAATTTTTTTTCTCAGTTTCTTAACAATATACCATCTATAGAGAAAATGAAGTCCATGTAGGCACTTTTCTTCCCAGTCATTTCTAGCAGATATTCAGGTTAAAGAGCATAAAAAGAAGGTCAAAAGGTTCATGGTATTGGACCTGAATTTTTTTCTTCATCTTGTCATTGCTACAAAAGACATCTCATTTGTTCACACATGTATTAGGTATGGAAACACTGTATCCTCCTTCGATTTGTTTGTATACAAATCTAGTCCATGGTGTGCATAGTGTAATTCTTGCAAATTTTTTTCATACACCTAATCCAGATGTATTTCTGACATTTAAGTTGCTTTCGTCTACATCAATTGTTCTCTTGCGGATAGTTGTCTCATTGCAATCATACCACATTTTATTCTTATGTTTATAACAATTAACCTCCAAAATCTGGATATGATTACCTTCTGATTTCAGCATATTTACAAGTAATAATGTGCCCAAGCATTTAAACTGTTAACTATAGGTAAAGCCTGCTTACATGTTTAACCCACAACATTCTCTATGTGCCTTGTCCCACGTCAGGATCTTGTAATTCAGTGGTTGTCATTTGCTGCTGTTAATCATACTTGTTTTTCCTTTATTGTTTTGTACATTAATCAGGCTGTTAGTTTTCTCGATTGATTGTTTTACATACATCATTTCAAGGCCTTTCTTTATAACTTGTTCTGCGGTATGGGTCTAGCTCATGCTCAGTGCTGAAGGCTGTATGTGACCTATAGTTGCTAACTTCTCCTTCATTTGGTCTCTGGAGGAGAGTTGAATCATTAGCAATCATACCTCATCTTTTTACATTAATTTACACTTACTGGCACATCTCTTTAACATTTCCTGGATTGATTCGAGCGACTGGCATCATACAAGTCTGTACAGCCATCATATCACATGAACGATGTAGCTCTATAAAAAAGATGAAAAAACAGCTGAAATACTTGGAAAAAATGTGTTTATTAGCCTTTTACATCTATTAATGGGCACTGCTAAAAGGAATGAATTAACCTTGTAAATTACAAAAGTTCATTTAAACATTTAGGGGGGGGGGGGGGGGGGAGGGGGCACACTGGATATCAATAATCTAAAATTCAAACTGATCATGTGCAAGGTAGATCTCCAGAACACCTACTGGGTATCTATAATTTGATACCCAGTAAATATCTGTTTGATTATATGTAATATATCTAAAGGATGCCTTCTTTTTATGTGTTTGCAGCAGAACTCATTTCTTGCATGAGCGAAATTGGTTGTCCTGTCCAGATATCACATACAATATTATCTGAAAACTAAAAAAGAACTATATTAAATTGCAATCAAATTCACTTTAGTAATTTTTATCTATATTTCTGTACCCATGCAAAATAGCTATGCATCTTTCAACATTTATTACATACACAAGATTCTATTTTTAAATTTTGGATATAAATGCTAAAAAGATAAACATATTACTAACTTTTATTTTTCTATCAGTTTATTGCTGATCTAAAAAGGTAACTAAGTTAAAACCTATATTCTATAAATTCAATAAACAGCTGCGGCAAGAGCGCATGATACGCCCTCATTGTGCATATTGAAATTGTAGCAAGTATAAAATAGGATATTTCGAAGGCATCTAATCATGTGTTCACATCTGCCATCAATAATGTCAAGTTTCCACTGTATCAATCAAAGCCAACTCAAGTTATGGTACAATATGTGAAAAATTTACTAAAATCTGACAATTGAAGTCCCATAACTCTGAAGCAACAAACCAGAATATTTGATTTGATTTTACACCTCACCATATCAGTAACTAATGAAGCATAACAAATTGAAGGGTGTTTTAGATCATAGTCACATACAAAAAGACATCAAATAGTGATGTAGTTTCATCTGCAGAATTTAACTGCCTGTTCAAACCTAAAAGACATAAATTCAATATAATTGTATCAATTCCTCCAAAAAGATAACTTACCATATAAGTTGATACTTTCTTCTGCTTTTCCTAGATGATTTTCTGCAACACATGTATACTTGCCAAAGTCTTCAGTTTTTAATGATTTTATGCTCATACTCCATCTTACACTGTACTTATCATCTTCATATACATTTATTGTATGTCTGTCAGATTTTAATATAGCTTGTCCTTTGAATAGCCAGGAAGCATAATTATTTGGAATTGCTGTAATAGAGCATTCCAATATTACCTCTTTTCCCGCATATTGGCCAATCCTTTTATTGAGCATTTCAATTTCTGGCGCAACTGCAAATATACAATTTTCAAAATAGTGCTCAAAAAGTATCATACAAGTTCAAAGTAGTCTTATAAAAGTCTGGATGATTTTTAAAGAGTGAATTATGCAAGTGGTTTCTTGAACCAATCTTTGTTAAACTGAGAATCTTTGTGTAGAAGAAAAATTATAAACTTTCATTGTATGTAATAACATTAATTATAGATTCCTGGCTGAAGATATAGTGAACAAAACAAAAATAATAAAATATAAAAATAAAGGTATTCACAAAAGGTAAACATACACAATTTTCAGTTGTAAACCAATTAATGTCATTGTGCACCACAATAGTTTTTATATATTTGTGTTTATATATCAATTAACAAGTTTGTTTTTAAAGATTTTAGAAGTTGGTCAGTATTCATTTCTATGCGTAAATTGTTTTCATTTGAGCTTTTTTTTTTTTTTTATGTTAATATCCCAGACCTTTTCAGCGCAAATAGTTTCCTGGTTTAAACAATAAAAAAATCTCAAATGCACAGTCAAGAAGATGAATGTTTTCATACCCTCAAACCCCATGAATGTGTAAAAGTATATTTTCATGTTTTTATACATATATATTTTTAGACTGTTGTATAAAACATACATGTGATGGACTGTGAAACTCAGATCAGGAGACTGGGAAATTTTGGTCAGGAGATTAGGACTCAGATCAGGAGGTTTTTAATCGACAGAAATTTTGTCGTAAATGTAACCGTGTGCTGTAGAAATTGTCTTTTAAAGTATTTTTTCTTCAGCTTTCCATCCGAATGTATTATGTTTATAGTAACCTTGTACTTATAAATTTTCTCTATCTTTATTCAACATGTTCAATCTAACATTCTTTTTTTTTCAGTTTTTTAAATTCTTTATTTTATATCTGTTTTATCATTATTCTTTAGAACAATCACTGCAATCAGAACATTTGTTTAACTATCTTCAAAGAAATCTTTTTTGCGTGTTAAGAAACACATTTCAACTAAATGCATGGTCAAAGTGATTATATAAATTTCAATTTAAGCCCTAAAAGGAAGTATAGAACCCTCAAATAATTTTCAAATTATTATATTTTTATTTGTCCTAAGACATTTAAAATCATTTAATTACCATCCTTTTATGATTATTTGTTCAATTTATATTTTATTTATATTCTTTTAAAAATTTACATTATTTAAAGGAAAGTAACTTAAAACAGGATAAATCAAGGGAAGTAACCCAAAATTCATTTCAATTATTTTTAAATACACAAAGTTTTTATTACACAACGGCAGTTAGCCTGAGGTAAAAATCGTTGATTACCAGTATGTTTGACACCCAAGCTGACAAGTGAAGCCATAAAATTATGCATGTTAATTGATTTACAGGGAAAATATAACTTCAGGTAATGTCAGTTACACCAGATATGTTGGGCTGAAATTTTTCATTCATGAAATATTTCATACACAGGATTTTTTTCTCTTCAACGAAAGGTTGGGAGGAGACCCTTGAAAACAGGATTATTATACTCTCGTTGGGAGGTTCACATGTATGATAAAAGGCAGCAGTCCCTGTTCACTTGTGTATTTTTAATTACCATTCATAAGACTCTGTGTTTAATAAATCAGCTGCACAAGATTACAAAGTTGGTACTCTAAACAAGAGTTTATTTTATCGCCAATTATAATATAAAATATTTAATTTTCAGAAAATCTATGGCACTGGTGAATATTTTAAAGAAATTAGCATGTGTTTTATAATAAGGAAAATCTCTCTTAAAACTTTAATTTAGCCGATAAAGGTTTGTAAGCATCATGACCTAAAATTCACTCTATGTAGGTCATAATTAATCCAGTAGGGCATGACCTGCATTTTCACTTTCAGTGGTTGACATTAATTAATATGGTTTTTGTTCATTGTTGTAGGAAGTATAAAGGTGATAGTTGTTTACATCCATGTCCTTTAGTCTTTGGTAGGTAGTCGTCTTACTGGCAATCATGCCATGTATCCATGTTTTAGGCAAACCTACACAATGAAGACATTTCTTAAGAAACTAGACCATGCTAGACACTGAACAACACCTACTTGTATTTATGGTAATAGCTTTAAAGTTTTTTTCGTGTTTTGTTTTAAAAGACTCATTCATGGTTTGTATACATTATTAGCTTCGAATTCGACAAAAAATAAAATATGATTTTTGTTTTTGTTTCAAACATTAATAAAGGCAGAATAAAGAAATTATATTCTGAAATAATTATAATATGTTTTTATATTTACTGTTTACAACAAGTCTGGCAACAGCCTCCACTTCTCCAACTAGATTTTGAGCAGCACAAATGTAAATCCCAGTATCATGTCTGGTAACATTTTCTATACGTAAGGTTTGATTAACTATTGTAAATTGAGGTCCCACAGTCTTTGTCGTCAAAGTTGTAGATAAATGACTGATTTTTCCTCCCTCTTTCTTCCAAATTACTTGTAGCCCCCAATCTCCAGCAACTTCACATACAAACTCTACAGTCTGCCCTTCTGAAGTTGCAATATCATTAGGAAATTTCTGGATAGTAGGCTTTGTTATTTCTAAAACAAATAAATATGGATAGTGTCCACATGTGAACACAGATGATGCCCCGCTTGCATATCATATAGTTATAAAGAAACATAACTGAAGAACGGTAAAAGTGATGCTACCCAAATTTGAACTTGATCTGAGTTTTGTGGTAATAAGCATTGTGTGTAAGTCTCCTAACATTTGGTTGAGGCTAACTTAAGTAGAGAGCAGAAACTAAAAATTCAGCAATTTTTCTTTTTGTAAACACACATAACTCTAGAACGGTTGTGTATAAGTTTTATAACATTTGGTTGAGACAAACTAAAGTTAGAGAACGGAAACAAAAAATTCAGCAATTTTAATGTTTATAAAGGAATATAACTCAAGAATGGTAAAAGTGTTGTAACCAAATTTCGTACTTAATCTGTATTATGTAGTAATAAGCATTGTGTACAAGTTTCATAACATTTGGTTGAGGCAAACTAAAGTTAGAAAACGGAAACAAAAAATTTGTACTTGATCTTAGTTTTGTGGTAATGAATATTGTGTATAGGTTTCATAATGTTTGGTTGGGGCAAACTTAAGTTACAGAATGGAAACTAAAAATTTTGCAATCTTTCGATTTATAAAGGGGCATAAATAACTAAATAGTGGTTAAAAATAATTGATCGGCACTGATTTTTGAACTCATCAAAGAGATTGATAATATAAACCTATAATATAAATTTCATAAAAATCTGGCAAGAATTGTACATAATAGAGTGCTCATAAGGCAATTTTCCATATAATTAATATATCCAAGGGGCATAACTCTTTAATAAATTATTTATCGTCACTGATTTTCCAACTTGTCAAAGGCATTGCTAGTATAAATCTATGATTCAAGTTTCATAAAATTCTGGCAAGAATTGTACAAATGAGAGCGCTAACAATGCAATTTTCCATATATATAATGTTTCCAAGGGACATAACTCTTTTAAAAATAATTGATCAGCACTGATTTTCACACTTGTCAAAGACATTGCTGATATAAATCTATGATATAAGTTTCATAAAAATCTGGCAAGAATTGAACACATGAGAGTGCTAACGACACAATTTTCCATATAATTAATGTTTCCAAGGGGCATAACTCTTTTAAAAATAAATGATCGGCAGTGATTTTCGATCTTGTCCAGCAAGACATTGCTGATATAAACCTATGATATAAGATTCATAAAAATCTGGCAAGAATTGTACACATGAGTGCGCTAACAAGACCAGACAGACGGACAGACGGATGCCCAGTATTTCTATGTCCCCGTAACCCTCTGCGCGGGGGACAATTAAACAAAATATGGCATTTATACTGCATCCTTTTTTTTCTACTTACTTACAAAATGAATGCTATAAATTTGCTTTAATCTAGTTATACATCCACTGTTTGTCAATGACCTTGACCTATTGACCCCAAAATCAAAAGTTTTTTATTCCCCTTTTCCATATCTTCCGATTAAAAACAGGGAAACTCAATTTACCAACCAAAAATTTTTTTCTAATTTTTTTTCTATATTTGTAATAGTGATCTTTCCCTATTGACCCAAAAATCAGTAGGCTTCTTCCCCTTTTCTTTAGCTTCCACATTTATAACATTCATATTAATCAAGCAAGGGAAACTCTTTTTTACCACAAGAAAATCATTTAAAAAAAATATAAAGTGACCTTGACCCGAGAACTGTTGACTCCAAAAATCATGTGTTTCTTCTAACAAAATTATATCTTCCATTGGTATAAATTCCATTCCAATGAAGCAGTGGATACTCAAGTTATTAGGACCATGTGAATGCAATATAGCCCCCATTCCTAGAAATGGGTATAAGAACCTGTATTTCTTTTCTTTCTTATAAACCAAGGTTCCTCTTTTTCCTCTTCATCTAGTTCAACAGATCGCTTCTCTTTCTGATTCAAACCTGAAATAAAAGAAGAATGTGCCTAAGGACACAAATGCCCCTGCTCAAGCTTCGCAAATTTTCCAAGTTAAAAAAGCTCAACTCTAGAATGTTAAATGACAAACTGCCTAAATTCCAACTCTGTGTGTGTTGTGCATTATGCATAAGAAAATAGCTAAGCAGCAAGTGGATTAGAAAAATTCGTAAGGGTTCTGCGGAACCCAGTGTCTCGCCAACTTTTGCTGTTAGTCGCAGGCTCAACAAAAATGGGGAAAAAATTATTAAAAATTTTCCTCTAGATACTATCTTTTGATTGTAAGAAGTTCTGTTCAAGTTTGGTAAAAATCCAAGAAGGTTTATGAATCTAATAAATGTTTTAAAAACTTTAACTGCAGACTGTACGTAATGTTAACTGGAATAAAACTAAGTCCATTTATAAGTAATATACAGAAAAACAGGAAATAAATTTTTACAAATTTCCTTCTAGATACTAGCTTTTGATCATAAACAAGTTTCTGTCCAAGTTTGGTACAAATCCAGGATAGTTATTAAAATTTGAAAAACTTTAACCACAGAGTGAATGTAATGTTAACTGGCAGAAAAACTAAGTCCATTTATAAATAAAATACAGAAAAATAGGATTTTTTTTTAACAAAATTTACTTTTGAACACTATCTTATGATCACAAACAAGCTTCTGTTCAAGTGTGGTACAAATCCATGATAGTTTAAGACAGTTATTAAAATTTGAAAAACTTTAACCACAGAGTGAATATTTGTGGACGCCGACAACGACACCGACGACGAAGCCGACAGAATGTAGGATCGCTATGTCTCGCCTTTGCGAAAAAAGTCGCAGGCTCAACAAAAATAAATCTGAAAAGGCATCACACAGTACCGTAAATTGGGTTATTTTGGTTGTAGTTTTATTTTGGTTTATTTGGTGCCTCCAATGAAAGTGCCAAAATTAAACACACTAAAATAAAGCAAACACTAAAAATTGAAACGCCAAAATAGCGTACCGCTACAACAATATCGTAATGTTAATTGTGGGGGGGGGGGGGGGGGGGGGGGGGGGGGAAATGTTTTATGTTATTATATCTTCCGTATATTTCCTACAATTCTATACATAGCCAAATCTGGAAATAAATACCTGGTATAATTTGACAACAACACTATATAATTTTTACTTAATTGTCAATTTTCTGAAATTATAAGAAAACACAACATGATTTTTTTTTCACACATGTCATAATTATGCCAGGTTATTGCTGATTAGACGCCTTTATTGGTAATTAGAATACCAAAACACCTTGTAATCCAATTAACATGTACTGCTAGAGACATAAGGATTAAAATTTAAATCCTTGATCGTTAATAGATTTACATGTACTGCAATAGAGATAAACAACATTTATTTCATATGATATTTGTAAAATATAAATAATCTATTTAAAAAGTGATTTTAATGTTAAAGATTTTATTTTATATTTTCTTTCAGTTTTAAACCACAATTTACGGAATTATTTGGAATTGCATCCATATCAGATTCTTTCATTAAGTTATTTTTGTCGTGTTTCTAGTTTGAGAAATTCAATGATATTTTGTCAATTAACCAGTTAATAACGGCAAATATGAATGAGCTTGCTCACTACTGTTGTTCCAAAATTAAACATATTAATTGGACGAAGCACCAAAATTACACACACCAAAATAAAACACATGCCTTTCGAGAGAAAACCGCCAAAATAACCTGACGCCAAAATTTCCCAATTTACGGTATAGCATGCTCACATGAAGCTTGAAACCAAATTTCATAAAGCTCTTATTTGTAGTCTGATTGTAGTTAATGAGAAAAGTGTGACCAAATTTTGATTGGTCAGACTGATGATCACATGGTAAGACAGAGGCAAACCAGGATACCCAACCCCCTCCTTTGAAGAGGGGGTATAGTAAGAAAATAATAATTGATAATATTTACCTTCTAGTTATTCCATACTGTTCTTCATTCTTCGGATACATTAAACAGCTGATCATTCTCCATGCATTCATCATTTCTATTAGACTCAAGCGTACTAGTTAATTCTAATGCACTGTGCAGATTCTGATATTTACCACATATTTTTTTGCACATGAATCATGCATCAGTTTGAATTTTAGATAAGTGTGTATACTAATGAGTTTACATAATAGGGTATTAATGAGTTTATACAACATTATTGTAATTGATTGGGATGCAAGCAGGCGAAAGGGATTTTTTTTTAACAAACATCTTTATACATGTATATTCAATAATATTCCATATTTGATATCCTCATTTAAGGAGCACACAAATCTTGGTAAAATCAAGAACCAGGTACCGTAGAAAGGCTTGTATAGTCCGCGGTTTTATTCTCCAAAATTGGACCTTCCAGACGGGGTGCGGACTATAGAGTACAATAAGCAAGAAATAAGAGAAAATTTCAATTTCGCGGGCGAGGTGGTTTGTTTACGTTCCGCCATGGAAGTTATATTGAAAGGAATAACATCGTCGTCACTTCAAAGGTTTCATCTGCGTTACCGCCCATCTTTCGATAACTCGTTAATTGGTTTAATATATGGCATGGTAATTGACTCTCGACATGTGATAGATCAAATCACTGACACTTTTCGGTCATTTTCGTGTTCCCGGAAAATTACGAATAGACCAGTTGTTGTCGTATGTACGTACGAAGTAACCCGAATAGTTCACTCGTTACATTCCGCTGCTGTACGCTACCGAATAGAGTCAGTCATTCAATGTTGATTTTAGTCTATTTTTCCTATTTATGTCTTTTTCGATCTTAATAGTTTAGGCCGACAGTTATCACATATTGAATTTAAGAAAAAGGGTGGATCATTTTCAATTTTAATACTTAAAACCATGCAGTTAATTAAGAAGACATTTCTGAAAGTTAAGAAGATGATTGTACAAAAAATATGTTTCGACCCCCTTTTATTAAATACGAATAATCCAAGTCTTCCGTGTATACCAGGCAAATTAAATATTCACAATTTTAAACGTTTCTATTCTTTAATTTGTACATAAACAAATTCATATAAAATAAATTTGCGGTTAGACAGATAGCGTCAAGCTCGTATTGTACGGTTGATTTTCTTTTTGCTGTAACGTGCTACATTAATATTAGTATTCAATTGTAAACACTTTTTTAAAATAGATATAAATTTAACATGTTTACGAACTTTTGATCCCGATTTTCATTGTCCAGTTTCAATAACGTAATCAATTACTTGAAAGTAAATATTTTTATAAATCTCGATAAACTTGGCACATTTCAACAGTAAAATATTCTATGTCTACATCTGTCTACATTATTTTGTTCAACATCATGTGAAACCTGATTGATTTATCGGTATTTAACTGTTTTACTCGGGATCCGCTTTTAACCGGAAAATACTTTTAGAACAGTTTAAAACAAACGGTAAAAAGCAAAAATATGCTAAATTAAATACAATTTTCCAAGCTAAACTGTTGTAGGTTGAACAATTCTCGTCCGTTTTTCAAGTTTTTTACATCATACGACTTCTTTCTGAAGGTAGAGGTTTTATATGATACAGCGCCACCTTCTTATTAATAAACCTCGGATTTCACACAGGTGCTTTATAATTACCGGACTCGATAAAATCACGTGACTGATAAGAAATTCCAGATGCCATTTTACAACCGCGGTATCACAGATAGTAACCAAAGGGGTCTTGCCGCTGAGACTATAATTGGATAAAATCATATGACTTTAGTACAGAGCTCTGCAGGCTGTTAATACATGCTAATTAGTCGTTGTTATTCCTTTTAAATATTACTTCCATGGTTCCGCCATCTTTGTTATTTATATTGTAGAGGGCGCTCTTATCATTTTTCAAACTAATAATTTTAACTCATCCATATTAATAAGTTATTTCTATTCAATATCACATTAATACTGATAAATATAAAAACTAAACCTTTCATTACAAATTTCTCGTTTCTTTTCAATGCATTGGTTGAAATAAACTGGTATCTGCTTGATTGAAACGATACAAACATAGTGAAAAAGACAACCGTAAACCAGCTTAGAATTTGTAAACTACAAAACATAATCGGTCATTGTTCGTTCCGTTTTGGTGTTTCATACTGACTAATATGGTTTGTATTAGCTTAAGACCCTTCAAACATTAATGTGATAGATATATTAAAGACTGTTTTACAAAAGGATGGAACTGTTTTACTTTCAAAGTCGTATTATAGTGATATCTGTTATGTACGGATTTCGACTCTCACCGGTTAATTTCTTCTTTTACACGTGCTTTTTAAACTTGCTGTTTAAACACACACAAGTTTCTAAATTGTTTTTTAAGTGAATTAAACTTATTTTAACAATCATGAAGCGCTCTAGAATCATTTACAAGCAGTTTCAGCTTCTGTTTGATGATGGAAAACAGGGTTTTCCAAGAAAATACCGCAAACGACCGCACAGGATTTGAAATTACCGGAGTTTCATTAGACCTTTTCTAACAGTTACAAAAAGTTTTTTTACCTAAAATTTCGTGGGGAGAAGGGGGTGCGGACTATGTACCACTGCGAACTATACAAGCCTTTCTACGGTATTTAAAAGAATTTCAATAACTGACAGTTGCAGGGCCTAATCTAGGATTTTGGAGAGGGAGAAGTGACTTCTCCTTCCATGAGAGAGAAGGGAGAAGTGGTCAATTTCTTGGAGAAGTGAGATTCCATTATCGTTTTGGTTGCATAGTGTTCTCATGCTTATCACCAATGAAATTGTTTTATATGCAATAAAAAATATACTTGCAGTTTTTTCATGTTATTGTACAAAAGGTATATATAGAAAGTTCTTAATAAAAAAGGTTTAGACAATATAGTTGTTATTTATTCATTGATACCATTTGTACTGTCAACTTCAATTTAAGTTTAAATAAAATGTGTTGCTTGGGACATGAGGGAGTAGCCTAGTAATATTATGATGCATTAAATTCATGTGCATCTGCCTAAATTTATTTTTAAATGTCCAGAAAAATATGACTCCCAGTTTACCTGATGAATTTCACATGTCTGGGAATTTAATTTATATCACCACTTGTCATTATTTTGTAAAACATTATTGAATGTCCAGGACATCATGTTACATGTAGTTGTAAATTGAGATTCTCGTTAAAGATTGTAAGCCTATAAATGAAAATATCTGTCAATCACATATTAATTAAACGATAAAGAGCTAATTTCTATCATTTTTTAAAGATATCTTCCCTATCTGCTGTCAACGAAATGGTCGTGAAAAAAAATCCACTGCTGATCACAGCTGGTCAAGTGTCGTACGTTTGCCACATTATTCATCAGCTGTCTTTCTACCTTTTATATTTCAATTTTTATTCAATGAATATAATAAATCTACCGTTAATTCCCACCCTTAATCTACCGAATAGTACAATTTGATCGACTCGTAATAAATAAAAATAAAACAAATCAGCTGAGTGATTACGCAACATCCTCAGATAAAAATAATCGTAAAATGATAACTTTAACAGACGGTCAGTTTTCCATTTGAATAATTTTGAATGTTATATCAGAGGATGTTCAAAGTCGCCGTTGTATTTATTTAATTTGATCGTCGACAGTATAAGTTCTGGGTCGTTTCGAAAATCTCGATTTTCCTTGTCAGTCGCCATTTTTTTTTATGCCTGGGAGACTTGTTATTCACAAGTTGTCTCCCTTTTACCGATTTTCATAGCGATTTGACTTCGCCATGAAGTCAGTCGGCTGGCGAGATTTAGCGATTTTCAAAATTCTTTGGCGACTTAAATCGTCATTTCACCGGCAAGATTATGGCCTGCAGTTGGACTATATTGACAGGAACTCCAATTAATCAACCTCAAACATTAATAATGTGATGCAGCAAAATAGTCAAATATCTGTTAATCTACCCAACACATCAAAATATTCAATGCTTGAGAAACCAGTAGGGATGGGAATGTGTTATTTTTTCGTTGAGGGTTCCTGTCAATATAGTACTTTTATGAAAGACAAAACATGATTATCATATCAAGATAAATATGTATTAATTCCTCCACCATACATAATGAATGAGTAACTAAATATAAAACATACCATAATTCATTATACTTAAATATGCAAACAAAAACATACCCATAGTTTTGTTTTCACTTGGTACTGGCTCCTGTTAAGAATAACATATTTTTATTTCAAAAAATTTACTGTGATAACACATATATATATATTTGCAATTCTATGCACTGGAAAGAACTCTGACTTACAAAAAAAAGATGTGAAATGGCATTCAACCTAGCTAATGTGTTATGGAGTGAAAAGTTTGTGGATATTTACAAAAGTCACATCTGACAACACTTGCATCAAACAAAACCTGTTTATTATCGAGCAAAATAAAAGTATTTCTTTTTCTCTATGCTTAAATCAGTGGATATGACCTCATTTACCAATATCAAATGGATGAATTTCAAAGATGACTAATTTTGGTAATGACCGCTTTCATGGGAAGGGAAAATACAATTTTTGTTAGGGAAAAAAACTAAATATTTTTAAAGCAGTTACTTTAATGGTGCTGATTTGATAGATAAAACAAACTACCTATATTTAGATGTCAGCTTTAGAAATGCCATAAGGAACCAAAAAAAATGTAAACTTGTTTGAAGCTTGAGGCTCTTTATAGATGTCGCTCACGTTGGTCTATGTGCACATCAAACAAAGGACACTCGCCAGCATTGTAGATGAGAATAGACTTCATGACAAAAATCTCTATTTTGTTGATCTTGTATTACCGATCTTTTAGTCTGTTTAGTTTCTCTCTATCTTCTTTAGTTTTTGCACAAAACACAAAAGAGGGTAAAAAAATGGGGAATGTGTCCATAGGACACAGATGATGCCCCCGCTTGCATATCTAATAAAGTTATAAAGGGATATAACTGAAGAACGGTAAAAGTGACGCTACCCTAATTTGTACTTAATCTGAGTTTTGTGGTAATAAATATTGTGCATAAGTTTCATAACATTTGGTTGATGCAAACTGAAGTTAGAGAACGGAAACGAAAAATTCAGCAATTTTTATGTTTATAAAGGGGCATAACAAGAACAGTTAAAGTGACACCACCCAATTTCAAACTTGATCTGTATTCTGTGGTAATAAACATTGTGTACAAGTTTCATAACATTTGGTAGAGGCAAACTGAAGTTAGAGAACTGAAACGAAAAATTCAGCAATTTTTATGTTTATAAAGGGACATAACTCAAGAATGGTATAAGTGACCCCACCCATTTTCAAACTCGATCTGTGTTTTGTGGTAGTTAGCATTGTGTATAAGTTTCATAACATTTGGTGTAGGCAAACTGAAGTTAGAGAACCGAAACCAGCTTTGGGGCGTACATACAGACGTACAGACGAACAAGGGTAAAACTTTATGCCCCCTCCACTGCGGCGGGGGCATAAAAAATCCTCATTTAAGGGCAATCACTCCTATGAAGAGTGACAGTCTACTAACTATAACGGCAAAATTTGACATTTTAATAGATCTTGCCTTGCTGATCATTTTTGTGATTTAAAATGTCTATTTATCTATTATAATTTAAATCATATAAGGCATAAAGGGAAAAAAATGTTTCTCTCTAAATATTAGTTTTCATGATAATAGGCAAAAATGAAAAAAAATGGTAAAATTTGTCATTTATGGGCAATTACTCCAATAAGAATGTGTCTGACAGTTTTGACGTATACAGACTATTGGTAGAGCTCATTATTTTGAACTTTTTTTGCTCCTTTCCGATTTTCTCTTTAACGGTTCAAAAAATAAGACAAAACTTGAATTTTACCCCTATGTTCTATTTTTAGCCATGTCAGCCATGTTGGTTGGTAGGCGGGGTCATCGGACACATTTTTTAAACTAGATACCCTAATGATGATTGTGCCCATGTTTGGTTAAATTTGTCTCAGAAGTTTCAGGAGAAGATTTTTGTAAAAGATTACAAAAATTTACGAAAAATTGTTAAAAATTTACTATAAAAGGGCAAGAACTCCTTAAGGGGTCAATTGACTATGTTGGTCATGTTGACTTATTTGTAGATCTTACTTTGCTGAACATTATTGCTGTTTACAGTTTATCTCTATAATAAAATGCTCCGCTGGGCGCAGCTTGATACGACCACAGAGGTCGAACCCTGAACAGTTGGGGCAAGTATGGACACAACATTCAAGCTTGATACAGCACTGAATTTGGATTGTGATTAAATATTTGACACAGCACAGGTTTCTGACACAGAATGAATGTGGTCTAAGAATTTAAAAATTTTAATTTTCCTATTCAAACCATATCATTATTATTTGCTTTTATATATAAATCAGAAATAACCAATTTCAAATGGAAAATTTTAAAGAAAAAAAAGGAAACCCCCCCCCTCAAGGCTTCCAAAACGGTCATATATTCCGGACATTTGTATAATGTCCGGTAAAAGTCCAGCTGGGCAAAGCATGAAACGGACATCTACTTTTTAGTTTTCAAGGCTTAAGAGACGGTCATTTTAACATATTTCGCGATCTTTTTGACCCAACCTTTTGCCTTTAACAACCACACATTTCGGTCATAAAAGTGACATGATCATTAAGTACTATCAAAACAACCCCTACTTTAATACCTTCTCATTTTAATCAAGGATAATTAGTTGTCGAACAGCTGAAATTTACCTGTTCAGGTGACAGATAAACTATTTTGAACCGGACATTGATCGGTCTATTCAAAGTTATTTTCTTACATTTCAGCGGTTTGCATCTAATTAATTAAGTTAAAAAGATTTAAATTATCAGAAATACTTTTACAAATATGATTTGATGAAAAAATTAAAAAGGTGAAAATGAAAAATCGTCATAACCACGTTGTTTGAACTAGAGACATGTCTCTGTTTGAACTAGTACACGTGTGCGCATGTGCACAGGTGTGAAATTTAATTATGCATCCTAATTTCTTCAAAAAAATGCTTAAATTGTCATTGATACCTTTATCTCACGTTTATTTCGAATATTTTCTTGAAGAAATAACGTAGAAAGAGCTACTTGCACTCATTCATGCTTTGCAAACGTACACAGAATTTACATATCCGTCTCTGGTCTATGTTTTACCATTGTCAAGATAACATCCGGTTTACGAAAGTAAAGTTTTTGACAACGTTATTTTGCACAAATAAAGAGTCTAAGCAGATATAAGTACGCTGATGTTGCACACTTCGAATGATGCACTGCCAATTTAACAGTTTACGTCAGAATTTCGAATTTGAATCAAAGAAAGTTTAATATCGTTTTTTTTTTTAATGTCAATCATTGGGATGGCCAACTCGGCAACTGATTACCATAATTGCCTTTTATTTATTTAGTCTTAAGGGATTAAAATCGGGATAATATATAAAATGTCCGGCTGGCTAAAAATAATTTTGGAAGCCCTGCCCCCCTTCCAAATTTTTTGAACCCCCTCATGATTCATCACCCCCAAACTCAATCCCAGGCTTCCCTCTGTAGTATGGTACCTTGCAGTACAATTTCAGAGAGATCCATACACTTGAACACAAGTTATTGTCTGGAAACTAGAAAAATGTTGTTTTTTGACCACTTTTTGGGCCCAAATTCCTAAAATTTTGAGGCAATTACCCCCAAACTCAATCCCAGCCTTCCCTTTGTGGTATGGTACCTTGCAGTACAATTTCAGAGAGATCTATACACTTGAACACAAGTTATTGTCTGGAAACTAGAAAAATGCTTGTTTTTTTCCCCTTTTTGGCCCCTAATTCTCAAATTTTAAGGCAATTACCCCCAAATTCAATCCCAGCCTTCCCTTTGTGGTATGGTACCTTGTAGTACAATTTCAGAGAGATCCATATACTTGAACACAAGTTATTGTCTGGAAACTAGAAAAATGCTTTTTTTCTTTTCCTTTTTGGCCCCTAATTCCTAAAATTTTGAGGCAATTACCCCCAAAATCAATCCTAGCCTTCCCTTTGCGATATGGTACCTTGCAGTACAATTTCAGAGAGATCCATACACTTGAACACAAGTTATTGTCTGGAAACTAGAAAAATGCTTGTTTTTTTCCCCTTTTTGGCCCCTAATTCCTAAAATTTTGAGGCAATTACCCCCAAAATCAATCCCAGCCTTTCCTTTGTGGTATGGTACCTTGCAGTACAATTTCAGAGAGATCCATACACTTGAACACAAGTTATTGTCTGGAAACTAGAAAAATGCTTATTTTTGGCCCCTAATTCCTAAACGTTTTGGGCAATTACCCCCAAACTCAATTCCAGTTTTCCCTTTGTGATATGGAACCTTGCAGTACAATTTCATAAAGATCCATGCACTTACACACAAGTTATTGTCATGAAACTAGAAAAATGCTTTTTTCGGCCCCTAATTCCTAAAATTTGGAGGCAATTACCCCCAAAATCAATCCCAGCATTCCCTTTGTGATATGGAACCTTGTGGTACAATGTCAGAGAGATCCATACACTAACACACAAGTTATGTCTGGAAGTTACAAAAATGCTTATTTTTGGCCCCTAATTCCTAAACTGTTGGTACCATAACCCCCAAAATCAATCTCAACCTTCCTTTTGTGGTATTGAACCTTATTGTAAAATTTCATAGAGATCCATATACTTAAACTAAAGGTAGAGTGAAAACTAATGTGTCTTCGGACGACGACGCCAACGTCATACCAATATACGAACGCAAAATTTTTTTGCGGTCGTATAAAAACTGCAAAATTTCCTTAAAATTACCAATTCAGGGGCAGCAACCCAACAATGGGCAGATAGATCTTAACCTGATGAACATTTTCATGTCAGATTTACTCTAAATGCTTAAAAGTTTCAGAGATATAAGCCTAAAACTGCATCTTACCCCTATGTTCTATTTTTAGCCATGTCTGCCATCTTGATTGGCAAGCTGGGTCTTTTAAACTAGATACCACAATGATGATTGTGGCCAAGTTTGGTTAACTTTGGCCAAGTAGTTTCAGAGGAGAAAATTTTTGTAAAAGTTAATGCCTGACGACGACAGACGCCAAGTGATGAGAAAAGCTCACTTGGCCCTATGGGCCAGGTGAGCTAATAAAATTGTATGGGTTTTGCTAATTGTTGAAGGGCGTACAGTGACCTATAGTTGCTAACATCTACATCATTTGGTCTCTGGTGGATAATTATCTAATTGGCAATCATACCACTTCTCCTTGTTTTATATTATCTTATTCTGAATGTTACATAACTTACTGGTTTTACTTCTGCTGTCCCTTCAACTCCATCTACAATAAAACAAGATTATAAAATACTTAATTTCACTGCTAAAAGCATGTCATAGTGCATCACATCCAATACTGATGAATTTCAAACACTGATATTTTTTATCCTTGAACTTTAGATTATGTAACTAGAGAGTTTATGAATGAAAGTAAATGAATTAAATGAATGAATTTAAAAATGTCTGTAAAATCATGCTTACATTATCAACTCTTGATATAACAAAAACTCAATTTTAAATTTTTTTTATATTATATTATTTTATTTGTTTTCATGGACATTCGTTACATAGGTTTTAATTTCATGCAGATAGAAAACCCTTTTGTAGATGAGGCAAAGTCTATGTTTTGCAATGGGAAACCCCGAAAAACATTCTGATCAATATATAACAGGAGATAGAAAATTCCCCCAAGTATCAATGTTTTAGAATTCACTGACACAAATAATAGAAAATGATAGTCAATGCTTTTTTAAATGAAATGGACAATTTTTGCTCTAAATATGTCTTAAATTTTCTATGCTTTTATTCATCAAAAATAGACCTCAATTGTATTCCTTTTCCTATAAATGTAGATTATCAATGACTGATAGGACTCATCCAATAACGTTTTTGCTTTTTGCATTTATTTTTTTTTTTTTTTTGCTTTTTCATTTTTTTTTTTTTTTTTTTTTTTTTTTGCTCTTAGATGATTTAAAGATTAAAACTCTTAAACAGTCCAAGAAAGAAAGAGGTCTGAAATATTATTTTATACGCTACATACCTAAACTAATAGTAGTGTTCTCTGCTTCTGGTTTATAGCCAAGTTCAGGGTCATCTTTACAAATATACAAGTTATTTTATTAGTTATACTTTCTTTGGATAACTGAATTCAAAATGTGTTACTTACCATAGATTTTTATTCAAGACACAAGTCATACTCAACAATAAAATCTGAAAAAATTTATTAATATTTGTGGATGATGGATGGCTGTTTAAACATTCAATCAACCTACTGTGGATTCATTAATATTCGTTGGATACCAATTTTCGTGGATCTTGTGGGTACAGGTAAACCACGAAATTAAGTGTTCAACGAATTACAAATTGTCTTTAAGGTTATATGCAGACTTTGGCAAAAGCAACGAAATCAAATATCCACGAAAATGCAAGTTTTCCTCAATCCAAGAAAATCGGTACCAACGAAAATAAATGAATCCACAGTAAATGCTTATTCAGGAAGTGAACATGCCAATGATATGACCCCTGCTTTGTACATTATCAACATGGTGAGCCTGATTTTTACAATCTATTTCACAAAGTAACAGTTCCCAGGAAGACACCTAACCAGAAACACTATTCTGTGTATAAACTAATGTCATGTGCTTATTTCAGAAGCAGCAACTATCAATTTCATGTCATCGATTTGGTCAAAACCCAGGACCTCAGGCTCTTGAGGTGAGCACCCTACCAGGACCACCAAGGTGGTTGATCATTATCTTATTTATAAAGATATGATGCACTAGAAAGTTTTCATGTAAATTTAAACATATATGGTTTAGAGGTTGAAATCTTAATAGTTAAAAAATATGCAATTATTCGAACAATTTATGATACAAGTTGGATGGGGCATGACCTCTGGGAACAAAACAGGAAGATCCTGTAAAAACAATTGAGAAAACACATGGTTTTGGGCTGGTGATCAACTATTAATGATATAATTTTTTGATTTTTTGAGGGACAAATCTATGGTAAATTGGAAACGGTTATCACAAGGATAATTTTGACTTGAAATAAAAATAATTTAAATCATAAAAATTTATCTTAAAACACCTCTATCCCTTCCAAAAGTATAATTTTTTATCAGTTTTCACCAAGTCATGCAACTTTTAAAAAAAAACATTCCACAAGCAAATAACTGTCTGAAATTAGTTAAAACCATTCCTCTCATTATGACATTTAAAAACTATAAATAGTTTAGGGATGTCAATTTAATTAGCTTTTTAATTCTAAAACCATTAACAAATAGATAAGATGTAAAACAATGCCCTTCTCAAGTACATGTCTGTCGATTGTTATCAATACATGTTTATCGACAAAATATCTTCAATGTAAATCTGTCTATACAAAACAATAAAATGTTACCATATAACATAATGCCCAGCTTGCACGTTCTTGTGTCTATGCTCAGTAAACCTAAACATCAGACCAAAATAGTATTTGACATAAAATTTTGCCTCACAAATGCACCAAGTTACAAGTTCAAATTGACCCCAATTTCACGGTAAACTAACTTAATCAAAAACTTTAACCTGAAAATGTACCATCACATTTCTATGTTCAGTGAACCAAGAAATTGGAGGTCAATATGTGTATATAGTTTAGAGTTGGTGTTACCATAGCTTATGGTAAACTACATTAACAAAAGATTTTAACCCGATATGAGACGGAAACAGACCAGAAAACATACTGTTTCCTGACTACCATAGATGGATCCTTTATTAAAATACACATCTTACCATAATAGGGTATAGGATCAATGGGATATAACCATGTAGGTCTAGGTGGTGGAGTGTATGGATCAAGTAACATGTCATCTGGTAAACTGTCAAAGTTTACAGCATCGTGGCTTTTGAAATGATGTTTAACATGTGTATGATGCACCATATGTGACTTGGATAAAACCTGAAAAAAATAAATGTTATTTATCAAAACTGATTTTTATTAATAGGCATGTTCTCCTCTTCATATTCAATCATAATAAGTTAAATGAGATTGAATTTTGATCTTAAGAAAGTAACAAGACTAAAGGAAATTAAATGGTGTTCCTCCCTTCATCAAAATATTACCAACCTTCATTTATTTCCTCATCTGTCCTTTTTTATAAACATCTGGAGTGAAAAGTCTGACTTTCAACATCAACTTGCTTTAATTAGGGTGCCACCGGTGAATTTTATGTCAATGAAATGCGCGACTGGCTTACCAAGACTGTAATAAAATGCTTCGCTGAGCGATTCCTGATACGACCGCTGAGGTCCAACCCTGAACAGTTGGGGCAAGTTTGAACACAATATTCAAGCTTGATACTGTCTGAATTTGGATTGTGATCAAATTTTTGACATAATATATGTTTCTGACACAAAATAATCTTAAAAATTTGAAATGGGTTGAAAAATTTGTATTAATTTTCAATTAAAGATTTCTTGCAATTGCACAATACTGTGCAATTGGATATTTCTTGCTATTGCGCAATACTATGCAATTGAAGATTTCTGGCTATTGGGCACTATTGTGCTATTGCACAATACTGTGCAATTGGATATTTCTTGCTATTCTGCAATATTGTGCAATTGAAGATTTCTTGCTATTGCTATTGCGCAATACTGTGCAATTGAAGATTTCTTGCTATTGAGCAATACTGTGCAATTGAAGATTTCTTGCTATTGCGCAATACTGTGCAAATAAAGATTTCTTGCTATTGCGCAATACTGTGCAATGGAAGATTTCTTGCTATTGTGCAATATTATGCTATAGCGCAATACTATGCAATTGAAGATTTCTTGCTATTGCACAATACTATGCAATTGAAGATTACCTGCTATTGCGCAATAGTGTGCTGTTGCACAATACTTCATATAATAATTTACACGTCATATTTGGTGTGTATCTCCTGCCATATCAGTATATTTTGCTTTTAAATATAAATCAGAAATAATGCAAAAATGGACAATTTTAAGAAAAAAAAAAAAAAAAATTATGAAAAAAAAAATCCCCCCCCCCCTAATATTTTTTTTCCCCTTTTAGTAAATACCCCCAAACACAATCCCAGCTTTCTCTTTGTGGTATGGTACCTTGAGGTACAATTTCAGAAAGATCCATACACTTAAACACAAGTTATTGTCTGGAAACTAAAAAAATTCTTGTTTTTACCCCTTTTGGCCTCCAATTCCTGAACGTTTGGGGAAATTACCCCCAAACTCAATTCCAGCCTTCCATTTGTGGTATGGTACCTTGCATTACAATTTCAGAGAGATCTATACACATAAACACAAGTTATTGTCTGGAAACTAGAAAAATGCTTGTTTTTGGCCCCTAATTCCAGAACGTTTCAGGCAATTACCCCCAAACTCAATCCCAGCCTTTCTTTTGTGATATGGAACCTTGTGGTACAATTTCAAAAAGATCCATACACTTACAAACAAGTTATTGCCTGGAAACAACAAAAATGCTTGTTTTTTGCCCCTTTTTGGCCCCTACTTCCTAAACTGTTGGTACCATAACCCTCAAAATCAATCCCGACCTTCCTTTTGTGATATTGAACCTTCTGGTAAAATTTCATAAAGATCCATTCACTTAAACTTAAGTTATTGTCCGGAAACCAAATTTGTCTTCAGACGATGACGCAGACGACATCATACCAATATACAATGCAAAAAAAATTTTTGCGGTCGTATAAAAACATGATAAGCAACTTACCTGTACAAAGAATTTGTACTGATTATCAGATTAGCAACTTACCTGTACAAAGAATTTGTACTGATTATCAGATTAGCAACTTACCTGTACAAAGAATTTGTACTGATTATCAGATTAGCAACTTACCTGTACAAAGAACTTGTACCGAGTGTCAAGTGTTGTTGAATACAAAACATCTAAATCCAAAGTGGATCCACATTTAACCTTGTTTTCCACTGATGGTATGTGGATATAACTATTAGATGGAGAGAACCATTTCTGAGCATTATGATAAGAACTTGGCTCATACATTTTAATAATATGATGGTATCTACCATAAGGTTGGAAGTACTTGGGTGCCCTCGCCTACAAAAATTACACATGTGAAAAAAGTAAGTCATACAAAATTTAATTATTGTAAAAAGCAGATCTATGTATTAAACAGATTTTTCTTTAAAAAAAACTAGATGTTGCAATTGTTGATACATAAATTTTTGTTTTAATGATATAAAATAAACATGTGGTCACTGATTTCGTTTTTGGTGTATTAACCAATCTGTTAACTATTTCATGGTGAAAAACATCAAAAATTGACTTTAGTTTAGACAGCCTACAACGTCTTTACATAATGCTTATTTCGACATTTTGAGGCATTTTTTTAACCTAGAACACGACTGTGATGATGCATACTAATTTGATTTGGTGAACGCTTTTCACAAATTGTATGTGCTTTCTATACAAATGCTCACCTACTTTGAAAGAATTCAATCAGTAATATTTCAGAAAAAGAGATAAATGCATTTTAGTTTTACTTTTTCTGATAAAGTTCAAAGAGCCAAAGTTGTATGCAAAATTTAACCAAAATCAGTGTCCAGTGTCAGCCCATTTACTGCAACTTGTGCAACTTGACCTTAAGAATAATGTTCCATTGCCTTATAATCAGTAAAGCTGTTGTTAATAGTTCAATATTATCCTTATGAAAAGTTGTATTGCAGGTGTGAAAATCTACAACAAACTTACATTAAAACTTAGTCTATTAACATCCTTTGGTAAAGTCTTGATAGCAAACTTTACGAGTCCATTATCATCACTTGTAAAATTTCTCTTTAGATGAAACTCAGGGTCATAATTATCAGCTTTTATCTCAATAAGTTCTCCTGGGGCAGGACTTCCATCAGGCTTAGTTACTATTACCTTAATAAATAAAACATATAAAACTTAAAAGACGGTATAAAGATTCTAAGCTAAGAACAGGAAGAGGAATAACGAAGCATTTCATCTACGTTAAAGGCAATAGGAATAAACTATCAAATTTTACCTCCACTTTAGGAGGATTTACTTTTAAAAGGACCAAAAATTAAATGACAAATGAGTTCAAGGACATGGATGCCTTTCACCTCGACCCCTCCCCTCAAAAAAAACCAACACAACCAAGTTTTGAAAACCACGCTACTGTGGATTCATCTATTTTTGTGGATACAAATTTTTGTGGATTGAGGAAAAAAAGGATTTTTGTAGATATTTGATTTCATGTTTGCCAAAGTCTGCAAACAAGCCTATAGAAAATTTATACTTAGTTGAACATTTAAATTCGTTGTCCACGAAATGCACGAAAATTGGTGTCCCACGAATACTAATGAATTCACAGTATCTGCAAAATGAAAATGAAGTAAAATAGTGGAATATTTAAAACACATTATTTAAAACAGCATGTGGTTATCATCACAATGAAGTTAAATTTGGTGTTTTTTGTTGTTGTAAAATCAAGAAACACCAAATCTGAAATAAGGTTCTTACCCTAATAAAAACAGACCGAATTATGACTCAGGAATGACAGCATGCAATATATGATGAACAAAAGTTTGGTCCAGGTAAACTTTTACTTATAATGATAACCTCAAATTATGGAGAAACATAACGTGTAAATTGTGAAGTAGCTCTTTGTAAATTGATCTTAAACATTTCAAACAATTCCAACCATTATGGAGTTTAGCAACACTAACTTACTTAATGAAGAACCAAAATGAGAATAATGAAAAAAGGGTTATTTTTTTACACTGTTAGGGCTGTTCTAGAAAATACTATGTCCCCTCCAGGGACAGCACTTTTTTTTTAATCCCCACCACCCACAGAAATAAAAATAAATTAGAACAACACTCCCTTTGTATTTTGGTATTTCAAATACAACCACCCACATAAAATTAAAAAAAAATTGCCTTCCCAGCCGGGGGGGGAAGGACATAGTATTTTCTGGAACAGCCCTTACTTTAAATCTAAGAGTCCTTAAAAATTACTAAAGTTTTTGAAAGGGAAAAAATAATTCATCATTTTTAAAGCATTAACGGCACAATACCTTAGCAGCATTTGGTAAATTAAAAAGAGCAAAAGACATTTTAATTGTTATAAATTAAAACAAACATTATTTATAAAGGATTAGATGAATATAGAACTATATCAGTAACATTTTAACACCTTGCAAAAAGCATATGCTTTTTCCAGAAATTTAAGGCTCGATTTGTATGCAACAGGGGGGAAAATTACAAAAAACAATGCTAACCATTTTTAGTATACAAAGTGAACTTAATATCTTATTTCAGCAAAAGTTCTATGGCAAAAAAAAAAATGGGAAAAAAACATTTTACTAATATTTCTAAAATGTATAATACTAATTACATAAGTGACAAAGATTAAAATCACCAGAACAGCATTTTGTATTCACTTAATGAAAAAATATATTTTAAATTTGGACTAATATTTTTAAATCACATGAAATAAAAGGAAATGTCCAATAATTAACAAGCAACAGGTGTTCTAAGGGCTATTCCAGGATAAATATGTAGGAGGCAGGGCATGTGTGGGTTGAGCAACACTTTTTTTAAACCCCACCATCCATAATTTTTATTTGTAACAGATTTGTATTTGCTTCAGTCTCTATTACCCACAGAAAAAATTTAATCTGCTGTGCAAAGCTCTCATACATTTCTTCTTGGAAAAGTCCTAATTAACAATCAATCTATAATTCAATCGAAAGTTAGAATTATTTTGTGTGATAAAACTTCAAACATGTCAAAAGAGACATGTAAATGATCTTCTTTGAGCGCTATTCCATTAAAATGAAGAAGAAAGGATAGGTTGGGAAGTTTTATCTTTGGACATTGGTTGTGAGTCATTTCTAGTTGTATGTAATCTTGTTGTATGCATTACTACTCAAAAATAGTATGTTGGTGGTAATGAACTTTGGTTGGGGAGAGGTCTGAGCCCTTTAAACATGTTTAAACCCGCCACATTCTGTATGTACCTGTAATTCAGTGGTTGTTGTTTGTTGCTGTATATTCTATTTTTTTTTTTGTAAATAAACTAGGTCCTTAGTTTTCTTGTTTGAATTGTTATACATTTGTCATTTTAGAGCCTTTTATAGCTGAGGGCTATTTCATTAAAATGTATGTGGGAGGGTAGGAAGGGACTTTCAAAATATCCCTACAACCAAGAACCATTTTTTAGATAATTTTGCATGATGGTAATAGACCCAAGGCTTCCAAAACGGTCATATATTCCGGACATTTGTATAATGTCCGGTAAAAGTCCAGCTGGGCAAAGCATGAAACGGTCATCTACTTTTTAATTTTCAAGGCTTTCTTAAGAGAGGGTCATTTTAACATGATTCGCGATCTTTTTGACCCAACCTTTTGCCTTTAAAAGCCAGAGCTCCAGATAAGAATTCACAAATTGGGGTTTTTACCCATCATTTTTTTATGTAATTGGGTGATAGAGTTTTTTAATTGCATTATCAATTCCGATTCACCCCTCAAGCAAATATCAAATTGGGTTTTTCACCACCAAGCTCCTTAATGTATTGGGTTTTTTCATCAACACAATATTGAATATTTAGGCATGTTATAATCACATTATATCAACCCAAGATGTTTTTCCATCTTTAATATGTTTCTTTCTTTGTATATGTGCTAGCTGTTTTGTTTGGTTTATTCACTGACGAGCAATTGTACGTTTGATTTGTGTCCCGTTTTAAACGTTCTGCCAGTTTTGTATTTTCTCGCAACTTATATAAACTGCAGCTGGTATCAATAGTTGGACAGTAACTAATTACCTTTCTAGATCCCATATGATATCCTACAGTTTATTTGGGGTAGGTGTGGCTTAGTGTTAAGATTTTTATGTAATTTATGTGAAATTTAGGTGCTGTAAGAAAGTTTTGCCAGTCCTTTCACCTATTTGCCAGATCTACTTTTTAATAAAAATAATAAGTAGTTCCCAGATTTAAGATATACCCCAAAACCTTGACCAGGTTTAAAGGGTGGTTTAATTACGGACACCACATTCAACTTCAATATACAAATAATTCTGCAACATTAAATAAATAAATAACACTTGCCAATAAGACAGCTATCTTAAGCATACAGAACAATTAGACCAAAATAAAAAAAGTGTCAAGCTGCATTGACGTAAAAAAACGGATATGTGTATTCACTCAACTAAAATGAAAAAATAATATATAAACTAAAATTATACCTGAATGTTTTTGTTTAATTTAATTAACATAAATCTGGGTTAAGTTGTCCCTTATTAGAACTTTTGGTTTCCGATGCTTTCCAACTACATATCATGTCATAATTAATTTGGCCTTTCACTTTTTCCAACTGATTTCGTTCTTGAAGAAACCCCGTGTTTATTGTTCTAGCAATGTTCTCGTTAAGGTACGCAAACACGCCCGTGCGTTCGACGGACGCTTCATAAAACACTAGATGAGTCTTGTTATCATCATAACTTGTCCTCAGCTATCAAAAAGAAGCTGAAAACATGCTTCTATTCAATATTTTTACCGGACATTTACTTTCGTTTTAATTCATTGTATGTTACGATAAGTCCCGAGCAATTCGAAAAAAATATGAAAACATGACAAACGCTAATTGGATAAACCCCGAGAAGATCGAAATGTTTTCATGAACACGTGTACCTTTTGAGCAACGGAAAATTCCAACAGGGACCCATTTCAGCTTCTTGATGCAGGGCTCTATTTTTAGAACGAAAGGAAATTTCCAATTATAAATATTATAAAAATAGATTTACGCGACGATTGTAATTAGATAAGGGTAAATAACGCAAACGATAGCGAATAAAAGCGTTAAGAACTCATGGTTTTGGCATATAATTGGGTTTTCCTTTGAATTAATTGGGTTATTGAACCCTGCAATGGGCAATTGCATTGGGTTTTTAATCATTTGTATTGCGTGATCACGCAAATACGCAGCTTATCTGGAGCTCTGAAAAGCCACACATTTCCGGACATAAAAGTGACATGATCATTAAGTACTATCAAAACAACCCCTACTTTAATACCTTCTCATTTTAATCAAGGCTAATTAGTTGTAGAACAACTGAAATTTACCTGTTCAGGTGACAGGTAAACTATTTTGAACCGGACATTGATCGGTCTATTCAAAGTTATTTTCTTACATTTCAGCGGTTTGCATTTAATTAATTTAGTCAAAAAGATTTAAATTATTCAGAAATACATTTACAAATATGATTTGATGAAAAAATTAAAAAGGTCAAAATGAAAAATCGTCATAACCATGTTGTTTGAACCAGAGACATGTCTCTGTTTGAACTAGTACATGTGTGCGCATGTTCACAGGTGTGAAATTTAATTATGCATTCTAATTTCTTCAAAAAAGGCTTAAATTGTCATTGATACCTTTATCTCACGTTTATTTCGAATATTTTCTTGAAGAAATAACGCAGAAAGAGCTAATTACACTCATTCATGCTTTGCAAACGTACATGGAATTTACGCATCTGTCTCTGGTCCATGTTTTACCATTGTCAAGATAACATCAGGTATAAGATTTAAAGACGAAAGTAAAGTTTTTGACAACGTTATTTTGCACAAATAAAGAGTCTAAGGCTGATATAAGTACGCTGATGTTGCACACTTCGAATGATGCACTGCAAATTTAACAGTTTACGTCAGAACTTCGAATTTGAATCATAGAAAGTTTAATATCCTTTTTTTTTTTAATGTCAATCATTGGGATGACCAACTCGGCAACTGACTACCATAATTGCCTTTTGTTTATTTTGTCTTAAGGGATTAAAATCGGGATACTATATAAAATGTCCGGCTGGCTAAAAATTATTTTGGAAGCCCTGTAATAGACACATACTGAAAAAAGACCCATGACCCACATTCAACAGTTGAACTTCCCTTCCTACCCTCCCACATACATTTTAATGGAATAGCCCTTACTATGTGGTTATGCTTTGCTCACTGTTAAAAGCTGTATGGTTGACCTGATATGTACTTTGTGTTTGAGTGGTTTTGTTGGGGTTTTTTTTGTGCTTTGTAATGATCTAATGGGTTAAGCCCTTTTCAATCCTTTTTAATAGTTTGTTCTTTTGTCGTGCTGTTACACCAGTTTCAGGTTAGCAGAGCATTGGGTGCCAACAAACATGTTTAACCTGCAACAGTCTGTGCCTTCCCAAGTCAAGAGCCTGTGATTCAGCGGTTTTTGTTTGTTGCTGTGTATCATATTTGTTTTACGTTTATTCATTTTTTCATAAATCAGGCAGTTTGTTTTCTTGTATGAATTGTTTTGCATTTGTCATCATGGGGTCTTTTAAAGCTTGCTATGCGGTATGGGTTTGCTCATGGTTGAATGCCATATGGTGACCTATAGCTGCTAACTTCTACGTGAATTTGGTTTCTGGTGAAGAGTTGTCTCATTAGCAATCATACCGAATCTGCTTATTTTTATATTTGGTAGTCCCTTCCTATGGCCTATAATAATAGCTACCCTTCTACATCTATGTAAAAGGACTATCCTGTATTCATATCTCCATTGCTCTTTGCTGATTAAATGTTTCAGACCCTGTTTAATAGATACAGAACTTAACAAGTAGAATTTAAATTGTGAGATGCCAGCATGCAATTACTAATGTACCTACAAATTGTATACATAACTTACTCTAGCATAATAAGGGAATGCGTCCTTAAAATATCCATGTGTGTCATCTTCAAATTTCAGTTTGACAGCTTCAAATGTCATTTCTGGTCCCTTGACTGTCCCATTTAAAGATATGCCTATAAAACAAGAATAAAGAATACTGGTAAACACTTGGCAGTATCTGATCACAAGAAAAGTTACTTCTCTTACGTTTTTGGATTGTTACCTATTTCCAACATGGAAAGATATATATATCACACTGAACAGTGTGTGATATGAATAAGTTATATGAAGAATTCCCTAGCCTGCAGGTCAAAAATCGGGGAAAAAAGGCAAATTGTGGATTTCAGGTTGAAATGACCTTGTTTAGACTGCCACACCTAGTAGATAGATTTCTGTCAGTCTAAGCACTTTTGTGGGTATTGTGCTCACTATAATCTGATGAATTCTCTTGTAAGACCCCATACCTGAAGTTTGTCTGACAGCAACACATAACTAACTTCCTATCGGAGTAATACATACCTGTGACATGCTCTGTGACTGTAGCATTTATCATCAAGTTTCCATATCTACTGAAGTTGGAGGAATCTAGCATTAGTTCTGAACCATCTACTATATATGTCTCACAGCCATCAATCTGTAAAACAGGACTTAGGATAACCATACAAATTTAAAATCAAGCTTTAATCTTGCTTATGTGTGAAAATTGTGGACAGACAAAAGGAAGAGGCTCCCAAGTGTCAACATTGTCTATTATTATACCTCAGTTATCATTTTCTATATAAAATAAGTACACAATATTTTCAGTATTTTTCAAATTGCAAGCGTTGAAACTATTTGTCCTTGATGAAACTACTTGACCGCAAGTGTCATTGTATTTTGTGGAATTTCAACTGCAGCTATGGGACTTGAGGATGTTGAGAATACTGCATTTTACCTATTGTATCTAGGGTTGACGTTAGTGCGGGACATAGCCTTAGATGAAGTAAACGTTAAACAGTATGGTTGTGTTTCTGCTTTTTATATAACGATAGCTGATTTAGCCCCCTCTTTCGGTATATTAAAACACTTACTGACTGGATATTCATGGAATAGTAAGTTTATTGTCACCTGATGTGCAACTATTGCCCTGAGGCGTAGCCGAGGGCAATAGTTGTATCCGAGGGGACTCCACTCATACCCAGTTAATAAGTATAAATTATGCACCTGAACACTATACTTATTACTGAATCAATTATTGAAATAACCATTAAAGTCTTCAGAATTTTTCCCAATAAGACTTTTTTAGGAGCAGTGTTGTCAATGGCTGTTTTTCTTGTGTTTTCCTTAATTTGTTTGGCTGGTCATACAATCAGGTATGGTTACCTTTTCAGGGTATCTCATATCATTTACCTTATTTTAGAAAACATTCTAAATGGTCTGTAAAACTGTTCCCAAAATAGATAAATACTTTAACTGTATATAATTGTCAAGGACAATTTTAAGTAAATAGTGTATTTCTTTTTTCCTTATCAACAACTTTTTTCAAAGGGTTCTCATATATATTTCATAATTATTTCCTATAAACTGTTAACACAGAGATATGTCTCGCCTATTTGTTATTTTGATAATGCAAATGTTGAAATTAAAATAGCAATACTTTAACATGTAAGTTATATGCAAATATTCAAAGTCAATGAACCATGACTGAAGGTACAGGGCTAAACAATCTCCATGGAAATGAGATGTGCCAATGCTAATACAACTGCAAACAAAATACCATTGACTTTTCATATGTCGTTCCCTTTAAACAAACCTAAACACAAACATTAACTTGTAAACTATGTAAATGAAACTTGCAAATGCCAATACATTTGCATACCGAATATCATTGACTTAACATTAGTGTTCATCTTAAACTGACCTAATCGCAAACCAATACATGTAAACTAAGCATACCAATTATCATTGACCTACCACTAACAGTTACCCTTAAACTGACCTAATCACAAACTAATACATGAAAACTAAGCAAAAGTTTCAAAGTCAATAGACCATGAATGAGGGGGTGGGGCCAATTAATCTCCATGGAAATGAGATATGCCAATGCTTATACAACAGCATACCGAATATCATTGACCTACCACTAGTGGTTCCCCATAAACTGACCTAATCACAAACTAATACATGTAAACTAAGCAAAGTTTCAAAGTCAATAGACCTTGACTGAGGGGTAAGGACCAAATATTCTCCATGGAAATGAGATGTGCTAATGCTTATACAACTGCATACCAATTATCATTGACCTACCACTAGTGGTTCCCCATAAACTGACCTAATCACAAACTAATACATGTAAACTAAGCAAAGTTTCAAAGTCAAAAGACCTTGACTGAGGGGGCTGGGCCAAATAATCTCCATGGTAATGAGATGTGCCAATGCTAATACAACTGCATACCAAATATCATTGACCTACCACTAGTGGTTCACCATGAACTAGACCTAATCACAAACTAATACATTGTTGACGCCTTTGACGCCGCTGCCGCCGGAGACAGCATACCTTTGTCTCGCTTTTTGACTCCGTCAAGGCGAGACAAAATCATGAAACTATATTTTTGTGAAAAATTGCCCTAAAATCAAATCAAAGTCAACAAGGTTTGCATAAGTATAAATAGTCTGCCCACTGGAATGTTTACTTTAAAACTAGAAAAAAAGTAAAAGCAGGTTTTGCATTTACTATATAACTTTGTCAATTTTTTCTTGTCTTAATTTTTAAGATGCTCACATCCATTATTCTGTTGGCACAAGGTCTTTCTGAATTATCTCTGCTGCGGTAGTAGTAAAAGTATGGACTGGTATCTTGGAAACACACAGATATTTCTACTTTCCCTTTGACTGGTTTGCCATAGGTGTACCTAAATATAAAGTAGCATACACATTAGTTTTGTTTTAACAGCTTTTAATACAACATGCACAAGGTAAGAAAATCTTTTACACTCAATAATGAAATTTTCGTTTTAGTAATATACATATTTTCAATGAAAAACCTAATAAAATTTTCATTGAAAAACCTAATAACTAAATGTAGTTATAAAACCAATACTCACTTGGCACAAACTGTTCCTTGAATAGTTTCAGTTGTAGGTAATAAAAATGTTGGAGCTGTGATCGTGACTTCATATTTGGGCAACACTAAAATAAAAATATAAAAAATCATTGTGATTTAAAAAATTACTAATTTTTTAACTGCCACTTCAATAGATTGAATTAAAGCCTTTCTTTCATGACAATTGTATATCATAAGTATAGAAAAGCAGTAGGGCGGATTTATATAATAATAAATTAAGACATTTTTGAGTCAAGTTGATCCACTCCTGATTCTTTCATATATGGGTAAAGCCAAAAAGGTGCTCCAAATTGGTCAAATAACCATCTGAAGCTTAAATCCCAATTTTAAAATATTTAATATATGTTATTTGATTACAACTTGTTATTGTGCATCAGTGACATGATGAAGCAGAAGATTTGATAAATATCAAATATCCGCTAATTCAATGTGTCTTGTTATTGAGGTTTGTCAAACCTAGATCTGTATGTTCCTGTGTCCCAAGCGTGACATGGAAACCCCCTTCTAACAAAAAATATACCTGGTTGTTTTTATGGGCAAAAGAAAAACGGAAAGTAAGTTAAATCGTCAGAAAAGTGTTGTTGCACTATAAATCCGTCAAAGTTTTGCGTGAAATGCAGTAAAATTAATCAAAGAAACGATTATTTCGACAGGGTTAGTAATGTTATATTGACAATAAGACTACAATGGTAAAAATAACGCACGGGGTTTTCCGCGATATTGTCATCTGCGGAACATTTGATTGGTTCCTGTCATATTCATGCCCCGTCGTATCTCGGCTGTTTCAAATAGTTCTAGTTTTGGTTTCGTATTCCGTTTTATGAGAAGCATAGAATGGCAAGTTTGTAATGTCAAAATAACGTTAAACGTACGTAAATGTTTATTCCTTATTATTAACGGAAAGATTTTATCCAGGGAGAAAAAAATACTTTGTTTCATTTCAAAATTGCTATATATACGAAACTAAATGTAAGCATCACTATCATTCATGGATGAAAATGGAAGAACAACTCGATGGTAAGTTTTGAGAAAATGTCAAACTAATAACGACCAGGGCGTCAAACAAAGTATAACGACCAAACCATTCTGTCAAATTGACACTGTGTTATATAATTTTTACCAAAATTATATGCTTAGAATGATAAGAACTAACGACAATAACGCATTCAAACACCCAAGTCAAACCGTTCATTCACTTTTTACGGTAACATCGATATGACCGTTACTTGACCAATTTTGTCAACCCAGTCAATATAACACCTAGGATGTAGATGATCTTTGTAGAGATATACTGCACCACAGTGTCTTCCCTAGAAAATTTTTCATGCATGGTGGGTCCATGGTGAATTTGCAACGCGGCGCGCGACGCTTCTTTTTCCAGAATTAGTAACACTACATAATTTATATGTTTAAAGCCATATACCAATCTAATTGTTTTCTTATAGGTACAGCAATTCATATAAGTCTGTCATGGAACTTTAAAGTATTTATTACAGATGAGAGGAAGACTTTATAAACAATAATAAAAATAATCCAGTCTGCAATAGTTATTTACAAAATAATGCCATGTAGGCCTACACATTATTTTGTTGATATCTTCCTCTGTTTCAACTTTCCAAAGGTCACCACACATTTTTCAAAATCAAAATCTTCCTCCTTTGGTCCTTCAATTGATATATGCATTAAGCAATTCAGCACTTTTTGGCATAGTCTTTTTCTCAAAGGTGTTTTAACTCTGTTTAAGCATGAAAAACACCTTTCACAATCAGCTGTTGAAACTGGCAATGGAAGACTCAATACTGCATACTTAGACAGACAAGGATACAAAGTTCCAAGACTGGCAACTTTGTTCATTGTCTGCCTAAATGTCATGTCTTTACATTCTTTCACTAACAGTGTCCTCAGTTTGCTCATAGAATGGTTTCAGCATCAACAGCAAGTTGTTAAATAAAACTTTGAATGTCGTCATTGCTTCACAGAGATTTTACAGGAAACAATAAAACAAAGTTTATTGTGTTAATTACAGAAGTCATCAATAAAGAATACCTGACATACGGACATACGGATGACATTGTTTTGAAGCTAAGCTGACATTTTATTTCATGACAATTTGTAACTATTTTTTTTAAATACATCTCTGTCCAATTTATTTATAACACTTCGTAATTGTAAAAAAATCGTAAGGGTTCCGAGGAACCCAGTGTCTCGCCTACTTTTTCTGTTAATCGCAGGCTCAACAAAAATGAGGAAGTAAATCAATAAAAATATTCCTCTTGATACTATCTTTTGATTGTAAGAAGCTTCTGTCCAAGTTTGGTAAAAATCCATGATAGTTTATGAATCTAATAAATGTTTAAAAACTTAACTGCAGACTGAATGTAATGTTAACTGAAAGAAAACAAAATTTCATTCTAGATACTAGCATTTGATCATAAACAAGCTTCTGTCCAAGTTTGGTACAAACCCAGGATAGTTTAAGAAAGTTATTAAAATTTTAAAAACTTTAACCACAGAGTGAATGTAATATTTCCTGGCAGAAAAACTAAGTCCATTTATAAGTAAAATACGGAAAAAATGGAATTTTATTTTTCAAAATTTACTTCTGTATACTATCTTATGATCATAAACAAGCTTCTGTCCAAGTTTGGTAGAAATCAAGGATAGTTTAAGAAAGTTATTAAAATTTCAAAAACTTTAACCACAGAGTGAATATTTGTGGACGCCGCCGACGACAACGACAACAACGACGCCGACGGAATGTAGGATCGCTATGTCTCGCTTTTTCGACTAAAGTCGAAGGCTCGACAAAAACCTATCTTGCCGAAGTGAAAGAAATTAAGCCCCACTTGTGTAAAAAACGGCAAATGAATCCGCTACACTTAAGCTTCATGTGACCCATTCAAATAAAAGTAGAACAACACAAGTTTATTAAAAACAATATTTCCGTAAATAACTACGTATGTTTTGAAAGTTTTTCTATCAAATCTTTTAAATATTTCATAAGACACGTCTTTTTCTCGGCCCGGTGGCGGTGATGTGTATTCTTTGATATAATCAATCAACCGCGACTAATCTAAAAATAACTGATTGTTGTGACCAATCAAAAAATAATTCATCGATGTAAATATAGCTGATGAAAAAACTGCGAAACTTTATTAAAACAAAAGTTTTGTCCATTCTCGGTGAAATTACGTAAGTTTTATTTTATAATACCAGAGTACTATACCAAATTTTAAATTTCTACTTTTTAAAGATCACAGTAAAATAACGATGTCAAACACCCGTTTTAAGGTGAAATTTATACGCGAAAAGGTTAAACTTTTTATTTAGCACAGAAAGATATGCATTGGAGATTAATCTGACTATTTATTTATCAGCTAACTGGCCACTTCTATTATGTAACCGAAGTCTCGATATATAACCAACTAATATAATCAAGAAGGTTGTAAAATCCCGGCACGCGCGACGTGATGCATCTAATTATCAGTCGGATCAGTTTAAAACACATGTGGCGTGTGGTCACTTGTCACTTCACTTTCAAAATCGATAATAAATATTTTACACAGTAATAATTTTCACACATAGCGGGATGCATTGCGGCAATGATGAAAGCATGGCGGTCGAAATTTATGCGTAGCGGTACCGCAATGCTTGAACAGCCTAGGGAAAACACTGCACCATTCTTTTCATTTAGCTTCTATTTCAACTTACAGATAATAAAGGGGGAAAGTTAATATACATTTAAAAAGGGTGAAGTAATTTTCAGTGCTTTTTCACAGGGTGTTAGTTGACAATTATATGCATAGTCAATATAACCATGGTCAATTAGAGAGTTAGTTGACACCTTGATGTTAGGGTCAATACAACTCCTACTCCCACAGTAGTCCTAAAGCTACTATTACTACTAAAATATGTTGACTTTGGCTTTTAGCCTACAAATCTCTTGTACAATAAAAAAATTAAGCCTTTTAGTGAAATTGTAAGCATATTTCCTGCTTCTTTGAAATAGAGCATAAGTTGACGACTAAAGGATTCAAGTCAATATAACCATGGTCCAAAAGAGAGTTAGTTGACACATTAATTTTATAGATGTAAATACAGCCTTTTATCAAAAGAACATCAACAATAAACAAGAAAACAGAAAATTGTCACAAGACTATAACATGCAAGTTTCTGTCTTGAGACGGTGCAACAAGTTTGTTTTTAAGCACTCAACCTCCCCATACCATTGAATTTGACAATAAAAACATGAATGTAGACACAATTCAAATCAATGTGAAGTGGTACTTATTTCCAATGCTGTTTTCAACATGGATAACATACAACATCATAAACATAAGAAGATGTGGTATTATTGCCAAAGAAACAACTCTCCACCTAAGACCTAAAGAAGTAAAAAAAAAAAACAATTATAGCCTATAAGGTCACGTTATGGCCTTCAACATGGAGCCTTGACTCACATTTTCATTCATTTTAAATTTAAAATCATGTATAAAACTATTTTAACTTTATTTATTGCTTTTCAGATCTTTGAGATAAATCAACTGAGTATGAACAGTGGAATAGACAGCAGAATGAACTTTAAAATGTTTTTAATTTGTTTAAATAAATGATTTATGGTTTGATTCTTGAATAGTGGTTTAATTATTAGTATTGTCATACATTAATGTGTTTTATACTTTACTTTCAAAAGTGTTGATTTAATAAGCTCTTGAAAAAAAATTGTCGAAAACAGTTGATCAATAAAGTCACCATCTGACATAGCCAAGAGTATCATAACTGTACATATTAAATGAGCAACCTTTGACCAAAGTACAAAGTCAGTTCAAGTGAGCGTAATTAACAATACTCCTTAATACCAACAGTAAACAATATGTTCCCTTAAATACTGTGAGTAACTCATTAAGTGTCTGTTTACCATCAGGCTAAGCTAACTCTTGCAGTGCACCGGATAGTTTTATTGGGTTTGAGTTGTTATTTAAGGTTCGTTCTTTTCTTGTTATTTATCTTGATTTCTCCTCTCCCTTTTGGATTTGTGAATTAGTGCACCTTTATTTTTCTTGCATTCTATAGTTGTCACTTTGATCTGATAGATCTCAGATAGTTTTGGTTATGAGCTTGTGACTTCATTATTAGCTGAACAATAATGAACATGAACCCCTGCATGCATTCCAGAATTAAGTTTATATCAAAATAAAGATAATGGATCAAACTCTTTGTGTTAAGATGTTACACCAGATTTCCTGTTTTTTTTCAGTAAGTTACTTGACATTGTGTCAATATAACAACCAAAAGACGGTAGTGTTGTGAGCAATATAAGCATTCAATCATAATTTGGTAAAATGAAAAATAACCATCAGTTACCTAGACAATAGTAGAAAAAAAATCGTTAAAAAAAATGATTTTGAAAAAGGTTAAATTTTAACACTATTCGTCAATATAACCTACATGTAAGATATGGTATACAAGATTTAATAGTCATCTTCTTCATTTAGAAGATTAAGCTGTATTTGATAAGTTTTCCCCTACTTAAAAAATCAGCTAGTGTTGCCCCCCTGTTTTTTGAGTGGCCTGTTTTAAAATTAAGGCAGAAAAACTATCAAAAAGGGTTATTGTCAAAATAACATACATTGAATTTGGATTTAATTATGTCAACGAAAATCTGGGTTTACAACAACTACATAAAATATTTCATTTGAAATATAATAATTATGTTTACAAATATAATTGCTGTTCAAAAAACGTTTTACACAAGTTACTAGAAGAAAACTTTATTTTGGACATCTATAACATACTGATCTTGCTCAGAGCACTGACATTTCAGAACATCAGGGATATCTCTGTGAATTGGTCTATGATATAATGATGTTGAAAGATATTATGTGCAGCTAAGTATTGATACATTTCATTAATCCCATAAGAAACTATTTAAAACAAAAGATTGCACTATTGTCAATATAACTTACACAAAATATACAAAGGAGGTCAATTTAACAAAAACATAGCAAGACCATGGGTTTCAAATAAAAAGAGGTAGTAAGATACAGATGATTGCTAACAAAATAATGTGAATTGATAGAGATATCAAAAACTTCAATTTTATATCCTAATGTCACACTTTCCAGACCACCTTTATGGCTTTACCCATATACAGGATGTGCCACTTAAACCAAATCCACAACTTATAACCATCGAAACTAGATGCAAAAGTTTATCTGCCAGTACTGTCACTAAGGCATAAAATGAAGTTCCTTGTGATCCCAATAAATCTAATCAGCAAAGTATAAACTTCTGTATATGACCAAATGATTTAAAATAATTGGTAAACTCCCTCAAGTGTGTAATTTGGCAATCATACTCATTCTCTTATTTTTATATAATTTAAATTATTTAGACCCAAAAGTAGCCAAAAAGTGTGGTACCATGCAAATGAACTCTAGTTGTGAAATGTCTTTGATATATATTCTGTAACTAATTCTTGTAAAAGAGTAAAATGCAGCACTTAAAGTCCCCCAAGTGTATAATGTAGGTCATAATGACCAAAGTATTGCACAAATTTTTACATTTTCCTTTCTAATGTTCTAAAAGTCAGTCAACAATAATTGAAATATCTCTCAATAATACCATATTTGTATATTTTTCATTCTTACCATATTCCTCAACTGTAAATAGTTGTACATGTTCCTTTCCTTCAACTAACATAGTAATCTTCCATTCGCCTAATGGTGGATCTTCTGATAGAGGCATCTCAAAGCTTAATAATCCTTCAGAAAAAAAAACATGACAATTTAATACATATGTGACAACAACCTCTTGTCATGCTTGCATGATATGTGTAACTAATCTATAATGAGATATGTTTTATACATATGTTACAACAATATGTTGTGTAATAAGTGTAACCAATTCTAATGATGTTTAATAAATATGTGACAACATTATCTTGTGTGATATGTGTAACCAATCTACAATGGGATATGTTTTATACATATGTTACAACAATATGTTGTGTAATATCCAATCTACAATGGCATATGTTTTATACATATGTGACAACAATCTCTTGTGTGATATGACCATATGTGTAACCAATCTCTAATGAGATATGTTTTATACATATATGACAACAATATCTTGTGTGATATGTTGATTTTTTGTTGCATCATACATACACGTGTGACACATTTTATTTTTTTTTATATGTAAAATGTATATGTAATATCATTAAATGTGAAAAGCACTGTGTCTGGCATCATCCTTGCGTTAGCCAGTGATTTTGCTAGCGCTCGTCACTTTCGTAATTTACGAAACTGTTTTCAAAATGACGAAAGTATTTCAAATCAATTTCGTCACTTAAATTTGGAAAGTGTAAAAATATTTTCGCATGAAAATACTATAATTCTACCTGTCTACATGTTTCTGACAAGTTTATGACCCTCAGCTAATTAACATTTACAACAGGTGTTATAAAGTTGTGATTACAGGTAATCCGCTTATCGCCATCGGATGGGTCACTAATCCGGTTGATTATTTTCCCCAGTAAAATTAGTCAGTCTGCATTTTAATTTCAATATTTCTCAAGGCCAACGATCAGATTTTGCAGTTCGCTTGTCGTAGTTTCGTCATTTGAACAAAATTGTTTCCCCCCGGACAATTCGCTTTTTAATTTCAATATTTCTAAAACGATCATAACTTGCAGATCGTTTGTCGTAGTTTCGTCAGATGATCGTATTTTCGTCATCTTTGATATAAAACGTTCAATTTCGATTAAAAAGATAGAACTTTATTCAAAACGTTCAGAAATGTTTTCACGTTAAAAACTTCCATCATCATCAACGAGTCAAACAGGTGCTTCCTTTACGATATACTGCGCATGCGTGAAAGTATTTCTATGAATTTATAGACCTAAAACGTAAAATACGAAATAAATTTAGTGCCAAAATAAATGAGAGAGACAAATATAGTTCTTACTAAGCAAATTGAAATAAAAAAATGATAATTTCCTGCCTTTTTTAAACACGAACCAATCCGCAGATGAATCCGGATTCATTTTGAATTTATTATCTACTTGTCACTTCCCGTTTACATTTCATTTGAAAATCGAAAGTAAACGTGATCAATTCTCGATTAATTTACAATTTAGTTAAAGGAATCGTTCCATGTGAATTTGTACAAATCCTTGGTTCCAACTTTATAGAAATTAATTCAAAATATCGATTTAAACGTCTTATAAGGATAATGATTATGCAGTGTAATAGTCTTACAAAGTTCAACAAGTTCATTTATATACTGTGATTCCTGGTTTTAAAAAAAGGAACCCAACTTTTGTTGATCAGGAATGTCCCCTGAAACTAATTGAAGTAAAATTTTGAACTAGATTTTCAGATCTTATATCCTAATCTTCATATTTAAGTGACACATCAGTAAAATCATGCAATTAGTCCTTCAAAGTCTGACAAAGATGTATAGTTAGTACATCCCTTGTTGTTACCCAAATTATGTTGATTTTCGTCTCGCGCAAAAGTGACTAAAGCCCTCAAAATCCTAGCTTAAACCCTGGCGTTAGCTGTTGGAAAAGTCTAGTACATAACTTGTCTTTCGAAGTTTACAGCAATCATATTTAGCGAATTCTTTTAGATAAATTTTATTTCCCGATTTTATCAACAAGTGTATGGGAATAAGTGACTTATTACAAAATTAAATACTATTCCATATTTTTAAATAAATGCATTTTTTTTTTAAATATTTTGTACCTTTATTATTTTCTACATTCAACCATTGCATTACACGGACATCACCAGGATTCTTCACTGTAACTAAAGGCACCTAAAACATATGTCAAAGGAAATAATGTGCATAAAAGCTTTCAACACGTGTAATCTTCCTAAAACATTAGAACAGGCAAGACAATCTAGATTTTCACTCCAATAGTGTAGAAATTGAACAAAAAATACATATTTTAACTACCAGTATTTACATATATTTTTTATATTGCAATATAATTTGCCATGGAAAGTGCAGACATTCCCTCATCCCATAATCTTTGAATTTATAACATGAAAGGAATGGAAGAAAAGATGGATCAACTGTATGTAAATACCCAGTGAGTAGAATATAATAATATTTCATAAGAATATTGGCTTATAACAATTTACTATGAAAACACTATAATACATGTACTACTGTTGTATGTTCTATTTTACCTACAAACAATTGCAATAAAACACCCCCTCGATAGGGGGTTAACACATATACTATATCCTCATCTCCTAACTGTACCAGCTAAGAGAAAACGTACTTTCCATTTTTCCAGCTGTCATAAGTGACCTAAGCACTAAATCCTTTTACAAATGTACCAGATCATTATGCAGAAAAAACAAACTTACCATGCCTGTCCACGGCTTCAAGTCTTTGTTTATGGTCATTGCTCTGAACTTAACTGTAAACAGAAAATTATATACATGTTCATGCTATTGGAAATAATTTAAAAAGTAAAAGGCTTTGGTTGATACCTCTTTGGGTTTGTGTTAAGATGATTTAGTGGAGGAATTTGTCTAAAAGGAGACTCTAATAGTAGCCTCTTTAAAAAAAATAAATGGGGAATGTGTCCATGGGACACAGATGATGCCCCCGCTTGCATATCATATAAAGTTATAAAGGGACATAACTGAAGAACGGTAAAAGTGACGTTACCCAAATTTGTTCTTTATCTGAGTTTTGTAGTAATAAGCATTGTGTATAAGTTTCATAACATTTGGTTGAGGCAAACTAAAGTTAGAGAAAGGAAACGAAAAATTCAGCAATTTTTCCATTTGTAAAGGGACATAACTCTACAACGGTTTAAGTGACGCCACCAAAATTCAAACTTGATCTGTGTTTTGTGGTAATAAGCATTGTGTATAAGTTTCATAACATTTGGTTGAGGCAAACTAAAGTTAGAGAACGGAAACCAACTTTGGGACCTATGGAAGGACGGACGGACGGACAAGGGTAAAACTTAATGCCCCCTCCGCTACGGCAGGGACATAAAAATTTAAAGAATTGGTAGAGAAGTAGGCTAAGGTGGTGACCTCTAGGAGATAAGTTGGTGGAAGTAACGATCTGGAAGAGGGCTTCAGCGATTACCTCTAAGGGTAATGAGCTATTTAACCAAAGTAATTTGTCTTTATGGCTGCTTCAATTGTGTGATAAACTAAAGGAAATAGTTACTGGAAGGAAATTGGATCCCATGAGGCTTGAGACATTTTACTTCAACAGGACCCCTCCCCCCTTAAAAGAAACAAAATATGTAATAAAGTTAAATTTACATCTAATTTTGTGTCAAAATAAGGTCCTCTAATTCCTCTTGTATAATAGAACTCTCTTCACTCAATCGTAAACTGGAGAAGACATTACTAAGTTGTAAAACTTGTGTTTTATCCGTTTGTTTAGTTTATGAACAATGAAATATGTTTAAACTAATCATAAACTCTTCAATTTATTGTTAATTTTGCAAATTTATCATGCACTTTGAACATAGGTAACAGTTTCCTTTTATTATATCTAGCACTTTGTTTTAAAAGCTTGAATACACTTGAAAATTAATTGCTCACTTAAGTAAGGTCTCCAACCTGTTCAAATCTTGGTTTAAGTTTAACTACTATCACTGTTTTGTATATAAATCCTTGCCAATTTGATATACAATAGTCACAAGATAAAATTGAAAAGCGTTTTTTTACAACATTGTCTTATTTTTTTGTTCTCCAATACACTTTGCTGTCAAAATAATTTGTTATCATTTACAAAGTCTACTTCTTGTATTTATGGTGAACTGTAGATTATCTATTTACAATACTGTGGATTCATTATTATTAGGGGTTTCATGAGAATAGGGGAACCACAAATTTAAGGAATATTTCAAGGAAGTTCACATTTTTCTAAAGGCTTGTACGCAGACTTTTATTTGGCAAAACCATGAATACCCATGAAAATAGAATTTTTCCTCAATCCGCAAAAATTGTAACCCACAAAAATAAATCAATCCACAGAAACTTGTTTTGTTGAGGTTCTGACTCATTGATATTTACCCAACATCTACTTTAACTCATAATAAGTCCTTATTATGAACAGCTACAATCAAGTCCATGTTTGAAAAGATCTTCAAATTATGACATTTCATGAGCCACATATAGAGTGGGTGACACATATTCGCCGCAAAATTCGTTCATTTCCACCAACATCCAACCTACATTCGAATATCTGAAACTTTTTATGTAGGTTTCAGAAAGTTTACTATATGAAAAAAATGTTTGATAAAGGAATTCTCTTCAAAACATTGGTTAAATGTTTTAAAAATGAACGCAAACTCAAGAGGAAATCAAGTTGTTCTTGTACCATGTGGGACACATTTTCGCCGAAATGTATGATATGACCATCCTCATTATCCTTGTATATTATAAAAAACAATTGTTTGCAATTACATGATTAAGTTTGAGAGATCATTCCTATACTATTTTTCTAACAAATATTTTCTTTATGACTGTGCATGCATGACATATAAATCTTACATAATTACCAAAATCGTTCAAAAACACCTGCGTATTTCTTTTTATGTGCGAATAACATTGGAAATGGGGTAAAGAGGAATAACAACAGTTCGAACATTACAAACAGCGTTTAGCATCTATTTAGGCAAGTATTGGGTAAAGGCACACGGAATTTACAGAAAAAATTGCAAAAACGGCGAAAATGTGTCCACGGCGAATATGCGCCACCCACTCTATATGAATATGACTTCAGACAGATTTACAAAATGTGATACAATAACACCAGCTGAGATTTTTTTCAGTAAAATTTGTACTTCCAGAACAATTGAAAGTTGTTACCCCTTCTTTTATGAATAGGTTAGACATATCTATCTCTCAGATTTACAAATTGATATAATTCTTTATCAAATTTTATAGAATTATTTAATAAAATGCTCCACTGGGGCGCAGCTTGATACCACCGCAGAGGTCGAACCCTGAACAGTTGGGGCAAGTATGGACACAACATTCAAGCTTGATACAGCACTGAATTTGGATTGTAATTAAATGTATGACACAGCATAGGTTTCTGACACAGAATGAATGTGGTCTAAGAACTTAAAAATTTTTAATTTATCTATTCAAACCATATCATTATTATTTGCTTTTATATATAAATCATAAATAACCAATTTAAAATGGAAAATTTTAAAGAAAAAAAAGGAAAAAAAAAAAAAAACCCAAATTTTTTGAACCCCCTTATGATTCATCACCCCCAAACTCAATCCCAGCCTTCCCTTTGTGGTATGGTACCTTGCAGTACACATACATGTGATGGACTGTGAAACTCAGATCAGGAGTTTGGGAAATTTTGGTCAGGAGATTAGGACTCAGATCAGGAGGTTTTTAATCGACATAAATTCTGTCGTAAATGTAACCGTGTGCTGTAGAAATTGTCTGTTAAAGTGTGTTTTCTTCAACTTTCCATCCGAATGTATTATGTTTATAGTACCCTTGTACTTATAAATTTTCTCTATCTTTTTAAACTTTGAACTTGTTCAATCTAACATTCTTCTTTATTAGTATGTTCTTTAAATTTTTTAGGTCATATCTTTTTTACCATTATTCATTGCAATCAGAACATTTGCTTATCTATCTGCAAGTAGATCTTTTTTTTATATCTACCGGTATATGCAAGTAGATTTTTTTGTTTTTTGCCTTTATTATGCAAGTAGATTTTTAATGCATGATAAGTAACAACAACAAATGGAAGTGTTTAACGACCTTGACTGACTGTTCAGCCCTCACACGGTGAAACACCATGGGTCATAGTTAGTATATAAATTTCAATCTAAGCCATGAAAGGAAGTATAGACCCCTCAAATAACTTTCAAATTATTATTTTTTTATTTGTTCTAAGACATTTAAAATCATTTAATTACCATCCTTTTATGATTATTTGTTCAATTTATATTTTATTTATATTCTTTTAAAAATTTACATTATTTAAAGGAAAATAACTTAAAACTGGATAAATCAAGGGAAGTAACCCAACATTCATTTTAAATACAAAGTTTTATTACACAACGGCAATTAGCCTGAGGTAAAAATCGTTGATTACCAGTATGTTTGACACCCAAGGTGACAAGTGAAGCCATATAATTATGCATGTTAATTGATTTACAGGTAAAATATAACTTCAGGTAATGTCAGTTACACCAGATATGTTGGGCTGAAATTTTTCATTTATGAAATATTTCATACACGGGATTTTTTTGTCTTCAACGGGAGGTCGGGAGGAGACCCCTGAAAACGGGGTTATTGTACTCCCGTTGGGAGGTTCATATGTATGTGTACAATTTCAGAGAGATCCATACACTTGAACACAAGTTATTGTCTGGAAACTAGAAAAATGCTTGTTTTTTGGCCCCTTTATGGCCCCAAATTCCTAAACATTTAGGGCAATTACCCCCAAACTCAAACCCAGCTTTCCCTTTGTGATATAGAACCTTGCAGTACAATTTCATAAAGATCCATACACTTACACACAAGTTATTGTCCTGAAACTAGAAAAATGCTTGGTTTTTTTTGCCCCTTTATGGCCCCTAATTCCTCAAATTTCTAGGGAATTACCCCCAAAATCAATCCCAGCATTCCCTTTGTGGTATGGTACCTTGCAGTACAATTTCAGAGAGATCCATACACTTGAACACAAGTTATTGTCTGGAAACTAGAAAAATGCTTATTTATGGCCCGTTTTTCCTAAACATTGTAGGCAATTACCCCCAAAATCAATTCCAGCTTTCCCTTTGTGATATGGAACCTTGTAGTACAATTTCATAAAGATCCATACACTTACACACAAGTTATTGTCATGAAACTAGAAAAATGCTTGTTTTCTGCCCCCTTTCTGCCCCTAATTCCTAAAATTTGGAGGCAATTACCCCCAAAATCAATCCCAGCATTCACTTTGTGATATGGAACCCTGTGGTACACTGTCAGAGAGATCCATACACTTACACACAAGTTATTGTCATGAAACTAGAAAAATGCTTGTTTTTTGCCCCTTTTTGGCCCCTAATTCCTAAAATTTGGAGGCAATTACCCCCAAAATCAATCCCAGCATTCCCTTTGTGATATGGAACCTTGTGGTACAATGTCAGAGAGATCCATACACTAACACACAAGTTATGTCTGGAAGTTACAAAAATGCTTATTTTTGGCCCCTTTTTCCTTAACTGTTGGTACCATAACCCCCAAAATCAATCCCAACCTTCCTTTTGTGGTATTGAACCTTATGGTAAAATTTCATAGAGATCCATTCACATAAACTAAAGTTAAAGTGCGAAAACCAATGTGTCTTCGGACGACGACGACGACGCTGACGCCAACGTCATACCAATATACGACCACAAAATTTTTTTGCGGTTGTATAAAAATCAATGAGGTAAATGAAGCAGATAAAAGTATCAACATTAAGTACCATACTGTAAATTCAGAAAATTTTGCATTCATTTATTTTTACATTTTTTTAAGAATGGAAAATGATGTGAGATTAATAATTGTGATTTTAGTAAATGCTGCATACCAATAATGCTATCAAAAGTTAAAATGTGTTTTTAATTTTTGTGATACCTATTCCATCAAAATTTTTGCAAAAATAATAAAATGCTTCGCTGGGGCGCAGCTTGATACGACCACAGAGGTCGAACCCTGAACAGTTGGGGCAAGTATGGACACAACATTCAAGCTTGATACAGCTCTGAATTTGGATTGTTATTAAATATTTGACACAGCATAGGTTTCTGACACAGAAAGAATGTGGTCTAAGAACTTGAATTTTCTTAATTTACCTATTATGGTCCAATGTCCAAAATCAAAATACATGGTTAGATTCAGCATATCAAAGAACCCCATATTTTCAATTTTTGTTGAAATCAAACAAAGTTTAATTTTGGACCCCAACTTGGACAAACTTGAAAACTGGGCCCATAATCAAAAATCTAAACACATGTTTAGATTCAGCATATCAAAGAACCCCAAGAATTCAAATTTTGCTAAAATCAAACTAAGTTTAATTTTGGACCCTTTGGACCTTAATGTAGACCAATTTAAAAAACGGGACTTAAAATTAAAAATCTAAATACACGGTTAGATTTGGAATATCAAAGAACCCCAATAATTCAATTTTTGATGAAATCAAACAAAGTTTAATTTTGGACCCTTTTGACCTCAATATGAACCAATTTGATAGCGGGGCCCACAAATAAAAAATCTAAATTCATGGTTAGATTCAGCATATCAAAGAACCCCATATATTCAATTTTTGTTGAAATCAAAAAAAGTTTAATTTTCGACCCCAACTTGGACAAACTTGAAAACTGGGCCCATAATCAAAAATCTAAACACATGTTTAGATTCAGCATATCAAAGAACCCCAAGAATTCAATTTTTTTTTAATATCAAACATAGTTTAATTTTGGACCCTTTGGACCTCAATGAAGACCAATTTAAAAAACGGGACCCAAATTAAAAATCTAAAAACACGGTTAGATTTGGCATATCAAAGAACCCCAATAATTCAATTTTTGATGAAATCAAACAAAGTTTAATTTTGGACCCTTTTGACCTCAATATGAACCAATTTGATAGCGGGGCCCACAAATAAAAAATCTAAATACATGGTTAGATTCAGCATATCAAAGAACCTCATATATTCAATTTTTGTTGAAATCAAACAAAGTTTAATTTTGGACCCCAATTTGGACCAACTTGAAAACTGGGCCCATAATCAAAAATCTAAATACATGTTTAGATTCAGCATATCAAAGAACCCCATATATTCAATTTTTGTTGAAATCAAACAAAGTTTAAATACTGGACCCTATCTTGGACCAACTTGAAAACTGGGCCCATAATCAAAAATCTAAATACATGTTTAGATTCAGCATATCAAAGAACCCCAAGAATTCAATTTTTGTTAAAATCAAACTAAGTTTAATTTTGGACCCTTTGGACCTTAATGTAGACCAATTTAAAAAACAGGACCCAAAATTAAAAATCTAAATACACGGTTAGATTTGGAATATCAAAGAACCCCAATAATTCAATTTTAGATGAAATCAAACAAAGTTTAATTTTGGACCCTTTTGACCTCAATATGAACCAATTTGATAACAGGGTCCACAAACAAAAAATCTAAATACATGGTTAGATTCAGCCTATCAAAGAACCCCATACATTCAATTTTTGTTGAAATCAAACAAAGTTTAATTTTGGACCCCAATTTTGACCAACTTGAAAACTGGGCCAAAAATCAAAAATCTAAATACATGTTTAGATTCAGCATATCAAAGAACCTCATATATTCAATTTTTGCTAAAATCAAACAAAGTTTAATTTTGGACCCTTTGGACCTTAATGTAGACCAATTTGAAAACTGGACCCAAAATTAAAAATCTAAATACACTGTAAGATTCGGCATAACAAATAAATAAATGTGATCAAAGATTTTACAAATCTAATGCGCCATACTGTGCAATTAAAGATTACTTCTTGAAATTTTTCAATATTTGAAATTTGAAAAAAAAATAATATTTGAAGAATAATTCTTTTTAATTTCTGAAATCTGAAATGAGAAAAAATTGACCCCCCACAATTTCTTTTTATCCCCCCCCCCTTTTTTCCCCAAAAAAATTCTTTCCCTCAAGATATGGTGATAATCTCAATTCAAATTTCCAATGGAGTTGGCAACCATAATTACCCATTTAAATTTACCATAGTGCTAACTTAATCTATTTTATAATAGAATTAAAAATATAGTGTCAAATCTTTCATATGGATTTTTTTGTAAAAAAAAAAGATGCAACATTTGCAGATATTTTTACTGGTCTTCCTTTATAAATATGCATTTCTTTAAACATAATTTAAAAGCAGTGTAAGGGAAGTTACCAAAACGTTGTATTTGGATTACCTCCCTTTCACTGTTTTAAATTATCTTTATTGTTCATTAACCATTACTTTATACATAATTTAAAAGCAGTGTAAAGGAAATAATTTCAATGATGTATTTGATTTATCTCCCTTACACTGTTTAATTTATGTTTTGTACTAAAGTATTTGTCCATTAACCAGGACAACCTTGTTTTTCCCCCTTTTTTGCCCCTAATTCCTAAACGGTTTGAGCCATAACCCCCCAAAGCAAATCCTAACCATCCCTTTGTGGTATGGAAACTTGTAGTATAATTTCAGAGAGATCCATACACTGTTCCACAGTTATTGTCTGGAAACTAGAAAATGCTTATTTTTGGCCCCTAATTCCTTAACTGTTGGTACCATAACCCCCAAAATCAATCCCAACCTTCCTTTTGTGGTATTTAACCTTATGGTCAAATTTCAAAAAGATCCATTCACTTAAACTAAAGTTAGAGTGCGAAAACCAATGTGTCTTCGGACGACGACGCCGGACGACAACGACGACGCCAACGTCATACCAATATACGACCACAAAATTTTTTTGCGGTCGTATAAAAACATCACAAAATTTTCTGAACTTAAAATATTATTGAAGGATGGACAAAAATGTGAGATTAATTATTGCAATTTCAGGAAAATCTGCACACACTGACAAAGACATATGTATCAGATATCTAAATGTGAGTTCTTATCATTTTACCCAGTCGCATTATAGGCATTTATATAACTTCAAAATAATTTCAGAAATTACAAAAGTTTATCAAATGATTTAAGAGATTCCTTAGTTTGCATAAAGGGTTCTATTGACAATTCTTGAGTAGTTGAATCAAGATGGCATGGAGTACATGTAGGTTGTATTTATATTAAACACAGAAATCCTCCATTGGTCTGTAAATAGGATGATAAGAATTTTAATAATGTTACAGAAATGGAAGAATGGGTAGTGTAAATGTTGCGATAACGTACCTGTCTCCCCTGGTTTATAAATAGGTTTATCAGTTTGTATAAAAGTCTCTAAAGCTGATTCATGAATCTCCACTTCTGTAGAATCTACTCTCTTTACTGTAGCTGAGAAACCTGTATCCAGAATTCTTGTTGTTTCTGTCTGTAGAGTTAGTTTATGATTACCACTTAAGTCAGGAACTTTAAAATGGTGGCATACTCTGCCTTCCTCTATTAAAACAGAAAATTGTTCCTTGAAATCATCGCAATAATACAGGGAAAAAAAAGAGTTATATTGGCTACATTTAGACTAATTCATACCATCTCTTTCATCTATAACTCTTTTGTGTCAATATGTGGCATACATTTACCTTTATGTTGCAAGTCTTTACATGAATTTCAGATCAAATTGCCACCTTGAAAAATCAAGCTAGAAATATGTACACAGAAAATTCAAATTTTTTAGTTCAGATCTTATCATTGTGAATCTTCAATAACAGATGATAAAACAAGATTTCCAAATAATTGTGGTACATGTACCAGTATCTTTTATCATATAATGTAAAACTAGAGGCTCCAAAGAGCATGTGTCCCTCACAAATATGTAAGGTCTATGTGCATCTTCAACAATGGACATTGTCCAACATTATACAATAGAATATAATTGACGAAAATCTTTTTTCTGCCTACAGTTTCTCTCTACCTTCTATAGCTTTTTTTCCAAAACACGAAAAAAGGGTAAAAAAAATTGTCATTTTAGAAGTAACTGCTACAAGTTAATTGATGTTGCATGTACAAATGTATAACATTTACATTTTACTCCTTATTTCTTAAAAGAATTGGGGAATTTTCTGTACTTTTTATGTAAAACTAAAAAAAATGTTCCCATTACCTCTATCCAGTTGACCAATGTCAAATATCTTTTCTTATTTATATAAAAATAAGAAGATGTGGTATGATTGCCAATGACTGAGACAACTCTCAACCAAAGACCAAATGATGTAGAAGGTTAGCAACTATAGGTCTGCGTACGGCCTTCAACAATGAGGAAAACCCATACCCCATAGCAAGCTATGATTGCCAATGATACAACTTTCCACCAGAGACCAAAATCGGCAAACAAAAGGTCAATGTACGGTCTTCAACAATGAGCAAAATGAACATTATAACAAAATACTGAGTTCAGTAATATCCTGTGTCATAATAAAAACTAACCATTAGTAGTTCCATTTCCCAAGACAACATCACTTTCATCAGCCAAAGACAGTGTTACTAAGTAATTAGCTTGTATGTCTTTATCATCATGGAAGGATATACAAAATTCTTCTCGTGATCCCTGCCATAAATTACGAGGTGCTGTGAACAAGTACTTACTGAAATATAAGATATAATATATAATATACATAGAAAGTTGTTATAAAGATTAACAAGCCCGATATTTCCATCTTTTAAATAACCCTGGTCTTAAGAGTCTGAAAAGAATGCATTTATAACATTTGTAATTATTTGTACACTACAGGCAGCAATCTCTTAAACAAAAAGAATTGAAAATCTACCAAAATGTTTGTTCATTTTAAATATGTGAGTACAACTGTCCTCTGAAAATGCATTGCAAATGCTAAATCACATAAAGTACATACATGTACATACAACTATATATACCAGAACCAAAAGTTTGGGTTGAAATATTCAGAGACTTTTACAGTCCATGCTACACCTGGAAATATGAATAATTTGTCTCTTGTGCTGTGTCATTGATAGATTGTCATTGATTGGTAGACTGTATCCCCGGACCCCCTGCTTTTGCATTATTTGGGGTATGCTCCTACATGTATATTTTTTCATCTTGGAGTTTCTATTCCAGTCTATTGTTGCAATATAAATGTCATTTGGTTATTTTTGTCGTTGGGTACACCGTACATGTAGCTGTATCATTGATATAGTATTACCAACATCTCGTAATATCTACATGTACATTAAATACTTTTTCAATCCTGTGTTTTTAGATCTGAATGCAAATCAATCAGTTATCTCATATTTCTCTTTTAAAATTTATCTACTTTCACTTTAACATGGTCAGTGAACTGCATGATCTGTGTCTAAACCCTAATTTGCATATATATATATATATATATCTCTAAAGTTTACATCACAATGAACATAAGCACATGTACTTAAGTTAAAGTTTATGTGACCAGTACTTCATGGTAAATTACCTTGCCTAGGTAAATGAACTGTAAAACCTAGGTCAAAACCCTAATTTGGCATATTCTAAAAAAAGGTCAGATCATAATGAACATATGTACTAAGGTGACCATAACTTCATGGTAAACTAACTTAAGCCAAAATTCTAACCTGATAGGGGAGGGACTACTGGGTGGATGCACACACCAGAGAACATTATGCTTGAATCAGCCTTCTCCTATAGGCAGGTCATTAAAAAAACTTTTGGAACAAATTTTCTTTTGTCATTCTTTAAAAAATCTACAGGGTTTAAAACTCATTTGAACATTTAGATTTTAAGTTTTGTTTATATTTTTTCTTGCTTTATTTTTATATGTATTTTCTTTTATTATACAGAAAACTTTAAATCTTCAGTTTACTTTATTATGCCTTGACTATTGCTTAAATCTGAAAAAGACTGACCCCTTGTCCTAGGTATGTTCATGTTTGATTGTTCCCCTTTAACTTGCCATGTACTGACAGAATATTGATTCCATATTGCATAACTATATTTTCATTTGTGCTAAAAGATTAATATTTTATTTGCACCATTTAAAATCAACCCTGTAAGACCACATTCATTTTAGACAATTGAACATTACATCAGATAATCATAAGACAGCCAACTTGTGTCAAAATCAGATCTCCTGAAATACTTGCATCCTTAGACATGTTAGAAAATAGGTAAAAGAAGAAGAAAAAATATTTTTTCTGAAAAACATAGATATAGGCACAGGCACTTGTCTCTGAAATTTTTTCACATATACCTTAATAAGGTATATATGATATGAACTTTTTTTTCAGAGACAAGTGCCTGTGAATATAGTGTGTAATTATAACTAAGTAATAATACCAATAGAAATCTAAAATTTTTGATTTACTGATACATGTGATAGTGTGATAATTGTCTTGAGATAAAATCCTAGTAAACTTCCCTCTCGATTACTCATTAACATAATTATTTTCTAATCTTAAGGAGATAAGAGACTTACTTTGTCAAGAGGTCCTCAAAATTCTTATTCAAATATTGTAATACTGTTATATAAATACATGTACTTCAACCTGTTGTCATTATTTCATTGTCTAAAATATTCATAAATGAGGGGCAAAAGATACCAAAGGAATACTCAAACTTATTGAGAACAAAACTGACAATGCCTTGCCAAAAAACAGTACACAAAACACTATAATTTTCACATCACTAATTATATGTGTAAAAGTGTTAAAAAAAGTCAAAAACAGAATGTTGTATCATAAATAAATCTTAATGTGTAGAAATTCGAATAGGAAACATATTTTAAAGTATTTAAATAATTTAACCATTTCTTAGACATTTGGCCCATTGACCTTCTACAGTTTCTCTATTATCTTTCTTACCGATGTGGTATACATGTCTTTATTCATTTGTATTTTTAAAAAATTAAGCCCCCCCCCCACTTTTTATGGAGATATACTGCAACAATATAAAAAATAATATTTCCTGCATTACTATTGGAGATAGACAATGGATTTTGGAATTCTGAATATCCCCAAATTCTGCAATGCTTAATTTGCTGAAAATTACTCATAAACTGAGTACAAATCATGCAAAAAAATTTAAACATATAATATTACTCAGATAATTTAATAATTTTTTTAGAGCATAAATATCTGTAAAACAGTGGAGATACAACACTATATAACAATATTTTTCTCTGAACTTTGGGTGTCCAACTACAGGAAAAAGCTACATTTTAAATCAATTAGAAGTGGAGATAGATCCACATAGTTCTGACAAAAACTCTTAGAATGTGGAAATCTTGTGTTATAGTTGTATTGGGAGATAGACCATTGTACCTTGATCTCAACTATAATGCTATTGCTATCTCCATCTTTTATCAAAAGTGGACAAAGAACATTATAAGACTGACACAATGATATAAAAAAAACACTCAAAGAAACTTGCATGTAACATCATATGTATTTTAATACTTGTACAAGTAAATTATTTGGGGTTGAGTTTGAAATTCAGATTTTTTTTGGCTGATAAACATGTAAGTATAAAAGTTATCTCTTTTTCTTTTCTTGAATTTCTCATGGCTAAAATTTCTGTTATATGAATTGAGTGTTGAAATGTCTGTCATCTATACTTGATTGACTGGTGTTTAACGTCCCTTTCAACACTATTGTGCTATTTTGTGGCGGTCAGTTTATTGTTGGAGGAGGCCAGAGTGTCGGTGAGAACCATGTGTAGGAAAACTGACAATCCTAGTCAATTAAGATTAAGAAATTACACCAGTGTAACTTGTCCTCTGGAAAAAATACACTGGTGGAAGGAATTCATATAAAGAAGTCGATTTAGGAATACATTGTTTTGTACAATAATAATTTATTACGTAAATATAAATTTCAGAATGTTTCAAAAGTTAAAATGTTCAATTGTTCGAATGTTCATAAATTGTATGAATTCTGGTGGTGAATGAATTTCTTCGCCTACCCACGAGGGGGTGACCTGGTGGAATCTTTCTTTATATTTCTTTCCAAATATTAAATATCGTCTGTGTTCCTAGTATATATTGTACAAGGCCATTAAATGTCCACAGGATATATGTACATTTGTACTAGCTTATGTTTTAGGTTCCGTGTTTCGGACAAGGTTATTATTTGCCTGCAAGATACATGTATGGGTCACGACTATCAGTAACACTGGAATAATATTCACTTAAGTTTGTCAATGGTCACATCTGTAATTGTTTTATTCACTTTATGGTAAATTGTCCAAAGGTTTATATGTTATTACGATTGTCAAAATAATTGTAACACCACATGTATATTCTGTTGATAATGTAATTAAATAATGTTCTAACCCACATTATGTTACATACACTGTTACACTTCCACACTAGGGACTACATCATGTACATTTGTAAAATCAAAGGACGATACTGTGTACTGTGTATACATATACCAATTGCCAAGTCATAAAACGTTAAAACTAAAAAACAAAAAACTTGATAAATTACAAAATAATTTAACTAAAAGCTATCTTTTAACTATGAGTATTAAGTCAATCATAATAAACATATTTCATTTTTTCAATCCAATATAATGCAAAAGTTGAATTAAGCTCCACATTAATAAGTCTCAGCTGTTTGCATGATGTATGAATTAAAGAACCTTTGTGAGCATGCTCACATAACCCATGTCCCCACATTGTTACTGGGCAAACAAAATATCACCAGATTCCTAAGCTCAAAGACTCATAACTGCTACAAAAGTTCAATAGTACATAAAGGCCAAAATTCTAAGTTCAAAGGGGCATTACTCCTGGAAAAAAAATTGAATCATAATTTCCTGTCAATATGCACATCTACATAGTATGTCCTTGTTATCTACAAAGTTTCGAGAAATTCTGTTGTGTGGTGTCAGAGGAGTTGCAATGACAAGAACAGGACTGACGGACGAACTGACGGACGAACTGACGGGTAAAAAAAAGGCTGAAAAACCATATTTTAACTTCTGGAAAAAAATTGAATCATACTTTCCTATCAATATGCACATTTACATAGTATGTCCTTATTATCTACAAAAAAAGGCTGAAATACCATATTTTCGAAATTAGAGGCCTGTTATTTGACACCAATGGAATTTTTTAGCAGAAAACCTGATTTAACAATTTTGAAAATAAAGGATATCATTTCTGATATATTTGAATTTTTCATGTATTTCTTTAATAGTTTTGGTATCAAACCACTAATTTCTAGCTCCATTGCTTAGTCTGGTTTGTGCTGAAAAATTCAACATACAATGTACCTTTAATTGCATACAAGAGTGTACAGGTTCTTGGGAGTACATGTAAGGAAGTACAAAGACAGGAACATGTAGTTCCAGATCTGAGACACACATTTCGCTGTCAATATTTACCATGATTTACATACAGTGGAATAAAAAAAAATTATTTTACATTTTTTGAAAGTAACAGCTATTCAATTTCAAAGGAACAAGTGAGTGTAAAATATGAGTAGGCCCCAAATTAGAAATTAGTAGTTTGATACCACAAGTAAATGTTTGAAGAAATTAAGGAGTGATTATTCAAACCTAGAATATACTAAATTAAAATCTTACAAATTTACTTATACAATTGAATATAACTTACATCTTCAAGTAAATAAACATAACTTGCAATTTACCCTTACTAAAGCAAAGGTCATTAGTAATAGTATTAGTAATGAGCTTAGGGAGGAAAAGTTTAGAAAGTGAACATTTTAAAGCTTTGATACATTGTAGATTATGATCTAATATTTGACAGTCAGGGGTACTACTTAAACAAGTGATTTCAGAATCACTTTTTCTAGTGATTTTGGCTGTGAAATATTCACAAAAATAGACACAGACTTTTTAAAATCACTGAAACAAGTAATTTGAGAGGTTAAAATGTAATCACTTCAACAAGTGTTTATAACATTTTCTTGATATTTTTCCCACAAGCTTGCCTTTTTTATTGGTAATAAGACAAGAATTCCATTGAAAAAACAACTATGTACATGCAGAAATTGTCTTTTGCTTGATTAGCCTGTCAGTTTTTACAGTTTATTTAAAATATGCAAAAACAGGAATAATTTGTAGATCAGGACATAACCTTGAAGTAGATCATTATAACTCTAAAGAAAACCAATCAGGTTACCTAATATTGTTGACCTTTGTCTGATAGTAAGAGTAGTTAATGAATGATATTTGATTATAGAAAAATTCCCAAGGGTACTTTTAAAAGCTTTAGCACACTAACTTACTGTCCAAGCGCACTGGTGAAATTCATATACAAAAGAAAGGGATAATTAGTTCTACAAAAATGTATGTAGGAAAATTATAGAAAAGTTTGTCAAAATATGGAAAATCAATGAAATTAGCATTTGAAGATCAAAGGAAACACCAAAATCACTTAAATAGGTGATAATGAAATCACTTGTTTAAGAAGTACCCCTGACTGTTTGAAGCACACATTAAATTCATTAAACTGCTTTTAAAGAAGTGTTTACGATGGTTTAAACATGTCTCTTCGAAAAGTTTTATGCACAATACATTGTTTAACCTTTTCTCTGCCATACGGCCTATCCGGCCTATTCAAAAACACTACCTTTGAGTGCCACGGCATAGGCCCAAAGGCCAACGGTATTTTGACGTTACGTAATAATAAACAATACGTCATAATGCTAGATTGCGGGATTTGGAAGATGGCCGACGTCAACTCTATTCCAACTCCGTGGTTTTCGGTTTTGCAACCAGAAAATAAAGAAGAACCATAATTAAATATCAACCAGAGGGGACCAATAAGAATGCTAGATATACACTCGTCGCCAATAGTTTATTTTTATTAACTGTTCTCTTTAGATATGATGAAAGTATTTACGCGACGAACAAACATGTTGCAACTTTGTTCTAATATTACTTATGTTCATCATTAAATAAACTACTTTATCTGTATTCAAAAAGTTATTCGAACAAAAAAGAAAACTAAAAGGGAAAATTTTCTTTCCCTTTAGACCTACACTTTAAGAAGAACTTCTGTTTTTATTTTAAGTTAGCTTTAGACAAGCGAGGGCACCTGATAGCTTGGTACATGTATATATGAAATTCTTTATGTTCAGTTAATAAAAAAGAATGATGTCGTGTTTATCTTTTGTTGACGATTTTTTTTTTTTTTTTTTTAAATTCATACTAAAATTAACATTAGCATGTTAGTAACTTTTGAAAATTTACCAGTATCAACTGTTGAAAAGGTGTGTTCAATGACTTAACTTGAACTTGATAAATTTCTTCGGTGTTTCTTTTTTCACTGCAACTTTACTGAATGCATATGAAGTTATATAAAAACTCTCATCAGCTAAACAAAACAAATGTATTTACAGACAAAGTAGCACAAAGACAAATTGAAGCAAAATCATGTTTCGACAACGTTTACAGAGTTATGCAATGATTATTCGTCCCTTTTTTTTGTCATATATTTCCCATAAAGCTACGTATTTAAAAAAAAAATATTGGGAGATCCATTCTGACTGGAATTCTAATCAACTAGGTAGAAATAGAAACATAATTGTCATAGTTTTTTTTTTGTTTACTTGGTTAAATTCTTTATGAGAAGCGTTTTCCTCTTCTTGTGATATAAACACAAATATTACTTTTGTCAGAGAATTTGCTATATATTTCAACCAAATTGAATTATAAAAAATTCGTAAGGGTTCCGCGGAACCCAGTGTCTCGCCTACTTTTGGTGTTAATCGCAGGCTCAACAAAATTGAGGAAAAAAATTAATAAAAATATTCCTCTCTATACTATCTTTTGATTGTAAGTAGCTTCTGTCCAAGTTTGGTAAAAATCCAGGATAATTTATGAATCTAATAAATGTTTTGAATACTTAAACTGCAGAATGTATGTAATGTTGACTGGAAGAAAAACTAAGTCCATTTATAAGTAAAATATGGAAAAAATGGAACAAAATTTTATCAAAATTTCCTTCTAGATACTAGCTTTTGATCATAAACAAGCTTCTGTCCAAGTGTGGTACAAATCCAGGATAGTTTAAGAAAGTTGTTAAAATTTTAAAAACTTTAACCACAGAGTGAATGTAATGTTAACTGGCAGAAAAACTAAGTCCATTTATAAGTAAAATACGGAAAAAACAGAATTTTTTTTTTACAAAATTTACTTCTGGATACTATCTTATGATCATAAACAAGCTTCTTTCCAAGTTTGGTAGAAATCCAGGATAGTTTAAGAAAGTTATTAAAATTTCAAAAACTTTAACCACAGAGTGAATGTAATGTTTCCTGGCAGAAAAACTAAGTCCACTTATAAGTAAAATACGGAAAAAATGGAATTTTTTTTTACCAAATTTACTTTTGAATATAATCTTATGATCATAATCAAGCTTCTGTCCAAGTTTGGTAGAAATCCAGGATAGTTTAAGAAAGTTATTAAAATTTCAAAAACTTTAACCACAGAGTGAATGTAATGTTTCCTGGCAGAAAAACTAAGTCCACTTATAAGTAAAATACGGAAAAAATGGAATTTTTTTTTTACAAAATTTACTTTTGAATATAATCTTATGATCATAAACAAGCTTCTGTCCAAGTTTGGTAGAAATCCAGGATAGTTTAAGAAAGTTATTAAAATTTCAAAAACTTTAACCACAGAGTGAATATTTGTGGACGCCGCCGACGACGACGCCGACGGAATGTAGGATCGCTATGTCTCGCTTTTTCGACAAAAGTCGAAGGCTTGACAAAAATAATTATACATGATAACATCAGGATAAAATAAAACAAGAAACAAAAGAAGACAAAGATCAAATAGACAAATACATTCAAACAATTCTTTTTTTTTCAACCCATAGTTTGTTAAAATCCAACCATACATGCGTTCAAAATAATATGTTTTTGATGTGTTATCAATTGAAAGATTTTACAAATACTTATTGTAAAAGACTGAACCTAAAAATATGTAACAACTGTGTGGGCTAAACAAAAATAATGACGACTTGACTGCAATGATTTTCTATCAAACCTTAAAAAAAGTATGAATAATTATTAAAACTTAAAGTTGCAAATATAATTCTAATATCGGTGTCTAGCGTTTAAAACAATAAATCAAACAAAACAAAATCAATCGGAAACAAAAGAAAGGAAAATTTAAACATATGACGAAAGTGCATAATTAAAAGTCTAAACAAAGTACACACGTTTGTGAAAATATGGATAAGCTACTTTATTTGTAACTAAGTGTCCAGTGGCAAATATTTTATTCAGTAAGGTAACATGTTGATAAGATGCACAAGGTCTGAGTCAACTTGCAGAGATAACAATCGTTATCGAAAAATGATATATGTGGTGAAAGTTGGCGCCAGATAAAACGCTCAAACCCGCTGCATTTGTTTGCACCTGTCCTAAGTCAGGAACCGTTCAGTGGTTTTTGTTTGGTGATGTGGTTCATAAGTGTTTCTCGTTTTTTATATAGATCAGACCGTTGGTTTTCCTGTTTGAATGGTTTTAGACTAGTCATTTTTGGGGCCTTATAGCTTGCTGTTCGGTGTGAGCCAAAGCTCCGTGTTGAAGGCCGTACTTTGACCTATAATGGTTTACTTTTACAAATTGTGACTTGGATGGAGAGTTGTCTCATTGGCACTCATACCACATCTTCTTATATCTTTTTACTCTCCGATATGTGTAGCAAATTAAATATCTGGAAATCTGAGGTACACGAAAGAATAGAATACATGTAAATATCGCAAAAAAAGTTCAGCAACTTTGACTTTAAAAAAGATGCAGAAGATATCAAAAAGGACACCTAAAACATATAAGTCAAAGAGAAACGGACAGCAATATGGCAAAAAAACGTATACAGTTGAAGGATTTGTACAACAATAATAAATTCGGTAGCCCTGTAAATTTTATATCAATATGACAATAAAACGGAAATTTTAGTGACAATGAAATATAATTTTTAAAGTTAAATGTTATTGAGAAAAGTCAATTTAAAGTCAAATCATCTAATTATTTTAGTGTTTGTGGTATTTGCGTGCATCCTAATACATATATATTTCTATCCCATGGCACTCAACGGTATTCTACCAAAAAAAGCGTGGCACTCTAAGGGTTAAACAGGGCCCCAGATATCTGAAACTGGTTTGTGACGTCATGAAAAACGTTGAGTAATTCCAGAACTTATCCGGAGAAATAGCAGTAAGGAGTGTACTATAGTTTATCATTATTTACCTTCAATGGCACTATAATTAAATAACACTACTTTCTAACTTACGTAGGAGCACCTGTCACTCCACAAGTCATCCAAAACGTCAAAAAAGTTATCCACAGCATCAACGCACCTTTCATGTTTACCGCTGAAGACATCAATAATATTACTACGCACTCAATTATTATATATTCCACATCCAACCGATTCACTACTTTCAAAAAAATAATACACAAAAACAAGATTTTAAGCTATGTTAAGTACTTATAGTTATAATTTAACTTCTTGAGAACATTTTGAAATATTAATCTGAATATATCAACAACGTTAGGATAAGATGAGATTTTTTTAGTATAAAACCCAAACAATCGGATTGCTCACTAAATACAACGCGCAGTGTAGATAAAGATAAACAAATATGTTTACAACTTGAAGATGTTGTTTTCAGCTGTTATCGGGTTATCAGAAAACTTAGAAAACTCCTAAATCTTTCCATTTAGACAAAGAAAATAAACACCTAACATTTGCATGAGATCATTTGGATACAAGTAATAGCTTTTCTAAAAAAGCTAGTCGTCTCTTAGCTGATGAAAGTGGAAAGTGTTCTCGCTTTCTTCTTCTTTATAGTTCAGCACTCCATCAACATACTGATGATAACGTGCCGGGCACTGATGTCACTATGCCGCGCGTGCGTGGGATATATAATTTCTATATTTACAGTTAAATATACTTATAGTTACTTATAGTTGATTTCCAGTACAGGACCCCTCAAGGTTCCTCTTCACCAGACTCATAATTTAATGTTTTTCTATTACTGTTTTGTCCGTGACTTCCGGATATTTCTGCTCTGTAGTCATTATAGTATATCTCTTCGTCTGACCAAAATTTGTCTAATCGGTTTTTAAATGCATTTATTGATGGTGACTTTGTTATTTTATCTGGTAATTTGTTCCAGGTTTTAGCAATTCTAACAGAGAAAGAGTGTTTACGGATATTTGTTTTGAATCTTTGATGAATGACTTTATTACTGTTGGTCCTGCTACTGAATCTTTGTTGAGAATCATCTGCCGTTCTTAAAAATGAGCTTACTTCTTTGTCGTAGTATCCATTCATTGTTTTGAAAGTTTCAATCATATCCCCTCTTATTCTCCTATACGATAATGTTGGTAAGCCTAGTTTTTTAAGTCGCTCTGGGTAGCTCATGTCTTTGAGACCTGGTAATTGTTTTGTTACCCTTCTTTGGACACCTTCTATTTTGTCGATATCTTTTTTCCTGTATGGGGACCAGACTGAGCTGGCATAATCTAGGTGGGTTCTAACCATGGTTTTGTACAATGGCATGAATGTCTCAATTCCCAAGTACTTAAATGTTCTTCTAAGAACTGCAAATATAGAGTTGGCCTTGTTCACTTTTTCACTTATGTGATTTTCAAAGGTGAGTTCTGAGTCAATAAGGACTCCTATATCTTTTTCCTCTGTAACTTGTGCTATTGGATGGTTTAGAAGACTATAATTTGATGGTTGGTCAGTGCTATTAGATTTCTAACATATTTTCATATATTTACATTTTTCCGGGTGAAATATATACAAATAAAAGTTCAAAGTAATTTTCTTTTTCTTCTGTTTTGTACTATACATTTTGGTTAAAACTATATACAATGTAATATTAATTTAAATGCATGTGTAGGTGTTTGTTGAGAACAGATATTGGGATCTGTTCACGGAAACAGTCTAGTGTAGTACATTTTACTGCAGCTACAGGTAGAAGGTTCCATTGCAATATTGTTCTAGGATAAAATGAGTACCTATATGAGTCTTTAGATGAAGTTGTATTGGTCTGTAGGAATGATTGTGTGGATTTTGTCTTGTTCTTGTGTCAGATGATCTCAGATTGGATGAGCAAGTCTGTTGGTTAAATAGCTACAAGATGGTGTATTATTTTATAGAAAAAGATGATGCGTGTTCTTATTCGCCTTTTTTCTAGGGTTGTCCGTAGCATTTCATTGACGGAGCTGGTGTTATGATATCTGTTGCAAGCAGGGGCGGGTCCAGGTAAGGGCGTAATGGGCGTACGCCCCCCCCACCTTTTCAAAAAAAAAAAAAAAAAAACTATCGTTATCTGCTTATATTGTATTGAATATGGCAATTTATCATATTCATTAATTAAACACATACTCTGATTTCTTTTATAAATACTGATTCCCCCATCCGATGGGTGACTTTGACACCTTTTTTAAACAACCAAAGCGGTAAGTAAATCTATACATGAAATGGTTGTATTGTGTGACACTTCCCCAATGGTCATTCTACATCTACCCGGGGGATACTCGCTATATATATGATACCGGGTATGTTCCGACAAACGGGGTTGCATTTTCAGCTAAATTGTCTGAAATGGGGTTATGTTTTTTTCGCCTTGCATTGGAAGGGGTCAGATTTGACTATCTAGAACGGGGTATTATAAATACAATGTTACATTATTGTTTCAGATAAGGGTGAATGTTTGGTACCATTAAAACGTTTAAACCCGCTGCAACTGTTTGCACCTGTCCTAAGTCAGGAATCTGATGTTTAGTAGTTGTCGTTTGTTGATGTGGTTCAAAAGTGTTTCTTATATAGATTAGACCGTTGGTTTTCCCGTTTGAATGGTTTAACACTAGTAATTTTTGGGGCCCTTTATAGCTTGCTGTTCGATGTGAGCCAAGGCTCCGTGTTGAAGACCGTACTTTGACCTATAATGGTTTACTTTTATAAATTGTGACTTGGATGGAGAGTTGTCTCATTGGCACTCATACAACATCTTTTTATATCTACTAAATTGAAAACAACGTTCAAACCTATGATTGCGTTGGATAAAAACCGCAATTTTTATACGTGTGCATGCAAAACAAATTTCTTGGTAAAGGGGTCTAAATACAGCACAAACAACATTTTCCAAAAGACCAAAAACAGTGAAAAGGTATATTTTAACAAAACGGGTATATATATATATCAAAAGTTCAGAAAAAGCTATCGTTAAAGATTTATTTTTCATTTTTCATGCCCATTTCATATAACCTTTTAACTGAATTTATAACTTCTTTCAAAGATTTGATATCCACATGTTAATCAATACATAATTTGAATAATCCGAAGGCAGACTATTTTCACCAATTTGTCTATCATGGAGTCTGTTATAATACTTCATAATTTGATGCTAAATTGTTGAAATCCAGGAGCTTCTGACCTTCCCCATGGACCCTATACCAGGGCAACCGGAATTACGCCTCCCGTTCATAAAATCCTGGCCTAGGACTATTGAAATGTAAAGTAACGCCCTATACCCTAGAATTTGGAATTTCTCGTTATTGGTCTACTGCTGTTAAGATCCATCCAATCATTTTAATATACCATAGACAATTAATGGAGAGAATTTGGCATAAAAAAATATCAAACCCTGACACTTTAACTATAAAATATACATGCTCCAAGTCAAAGAACCGTTATATTAGTGCATTTCACAATTATTTTATGTTTTTTAGCCAAAAAAAGGTCCAAAAAAATGTTCGCCTCGCTCCGCTCGGCGACAGATTGTATTCTACGCCCCCTCTTTCAAATATCCTGGAAACGCCCCTGCTTGTTTTCATATTATTTGTGTATGACTTAGTTGGATTGGTGGCCGTAATAATGGGTAGTATAATATTATAAGTAATTTACACACTTATCAATTGTAGCATGAAATGATGAACTTTCACATTTAATTGAATATCAAGAAGTTTGTGGGTTTCATGTTTGATAAAAGATGTAAAACTTATATACTGTATGTTATTGTGATTTTAATGTTTATTCTATGCCCTTTTTTTATTACAAAATAAATGTATGCCTTCACAAATGACATATGTTTTGAGGAATTTCCATATTTACTCTTTCATTATGGCTTTATTAATGCATGAATCTAATTTTAGCAGAACATGATTTGTAGAACAGGATGAAACCCTCTAGCGCATCTTGAAAGTCGTAAGGTTGTAAGTCCCTGGCGTAGATGGAATATGCTCGTAAACTTGACCTACTCACTGGTATGTATTTCGTTTGGTGAGGTATATCCTAAGAATATATTCATTTTTGTTTTCTTGAATCTTTACTCTTCAAACACAAAGACAGTTTAAAGGATTAAATTTTTAGTGTGCTTCAGGTTTTCCCCGGTTTTCATTAATGAAAGTAGTAAATATAGCAAGAAAATTAGTTTAACTTAAAGGCCTAAAATGACATTTGATTGATTACTATACTAATACAAAGCAGTAAAACAACGATGTGGGGAAACGCCCTTTTAACAAAAACCTAACACCTTAAATTACTACAAAAAGTATAGGCAGCAGTAAAGAAATTGTAATTGACAACTACACAAAAGTACTTTACAACAATGTGAAGTGACTGTTTAGAAGAAAAAAACTATCAAGGTACAAATTACAGCTACATAAATATCCAAATTTCACAAAGTTTCCAGATTTTAAACTCGCGCAGATCAAATTACAGTATAATTCCATATTAGTGCTGTTGTAAATTGCACCCTGCTTGAAGGCAAAAAGTTGAAAAATTTAGTGGCACCCCGAGGATTTCTTGAAGTGCACCTTCCTGTGTGAGAAATTCACAATTGAGAAAATAATGTGATATGAGAAAATTATAGAAATTTTTTTCAAAAAAGAATTTTTATGCTCACGTCGCTAGGCAAAGGGGGCATGAAGTTTTACCCTCGTCCGTGGGTACGTATGTACGTCCCATCATCCGGGGATAAAAATTTCCTAAAAATAAAATTTTGCCAAAATAAACAAAAAACATCTACTTTAATATTCCCTCAAAAATTGAATTTTTCCAACATTCCAAAAGATAAAAAAAAACTTAAAAAAAAAGGTAAAATATATTGGACAATGCGCAGCAACATCGGTGTTGAAAAAAAAAGTGTATATATAGTAGTTCTTCATAGGAATTTTTAACACCGGTGTAAAAATATGTACACCCCAGTTTACACCAAGATAACTAATATTACCACATTCACTGACTTCTTACTCCATGCCAGTAATACAGTAATATCATTTGAAAATATCAGAATATAAATTTTTTTATGAAATGATTACTTAGTTATTTATTAATATTAATGAAAATCACGAGTGGTATGATGGCCAATGAGACAACTC